ACATTTAATTATTTTGATTTATTTTTTAGCGAACTTTTTTAATATTTTAAAATAAACTGAGTTTATCAGAATTATCTGATCAATTTAATGAATATTTAATCAAATAAAAGCCAAAGATAGACAATTTATTATTAATCTGATTTTTTTAATCTTAAAATATTTTAGAATTTTTAATATTAAGAAATTGAGTTAAATACAAATAAATTACAAACAAAAAAATTTTTTAATTTACATTTTTTTATTTAGTTTTATTTTTAATATAAATATTTTAATTTTAGATATTTAAGTATACTCATTTGTATTAATTAACAATACAATTTTAATAATAATATTAGTACTTGAGATACCATAAAAAGATTCTACCTCCTTAAAATTAAACTTTTTAAATGAAGTAAATAATTACGTTAAATTTTTGGTTTTATGGTTATTAATATGGGTTGACCGGCAATAATTCCCCTTATCTATTATATGACGAGCAAATGTTAAACAATTTTTTGCTATAAAAATTACTAAAATTGCATAATAAAATATATTGCAAATGTTCCTTGTATCAATTTTAGTTATCATACTCTTCTTTTTTTATATTATTTTATATAATTTAAGCTATATTTAATTACTATGGTTATTAAGTATATAATTCCTTTTCTTAAACCAATTTATTTAACTTTTATTCTAACATCGCCACCTCTGCCTTTTTTTATGCTATATCTCTTTTTGTTAATATTTACTAAAGTTCATTATTTTGCATGTATAATAAATAAAGCGCTTATTGAACTTAGTTTTTTTCGTCTATATTTAATTTTATTTCACTTTTTAAACTTAATTAGCTATCTAAATTATATTCAAAATTAATATTGCCTTATTACTAAAGTTATTGCTATTTTAACTCTGGTTTTAGTTATTATTTAGGCATATTTGCTATTACGTCTACTTACAAGTTTTGTAAAGAAAGCTATTTAAAGCGGTCTGACTCATCTTTGTTTATTTTATTGTCTTTTATTTTTTAAGGTTGTTCAATGTATTCAAATTCTTCTTAATTTTAATTTTCTTTTAATGATTTTTATAATACTTATTGGTTTAGTTTTTATTATATTTAAGAGGGTGGCATATATGGTTCTGATTCATATATATCTGATTGATCTTCATCTATCATGCTATTTGAATCTTCATTATTCTAATAATTTTATTTTGATTTGCTATAAACTTCATCTATGGTTTTTTATTTGTAGTTTCCATTTTCTAGATCTCTATTATATATGTGTACTAAAATGATATCTATAAATTTTTAGACTTCTTAGTTAAGTTGCTTTTAGCTTTTACTAAAAACTCTGACCACTCTAATTCCAAGCTTTTTATCAAATTTAAAAAATCCATCAAGATAAACCAGAGAACCTATGTTATAAACTTTTCCTTTATCGCACCTATAATATCTAGACCCACTCATATTAATAATAATTCTATCTAATGATGAATTAACTTGTCTTTTTACCGCATAACAAACTCCTGATTGATATATCACTTATTTTGGAAAATCATCATACATCTTTAGTTTTTTACTCTATATCAAATCATAAATGCGGCTATAAACATCCAAATAATATTTTTCTTTATTTTCTAGACTATTAAAATATTTTTCACTAAATTCTAAATGAAAATAGTCTTATTATTCTTCTATTGGATCTACTTATTCTTTCTTAATTATGATATTGTTATTCATTTTAGAATATAGCTAGCTAATTAAGATTCTTTATTATTTTTTTCTACTTTTAACTAATTAATTAATTTAAAAAATCAAAAAATTATAAATTATTTTGAAATTTAATATTTTGTATTAAAAATATAACAAGCAAGATATTCATTCGCAACATCAAAATATAAAGACACTTTTTACATGAAAATTAATAATATTTTCTTTAATTAAATGCATAGAAAATTTAGAAGATTAAGCAGATTAATAACAAAATTAAATTTCATAATAGCCTTTGATAGAATTAAAATTAAAAGAAGTAATCTTAAAATTTTTTAATAAATAAAATTTGCATCTCTTAAATATTTATAGAAAAAATAAAATTCATTATAACTCATATTTAAGAAAGATAAAATGATATCATAAAATAATTTATTAAATACTTTTAAAATAATATGCAAAATATTTAATTTTGCTAGATTGAATGAAGCAAATAAAAAAATAAGATTTAGTTTTATTAAATAATTAAAACAGTTTAAAAAAATATAGTTTAATAATTAAAAGATATTCTTTTTAATTTATTTGATTTGGATGTTTCGTTAAGTTTTCAATTCCTTATCTTAATTGCATTAATTTTTATTCTTAATCTAGTAATTATTTCTTCGTTTACTCAATTTATTTTTACAATAATTATTACTTGATTTCATTATTCTAGATAATCAATTGATATGTAATGATTTAATCATTATTTACTTTGTTTGGCTTCTTTTCAATTTTTATATTTAAATTAGAGCTGTTAGTCTTAAATTAATTATGTTTAGTCATATTCTCTTATTTTTACTTTAATATTATTTATAATTAGTAGGATTAATTTTGCTATTGCTTTTCTTAAATTGATTCTCCAATAAAATTTTACTAATTTTTTTATTTTAAAAATGAATTTAGAAGCTTTTCATAGACACTTTTTTCATTTTTATAAATTGCTTTTGCTGACTTGTAATCCTCTTAAAATTTAAATTATTCTGCTGATTGAAAACATTTATTTTGACAGGTTGCTCATTTTAAATAATGTATTCTTACTAAGGTATAATGTATACAGAGTCCTCTTTATCTTCATATTCCATCATTTAGTATACCTTTTTATTTAATTAGTTTTTTATGTAATATCTCTCTTATATGTGAGTTAGCATATATTTAAAATATTGTGAACATTCATTTTCCTAGTAATACTTTTAATTTTTAAATTTTACAACTCTGATTCCTAATTTCTTATCAGACTTTAAACGGTCATCGAGATACACTAATTCGCCTATTTGACAAACTTTCCTTTGTACGCTGTCGCTCCATTCATACCATATATAATATTACTTAGGATAGAGATTGATGGTCTTTTAAAATTAAGCGCATATCCTCTTCATTATAATCTTTATTAGGATACTTATACACTAAGAATCCGATCTTAAATTTATAGTTAATTCAACTAACTTCCTGTTCTACATTATATTACTTTATTTATTTTAATGAAGGATGATGTAAACAAAAATTTTTATCTGAATCATATAACTAAACTTATATGTAGTTTACTCTTTAAAATCATAAATTTAAGATTTATCACTAAAACATGCTTCAAAAACTTGTGCTTATGATAACAATCGATTAAAGTAATATCTAAACACTTAAGAAATGTTAACTTCCTTTAGTCTGTTTCTTACATACTAAGTTCTATACTCTAATCCCTAAACAATATACAGATTCAAAATAGCGATCTAGATATGCTAATAGACCTTTGTAAGAAACTTATTTCTTATTAATTATTCTTTTATTAATATGATATAAACCTTACAAGCTTTATGATTATCGATAACTCAACACAGGGTTCACTTTTAATTACGAAGCATATCACTGCTTCATATTTATCTTTTTTAGAAATCCATCATACATGGTAAATACCCGATTAATTAGTAGTTGATAAATCTTATGAAATATCATCATGTTGTAAGCTTCTATATCTTTGTTTATATAAAAAATTGTTTTTGTAAATTATAAATATAAATATTCTTATTATGATTTTCTTTGCTGTGCTCTTATTCTACACTAAATTTTATTTTCATTTCTACTTTTTTGTTTAATTTCTAGCTAATCAATTTTTTTTTGTTTTAATTACTTTTTGATATGTTTAAGAATTCTTATAAAATAAAATCCTTGCTATAATAATAGGGATAACATTTTAGCTTAGTTATGAAAGTATCTTTATACTATCAGGCATATTAAGTTAAATTTTATCAAAAATCAAATTAGTTAGTTAGCTTTACATCAGAAATTAGCTAAATAATAATATTTTAAATTACAATTAATTACAATATTTTAAGATAATATTTTCAAAAATAAACAACATGATTAAATATTATAATTCCATTTAAAAAATATTGTTTTTTATATAAATTGAAGAATAAAAATTAATTATTCATTTAAAAATAAACAACAGACATAAATTTAATATATTAACAACAAAAAAGATTAATAATATCTCAAATATTTAGTTTTAACTAGCAATAAAGATGTAAAACATCAGCTAAATTAAATTTTTTGTTCACTAGATAACATTTAATATAAGTTAAGCAACTTTGGAGACCTGATATATTCTTCTTTTTCCTCTACTAGCTTTTATAATTTTGCTTCTAGCTCGATCAATTCTCCCTTTTTTTGTGAGATTTCTTTTTCTATTAATTTTTATTAAAGATCATTGTTTTATATGAATAGTTAAAATAACATCTATTAAATTTAGTTATTTTCTCCCAAATATTAATTATATTCCCTATTCATGCATAAACTATTTTCTTGTTTTTGTTAAATATTTGTAATTATCCTCTCATTTTATTATTTAACGATGATCTTCTATGAAGGAAATTCAAAATTCTATTTCTATTATTCTATTGTTGACTATTTTTTTACTATCTTGATCTAATTACTTTTTAAAATAATTTTTCGTCTTTATTCTTATCCATATTTACTCTGTATTTATGTTTCATCATTTAATTTTAATTAAATATCTCTCCCATCAAAGTACATTTAGCTCTATGATTTAACTAATTATCTCGCATTATTGTTTAATTTTTCATATTTTATCAAACGTGGATTAAACGTTTTCTCTTCAGAATCAGAAGACTCTTTTTCCATATATCCATTATAATCATAGTTTTATAGTGATTAAACCTTCCTTGAACAATTATTTGCATCTTTAAATGCACTTTATTTTAATTGATTTTCATCAGATATATCTCTAACAAATATATGAATTAGAACAAAGTCTATGTATTTGAGTATATCCTCGTTTAGTTATAATTGATTTTTGCTAGCAAATCTGACTACTCTAATCCCTAAGGTCTTATTGTATCTGAAATAACCATCAAGATAAGCTAATTGGCCTATATAGCATACTAAACCTTTCTAGCAATTATAATATTTAGAGGCATTCATACCGTTAATTATTCTTCCTAAACTAGAGTTAGATGGCCTTTTGAGTACAAAACACATACCAGATTAGTATTCATTTACTTTAGGTAAATTAAAATGAATTTTAAGTTTATAATTAATAATTTATTAATAGATTTATTAGTATAGCTCCATATAAAATTGTTCTTTATCCTTTACATCATTAAACTATTTTTCATTGAAGTTAAATAGAAAATAATTTTATTATGTTTGTATATGCTCATCATATTCTTACTTAACTTAAATATCCATTTTATATTAAAAATATTTTGCTTTTTTAGTGAAATATTTAAGAGAAAATTTATCAAATTTATTAATTATAAAAAAATAATAAAAAATATTTAGAAATAGGAAAATTAACTTTCTAAAAACTTAAGGAAAAATAAAAAGAATATTTTTCAATTAATTAGAATTTAAAAAATCTTTTGAATTAATTTTTTAGATAAAAATCAATTTTAAAAATTCAAAAAAATACAAAAAATATTGCTCATCATTTTTCTTTCAAAATAATTTTATTTTCATTTATTCACTCTCACTAAATCCTAATCACTTTTTAAGAATCATTTAGCTCATTGTAAATTTTTTCTTTTTTCGCTATTTAAACTTTATTCCTAATTATAATTTCTTTTGATTTTTATTAGAAATCATCGTAAAATCCTTCTTATAATTTATCTCTCACTAAAAATTTTTAAAAAATATAAATTATTTTGTAATTAACACACATATATATATATATTCATTTATTAAGTACTTTTATATTTGATATTTTACTAAATATATATACTTGCTAAATCAAATGTATTTAAATGAAATGGACAGTTGTTATAATTAAAAGTGCCTAGAACTTAAAACCAATTATTTTAATTAGTTTTTATTTATTTAAAAATGATTTCTTTCTATATTTTCAGTCTTTTTTTAGTAAATAAAAAATGCCTGCGGAGGGGATCGAACCCTCGGCCTCGAGATTATGAGACTCGCGCTCTAACCAACTGAGCTACACGGGCTAATTATGAGAATCTAAATTGCAATATGCTAGGTTAACTAATACAATATGTTTATTTTTAAAAGTAAAACTTTTTTTGTTTATTATCAATCTAATGATATTTTAAATAAATTGCAATTATATTTCATATATTCGATTCTCAATTTTAGTAAAATAAAAAATGCCTGCGGAGGGGATCGAACCCTCGGCCTCGAGATTATGAGACTCGCGCTCTAACCAACTGAGCTACACGGGCTAATTATGAGAATCTAAAGCAGAATTCTCTAGGATAACTTTTAAAATTTGAGTAAAAAAGTCATTTTTTGAAATAGTATTTAATATTATAAGTTAAAAATATGTTTTTCAATTTTCTATCTTCGTTTATAATAAAATAAAAAAATGCCTGCGGAGGGGATCGAACCCTCGGCCTCGAGATTATGAGACTCGCGCTCTAACCAACTGAGCTACACGGGCTAATTATGATATTCTAAAATGGAATACACTAGGTCAACTAATAGAATTTGTTTATTGAAAAAAATAAAACTTTTCTTTTGTTCACAAGCAATCTTACGAAATTAAATAAATTTTGAAATATTTTTCGCTATGTTTGATTTTCACCTTGGAATAAAATAAAAAATGCCTGCGGAGGGGATCGAACCCTCGGCCTCGAGATTATGAGACTCGCGCTCTAACCAACTGAGCTACACGGGCTAATTATGAGAATCTAAAACAGAATTCTCTAGGTCAACAAATAGAATTTTTATAGATTGGATAGCAAAAGGAATAAATATTAAAGTAAATATTTTTTAAAGTAAAATATAAAAATAAAAGCAAACAGTAAACAAAATAAACAAAAAGCTCATTTTTAAAAGCCTCAAAAAAAATGTATTTAATTTAAGAAATAACTTCTTAAAAATAATAAATATTCTTTTGAATAAAAAGGAAATATATAAATGTTATATATAATAATTTTAAAGCTTTTAAATATTTTTTAAGATGCAAAGAAGTGTTTTGATTTGAAGTTGAAAAGGAAAATGAATGAATATATTTAAAAATGAAAAGATATCTCATATGAAAATATAATTCAATATTAAAAAATTTATTTATTTATTTATTATTATTTTATGGTATTGATAAAATCTTGTAAAACTGTCCTTTTAGTTGTTTATTTCTTATAAATAATTCAAAAAATTAATGTAAATTAGTATGTGCTCTATACTTTTCTATATAAATGATCAATTGTTCATTATTTATTATTGATAGAAACTTTAAAAAATATTTAATTATTAAATTAACAAAAATTCAAAGAAAAACAAGAGGGAAATCTTTCATAGAAGCTTTTATTGATAATTTAAATATAAAAGTCCCTTTAAACAACGCCTTAGAGTAAAAAAGATTATAAAGCCCCATCTTATTCATAAGTTCATTCTTTTTAAAGTAAAATAATATTTTTTAGCTAATAATCCATCATTTTTTAGTTGTTTTTGGCAAAATATTTAAAAGTGATATTAGCGTAAAATAAATAATAAATAGCATAAAAATAAATTATGTTAAAGAACAATAACAAATAATCCATTTTTTAAAATATTTAGTTTTTCCAAGTTATTTGAATAAAATTTGAATGAGTGATAACGAAAATAATCATCAACAAGATGATAATAATTAAGAATAAGTGGACTAAAATTAGTCTTAAAATGGTATGGAAACCAATACAAATGGTAATTAGGTAAATGGCAACCATGCAAACGGAGAAGAAAATGAAGGCAATAAAGAATAATACGAAGATGTAGAAGAAGAAGTAGAAGAAAATATTCCTGCAGAAGAGCTTGAAGAGTTGAGAAAAGAAGCTGAAAAGAATGGAAAAGACCCTTCTGAAGTTCCTTCTGTAAGAGTAGTTACAAAAATGGTAAAGAGATAAGTAGTTAAATAATAATCTCAAGATAGCAGCCAGCAAGACCAACAAAACAAAAGAGGAGTTTAATAAATTTCTTAAGAAACAAGTAAGATTTTTATATTTTTATATTATAGGTTTATTTTCATTCAAGTTAAGAAGGTTGTACTATGTTTCTTTTAGTACATTTTTCTTATTTGCGATACATAAAAGTAATGAAACTAATCAACCGAATATCTTTTAGTCTTATTAGTTGAGCATTATTTAAATTTTTATGCAAGCTGGCCAAATATTTGCTTGTTTTAATACAACACATAACCCATACAAATTGAATGAAAGATAATTGTATTTAATGGTCTTTTAATTGTATTGCTTTATAAATAAAATTAATACAAAGTATCAGTAAAAGTACAACTTATATTTGAAAAAATTATAAAACCACTTAATTTTTAATTTACTTTTTAATATCAATGAAAATAATTATTTCTTAATTCACAATCTTAAATATTATCAAATAATTAAAGAAATTCAATCAGTTTAACTTTCAAATAAAAAATTATTAAAAATAATTTTAGAATCCATTTAAAAATTTAACTTTCATTATTTTTTTGATCATTTAAATAGTAAAATATTAAAATATATTTTTTAAATAGGGGAGAAAATAACCTGGGTAATGGAGTAATTGGAAAAAGGTTTAAATGCATTTGATGAGAAGCTATGGAATGAAGAACTTGACTACCAAATCAGCTAATTTTTTGGAGATTAATAACACAAGTAATTAATAAATTAATAAAATTTAATAAAAATAAAAAATAAATTTGTAAATTAGGAATATTTATTTCTGGGTAGAAAAAGATGGACTCAAGTATAACTTTGTAGATCCTCCTATTTTAACTGAAGAATCTTATGATCCTGATTTTTATTTCTTCACTAAATACCAAAATGAACATATTGTCAATTTTGAAGTTGGTAATATTGATGATTTTATCACTCATGGGTCAGTTTAATAAAATCACATCTAGAGTCTTCTTAAATTGATGGATGATGTCTACAATCCTTAAATCTACACTGACACTGCTTGGCCAGAAAATGTCAAGAAGGAGTTCATTGCCTAACTTCACAAAGTAATTAAATTTACTTTTTTTACAACAATTTATTTATTTTATTTATATTTTTCTATTAGTTTATGGCTACTCTCACCGAGGCTTCCTAATAAAATGAAGGCTACACAAAACTTTATATTCCTAAAGAAGATCTCAGTGATACTTAGGCTACCTCTTTAGATAAAGATTTAATTTAAAGATTAGAAACTACTTTGATTTATTGGTACAGATAAATTAAAGAAATTGTTAACAATTAAGACTCCTAACAAGATAATGAAAATGCAGGACCTCAAGATGAAATTATTTACTGGAGAAGAAGAAAAAATAATTTATAAAATATTTAAAGACAATTGGTTAATCCTGATTTACAACGCATCATACAAATATTAAAAATAGTTGATAGTTCTTATGTACCTTCCTTTGAAGAATTAACTAAAAACATAAACTCAGGATCAGTTGAAGCAGAAAACAACTTAGATTTCTTGAATTCTCTTTTTGATTCATGCCGTTAACTTGAAAAGGCTACTCCTCGTGAAATTCCATCTATTCTACCCTCTCTATTGAACAGAGTTCGTATGATTTGGGAACATTCTGATTATTACAATTCATAGGAGCGTATTTCAGGTTTATTGCACAAAATTTCTAACGAAATCATTAAACGTTGCAAGTCTTAGATCAACATATCTGATATGCTAGACGGAGATGTAGAGAAGTGCATTTAAGATCTAAAAGACTCTATTGAGTGTGGTAAAAAATGGAAAAAAATTTATGAACGCACATCTGCCTTGATAAACAAGAAAAGAAAGGAAAATGCTTCTAAGAGAGCTTGGGATTTCAATCACAATTCAATTTTCGCTCAAATGGAAGCCTTTGTTTAAAGATGCTCTGAACTTACTGAAATTTGTGAAGGTTAATTATAATTCGCTGCAAAAGGATCTAACAGCTAAATTCCTTAATTTGGTGGTATCAAATAAATTAACTTATTATATAAATAATATTTTAAAATTTATTATAATTTTCTAAAGGTTCAATTGGTCCAGAAATTGAAAATATTTTAGAAGAAATCAAAGAAAGCTTTAAGAAGCACATAGATAAAATTAGAGCAACAGACAAAGACAAAATTTTAGATGTTAAAGCATCTAACTGGCATGACTTATTCAATATGTTCAAGAATGGCATGAAAGATCTTGATATTATGTATTAAAATATTATCAATACTGGTTTTGAACAAGTCTCCACTGTTTAGCAAGGTGTTGAAATGCTTGAAGCATTTGATTACTTAGCTAAAAGAGAAAGTATTAAAATGGCTGTCAAAAAGAAAGCCACTGAAGTCATCAACATGTTCCTATCCGAACTTGATAAAGCTAAATTAGAATATGATAATATGAAGAAAAATATGCCTCTTTTAAACTTCCCCTTTCACCATGGTAAGTACTCTGGCTAAGCAATTTGGGTCAGAGCTTAAATTCACAGAATCCAAAAGATGAAAGACTCTATTGACAGACTCTTTTTCATTGATGAAGGAACAAAGAGAATTGCATAAGAAAAATATGAAGCCATTCATCTTACTTTTAAATAATTTATCATTAATGTTAAGTTCAAAGAGTGGAAAGAAGAAAACAAAGTAATTTCTTTTTTAAAAATCATTTTTCTTTTGATAATTACTAACAATAATATTTATACTTTTAATTTAATTTTTTAGGAACTTGAAGAAAAGTCTTTGGGACATGAATTCTTGGATAAGCCAGTCCTTTACATGCCTGAACCTGACTATCCAGAACTTAAATATAAGGAGAATTTGAGAAGTAAAGAAGGTCACCTTGAGTCTAAATTTAACAGATAGCTCGAGAAGTTAATGAGCGAAGTAGTGGCTTGGAAGAAATTGATTAACTTTGGTATTGTTGTTCCTTCCTACGCAGATGAATTCACTACTTTACATAGAGAAAACCTCAGAATTCTAAAAGAATACGTCATGCTTGTTGTTAGAGATTAAAATAAAATTATTGATTACATGGATCCTATGGAAAAGAATCTCTTTAAAGATCACTACTCTTAAACTGAGAAGGTTATCAAGCCAGGTACCAGCAAGTTGAAATGGAGTTCTAAGGGTATTTTAGAAAATTTTGTGCGTGATTGTAGAAAGAGCTGTAACGAAATTTACAATAAGTTAAAAATGTTCAAGAGCAACACTGAGAAGATTGAGTAAAAATGTGTAGAAATCGCCACAAGAATTCTAATTAAAATTGATAAAAAGCGTACAGTTGAAATTAAATAATTTGAAGAAGATCAAGAAAAGCACAGAAGAGATATGCAAATTAAAATCAAGGTAAATTAATTAACTCCTTATATTATCTTAATATTTATTTTTCTTTTAATTAGATTGCTTTAGATGAAATAAAAAGAATTTTAAGTGAAACATATGAGTTCTTCTTGAAAGATGGACCTGAAATTTAAAAAGTCTGGTTCAATTATGTAGCTATGATTGATAAAAAGATAGAAGAAGCATTGAAGAAAGCAAATAAGAGCAGTTTATTAGAATTGTACAGAGTTATTGGTGATGATAAAAACCCAGCTACTGCTATTTTCAGATTATCTCAAGAAATAGAAAACGGTTCTCCTGAAAATGGAAAGACTCAACCTGTTTTAGTTTTTAAACCCTCATAAAATTACTTAAGATAGATGATATAGATAACTATAACCTTAATGACTCAAATAATTCAAGACTTTAAGAGAATGACTGTCATTATGAACTAGGAAAGAAAAGATAAGCTAGAAGAACAACGTATATTAAAAGAAAAGGAAATGAAAAACAATCCTATGATGGCTCAGCGCAAAGGACCTGAATAGGGAATCACCTTTGAAGAATAAAATCAGAGAGAAGACTATTTCTCTGCAATTGCCAGTGATTTAGAAATTAAAAAATATACTGAAAGTATTCTCAGCAATTTGGATAAAACCATCCAAAAATTGACATCAGGTGAATTGTATGATCCTTGGAAACAAAAAGAATTCTTCTGGTAAGGAGATGCTAGCATGAAACACAAATACTCCAAATCCATTTTAGACCATGATGATGAAATTTCAAATATCAGAGATCACATTGAAAAATTCGAAATATCTGCCAGTGATATTCAAGCTCAAAAAACAACTGATAAATTAGATTGCATAGTTATTGATAACACAAATATTAAGAGCACAATAGGTAATTTCTTTTAACATACTTTAAATTTAAAAAATACTTGAAAAAATAAAATAATATTTTATGAATAAAAATAAATTAAAATTTACTATTTTTAAAACAGTTGAAGTTCTAATTCAATGGTAGAGTGCTTTGTTGAATGCAGTCTAAGAAAAGGCTATTAGTGATTTAAATTCTTTGCATGCTTTGTTCCAAAATAGTGAGGCTCACTTAGAACCCACTCCTTTAGATATTCACTAACTTAAGAAGAATATGGAATCACTTGCAAAATTAAAGAAAGACAAACCTGATATTGGTGATAAATTATAGCCTCTTGAAGAAAAATTCAAGTTGCTTGAAGATTACCAAATCAACTTAAAGGAAGATGAAATTTACAGAAAGAACACTCTTCGTGATGCTTGGATCAAGTTCGGAGATATGCTTGAAAGAATGGAAATTCGTAACTAAAAGGTTTATAATGATCTTTATCAAGACACCATGAAAAACCTTGATGATTTCATGAAGGAAGTTTCAGATAATAAAGTATATTTTTTTTTGGTGTAATTGTTTGAAATTTTAAAGTGTATTTTTAAACTTAATAGATTACATTTATGGCAAATGCTCCCTTCTAAGTAGGTAATTTAACAAATGAAAAGGCATTCCAAATGCTTAACGAGTATAAAGAAAACGTAAGAGCCTTGAGAGAAAGAGAAAAAGAAATGAGATTCGGTTTTGAACTCTTTAATATCAATTATGCTCCTAGCTCTGAGCTAGAAAGCGTTGAAAAAGAAATAGCTAACTTGCAAGATGTCTGGAAAACTAAAGATGACTGGGATAAAGAATGGGAAAAGAACAAACATATTAAGTTCCGCGAATTTAATAACGAAGAACTTGATGATTTGGCTGATGATTACTAAACCAAAATCAATTCATATCCTAAGGAAATGAAAAAGTGGGAAGTTGTTAACTCTTTACGTAACAACGTAGAATAATTCAGATAAACTCTTCCTTTAATCAAGATGTTAGGCGAAAAGTTCATGCGTTAAAGACATTGGGATAAGCTTTAAAAATATTTACAAACTATATTAGATTATGAAAGTGATTCCTTCACTTTATAAGAAATCTTTAAAATTAATTTATTAACATATGCTGATTCAGTTCGTGAAGGTAATAAAAAATTTATTTTTAAAAATGTTATAAAATATTCAAATTTATTAATTATTTAATAGTTTGCGAAGTTGCAAGAGAAGAATATAAAATTGAGTCTGCTTTAGAAAATATCAAAAACAGATGGTCTCGTCTTGAATTAGTCATGGATGAACACAAGAAAGGATACTATAAAGTCAAGAAGGCTGATGATATATTCTCAGCTTTAGAAGATGATATGGGTGTGCTTTCAGCATAAAAAACAACCCTGTTCTATGAATCATTCAAAACTGATATTGAACAATGGGAAACTTGTCTTTAAAATATTTTAGAAACCCTCGAAGCTTTACTACAAGTACAACGTCAATGGATTTATCTTGAGAGTATTTTTGCTTCTCAACAAAATGAACAAGATAAATAATTGGTTGGTGATATTGCTAAATTCGGTAAAATTGAAAAGCAACTTTAAAAATATATGGCAGATATTTATGCAACCAAGAATGCAAAACAAGCGTAATATTCAAATCTATTTATCTATTTAATTCATCTAATTTAAAATTTTTTTTATTCAAATAGCTTGAGTTAAGAAGGTTTCTTAAACGAATTGTTAGAAATGAGCAAAAAGCTTGATGAGAGTCAAAAGATTCTTTTCTAATTGCTTGAAAGAAACAGAAAGGAATTCCCTAGATTCTATTTCTTGTCTAACGATGATTTGTTTGAAATTTTAGGTAACTCTAAAGATCCTAGCAAGGTCAACAAACATATCAAAAAGTGCTTTGAAGGTATTAAAAAGTTGTAAATCAATACTGTTATGGGTTAAAATGTTAAGGTAAAATTATCATCTAAAATACTTTATTAAGATAAATTAATTTAATATTTTATGAAAATATCAGGGAAGACCTTAAGAGAATCATGAAGTCATAACCATGGTATCTCCAGATGGTGAAAAGGTTAATTTAAGTAGCAAGGTAACATGTGAATTTGGTGTTGAGAAATGGTTAAAAACAGTTGAGTAGCGCATGTTTGAAACATTAAAGAAAGAATTAACCAAAACTCATGCTGGTATTAAAAAGAAAGAAGGTTATAGATGGGTTGAAAAATGGATTCCAAGCTGGCCTGGTTAGTTGCTGATTGTTGCGTCTTAACTCCATTGGACTCAGGAATGTGGTGCAGTTTTGCATAATATCAGTAACTCAGAAAAATCTGATAAGCACAAGGCTTGGAAGCCAGTTAAGGATGATAAAAATCATTTCCTTGCTGAATTAACTAAGTTAGTTAGAAAGCCCTCGACCGAAACAGATAGATTAAAACTTATTGGTAAAAATTACATATTTAAATTTTTAATAATAATACTCAATAAAAAATTAATTAAATAAAGCTTTGATTACAATTGAAGTTCACGCTAAAGATATTATTGAATCTTTATAAAAAACTTGTTTCAGTGACACAGCTTTCGATTGGTTAAAACAATTAAGATTCTACTAAAACATTTAAGGTGACTGTATGGAAGTTGAAATCAAATAAACTAATACGAAATTCCCTTACGGTTATGAATACCAAGGCAATAATGGTAGATTAGTCATTACTGCTTTGACAGATAGATGTTACATGACTTTAACTACTGCTATGAAACTTAATAAGGGTGGTGCTCCATAAGGACCAGCTGGTACTGGTAAAACTGAAACCGTTAAAGATCTTGGTAAAGGTATGGGTAAATTCGTACTTGTCTTTAACTGTTCAGAAGGTCTTGATTACAAGTCAATAGGCAGAATGTTTTCAGGTCTTATTCAAACAGGTAAAAATTATTAAACTTATTTTTTATTCTCATTTGTATTTACTGAACAATTGAGGCTGGTTTAACATAAAAATATATTTTTTGTTTGTCTTTTAACTTCTTAAAATTAACTAATATTCATTATATAATTTTAGGTGGTTGGGGTTGCTTTGATGAGTTTAATAGAATTGAAGTAGAAGTACTTTCTGTCGTTGCTCAATAAATGCACTCTATCATGAATGCCTTAAGAAAATTAGGAGAAGACCGCGAACAAAATACTTTTGAATTCGAAGAAGAAGTTATTTCAATTAATGATTAATGCGCTATTTTTATTACTATGAATCCTGGTTATGCTGGTAGATCTGAACTTCCTGATAACTTGAAATCATTGTTCCGTCCTATTTCTATGATGGTTCCAGAAACAACCATTATTTGTGAAATTATGCTTCAATCAGAAGGTTTTAAGAATGGTAGACCTTTGTCAATTAAGATGGTTACATTATATAATTTGATGACTCAACAATTATCTAAATAAGATCACTACGACTTTGGTCTCAGAGCTATTAAGTCAGTCTTGAACTGCGCTGGTGCAATTCGTAGAAATGATAGCAACTCTGATTAAGCAGGAAACAGAGACAGAGAACGTGAAAAGGAAGCTGAAAGTGAAGAAAACATGAAAGAATAAAAGATTCTTATGAGAGCTATTTATGACATGAACATGCCAAAATTCGTTCAAGAAGATATTTTCCTCTTTAACGCTCTTTTTAATGATCTTTTCCCCAATACTGATCTCCCTGAATCAGAGAACACTAAGCTTTATGAGGCTATTGAGGCTGAAATGAGAAACGAAAAACTTATACCTAAAGTCGAAATGATCAATAAGTGCATTTAACTTTATGATTCCAAAAACACTCGTCATGGTAATATGCTTGTCGGTAAATCTTTATCTGGTAAGACTACAACCTGGAAGATGTTACAAAAAGCAATGAAGTAAATAATAAACAATTTTCTCTAACAATTTATATTTTTTTATCAATCAAGTTAAAATTTAAAAATATTGACAAAAGTATGAAACTATTTTTAAAATTTTCTTTTATTTTTTAGTATTGTTTAAATTTAAGCAAAAATTTTATAAAATAGTTCTTTAAACAAATAAATGACTTAAGGAGATAAATAAGGCTAAGTTCCTTTCCCTGCTGTAAGAACTGAAGTTTTGAATCCTAAGACTGTTACTCTTAATGAACTTTTTGGTTTTGTTGACCACTCAACTTTGGAATGGAATGAAGGTGTTTTATCAAGCATGATGGCTCGTTTGTGTAAAGATGAATCTCTTGATTAGAGATGGATGATCTTGGATGGACCTGTAGATACTCTTTGGATTGAATCTATGAATACTGTCTTGGATGATAATAAAGTTTTAACTTTATTGAATGGTGATCGTATCAGTTTACCTTAATAAGTAGGTTTAGTTTTCGAAGTAGAAGATCTCTCTGTTGCTTCTCCTGCTACTGTTTCTCGTGCTGGTATGATTTATATTGATCCTAATGATTTAGGTTGGAGACCATACATAGAAGCATGGATTGGCAGAATGAAAGATCCAGATGTTTAAGATTTCTTCTATGATCTTGTTGATAAGGTAATTTCTTCACTTACATTATTTGCAATATTCAAAACAAAATATTTAATATTATTAAGTGGATTATGAGATTATTCAAAACTCGTTCGATGTGCAAGGAATTGGTACCTTGTTCTGATATAAATATCGTTATTGCACTTTGCAGGCTTATGGATTCTTTCATCAAGATGGAAAGTCAAACTATTGGTCTTGAAATCCCTACCAAAAACGAAATCTATTACGCCCTACTTGAAAAGTGGTTTACTTTCGCTTTGATTTGGTCATTTGGTGCTTCAGTAGATGAAGATGGTCGCAAGCTAATTGACTATCATATGAGAGATATCGAAAGTATCTTCCCTCACTCTAACACTGTATATGATTATTACATTAATGTTGACAAAAATGAATGGGCTTCATGGTAATTATTTTTCATAACTTGTTTTAATTTAATATTGATAAAATTTAATTCAAATTTTAAAATTAATTAATTTAGGGAAGATAAGATCAATGCCAGTGTATGGAAACCAGGCCCTAATATGCCATATCATAAAATGTTAGTCCCAACAGTTGACAGTGCAAGAAATAGATTTGTAATTTAGACATTGTTAAAAAATAAAATAAATATTCTTGTTGTTGGTAATACTGGTACTGGTAAGACTGCTGTTATTAATGGAATTCTTTCAGAATTGGACGATTCTTACACTTCCATGAATATTGTTTTCTCTTCCTAGACAAATTCTTTGAAAACTCAAGATATGATTGAGTCCAAGCTTGTTAGAAGAACTAAATATAAAATGATTCCTGATGGTAAGAAGATGGTTATATTTGTTGATGATCTCAACATGCCCAGAAAAGACACTTTTGGTAGTCAACCTCCTCTTGAACTCTTTAGATAATGGATGGACTACGAAGGCTGGTTCGACAGACAATCTAGAGATCTCTTTAAATAGATTCTTGATATCTAATTCATAGCAGCTATGGGTCCTCCAGGTGGTGGTAGAGCTCAAATTTCAAAAAGAACTCAAGGAAAATTCAATCTAATTAACTTCACATTCCCTACTGATAACTAAGTGAGAAGAATCTTCTAGTCTATTCTTAACCACAAGTTCCATGAATTTGAAGAAGAAATTAAACCTTTAGCAGGTAATTTTCATTTTATTCAGCAATATTTTAGTTAAAGAAAATAATAATTTTAACTAAAATTTATTTTTGGTGATACTATTATCTCAATAATTTTTTAAATTCTCATATACAAATTTATTTTTAAATAATAAATCAGAACCTGTTGCTTAGGCAACTTTGAACTTGTTTAGAACTGTTTCTGAAAACTTCCTTCCTACTCCTAAGAAATCTCACTATGTCTTTAACTTAAGAGATATTTCCAAGGTTATCTAAGGTGTCTATATGCTTGATAGATTCTATTGTGATTCTAAAATGACAATTTTCAGACTTTGGGTGCACGAATGCTTAAGAGTTTTCCATGATAGACTTATTTCATTCGAAGACAGATTCTAATTAAAGAAATTGATTTCTGATTAACTTGAATAAACCCTTGGATCTAATATGAGAGAATGCACTAATGAAGAAGAGTTGGACACTATCTTTGTTGATTTTATGGAAGAATCTGGTGGTAAACCTATTTATATTGAAATAGGCTACAAAGATCGTGCTTAATTAAAGCAAACTGTTGAATAAAAGTTAGATGATTTCAATAAGAATTAAAGATCTCCTATGCCTATTGTTCTTTTCGAAGAAGCTATTTCTTATGTTTGCAAAATCCACAGAATTGTAAAATTAGGAAAAGGTCATGGTATGCTTGTTGGTGAAGGTGGTTCAGGTAGACACTCTCTCACTCGTTTAGCTGCTTTCATCGCTGGCTACTCTCTTTGGTAAATTGAAATATCTAGAAATTACAGAGTTAAAGAATTTAGAGATGATATTAAGCGTTGGGCTGAAGAAGCAGGTTACAAAGGAAAAGTATGAATTTTATTCATTTATTTATTTTCTTATTTTAATTTTTTTTAAAAAATATAGAGCGGTGTTTTCTTGTTTAGTGATAACTAGATTATTAATGAAGGTTTCATTGAAGATATCAACAACATTCTAACTGTAGGAGAAATTCCTAATTTGTTCAGTCAAAAGGATGACTATCCCCAAATTAAAGAAAAAATGAGAAAAGAATATATTAAGCATCACAATTTAGAAAAAGACGCTCGTATTTTTGATGAAGATTTGATTGATTTCTTCTTCACTCGTGTCCAAAATAACTTCCATCTTATGTTATGTATGAGTAAAACAGGTGATTCACTCCGTAACTACACAAGAATGTATCCTGGTTTAGTAAACAATACTACTATCATTTGGTACATGCCTTGGCCTGAAGAGGCTCTTCTTGAAGTCGCTAATAAATATCTTAAGACTTTAACACTTCAAGACAAAATCAAGGAAGTTCCTCTTAAGCAAGAGCCTGTAATATTTCTTTCAATTAATTTACATTATTTTTTTTTAAATTAATATTTTGTATTTAAAATTGATAATTTAAAAATTTTTTTCTGTTTAAATCTAATTTATTTAAAAATATATTTGTAATGAAATAGACTCCTGTTCCAGTACCTGAAAAGAAAGATGCTAAACCTGATCCAAAGAAGATTGCAGAAGAAGAAGCCAAATTAGCTGAAGAGAAAATAGAAGAAGAACGTAGAGAAGTTCTTAGAAAGGCAATTGCTACATTCTTTAGTTAAGCCCATACTAAAGTTTTATAAATGGCTGATGATATGTATGCTACCTTAAAGAGAATGTATTATGTAACTCCTACAAATTATATCGAGTTAGTCAAGGGTTATGTAGAATTGCTTGAATAGAAGTAGAAGGAATATGGTAATGAAATTACTAAGCTTAGACTTGGTCTCCATAAGCTTGATGAAGCTGGTGAGAGCTCAGAACTGTTGAAACAATAATTACAAATATCATAAATATAATTATAAAAGAGTTAAAAGGAAGTAGAAGATCTTATGATTAAGATTGAAGGTGAATCACGTGATGTTAATGAAAAGCAAAAGTATGTTGAACAAAAAACTGTTCTTGTCGAAAAGGAAAAGGCTGAAATTCTTCGTATTTCCGCTGATGCTGAATAAGATCTTCAAGCTGCTATGCCAGCTCTTCGTATGGCCGAAGAAGGTCTTGCAAATCTCAATAAAAATAAATTGGCAGAAGTAAAATCATTCACTTCACCTCCTGCAGGTATTGATGTTGTCATGCAAGCTATTATGATTTTGTTATGTAAGCGATTATTATTTTTAACTTCAAATCATTAAATTGAATAAATATTAAAAAAAATTAGTGAAGGATCCCTCTTGGGCTAGTGCAAAGAAAGAACTTGCTGCTCCTGATTTCTTATCTAAGTTATAAAATATAGAAAAAGATAAAATCTCTTAAAAAACTTTACTTAAGATTGAAAAGTTGACTCATGACCCTAAGATGAGTATTGAAAAGATTCAATAAATTTCCGAAGCCGGTGCGTCTATGTGGCGTTGGGTTTTGGCTATGGAAATGTATGCAAAAGCATTCAAGGATATTGAACCAAAGAGAATTAAAGTCAACTAATTGAAAGAAAGATTAGCTAAATCAGAAGAAGAATTACAAAATTTGTAAGATAACTTATCGAAATTACAAGAAAAGATTATGATTTTGTAGAAATAACTTGAATAAGCTAAGACTGATAAACAAAATTTGGAAGAATAAAATAAGATTCTTTAAGACAAGTAAGAAAGAGCTGAAAAGCTTATCTCAGGTTTAGAGGGCACCAAGGAAGGTTGGAAAGATAGAAAGATTATCTTTGAATAAAAGTTTGAATATCTAATTGGTGATTCTCTTATGTCAGCAGCATTTATGTCTTATGCTGGTCCTTTCCCCTCTGAGTATAGAAGAATCTTCATGAAGGATGCTTTATTAGCTTAAGTTAGAAACCTTAAAATTTAGCACAGCAGAGATTATAATTTCCCAGACTTCTTAGTCAAACCCATTACATTCTTAAATTGGACATTTAAGGGTCTTCCTGATGATTAGTTCTCTAAAGAAAACGCAGTACTTGTTACAAAAAGTGAAGATTTAATTTTATAAATGTGTTTATTTATTAAAATTTATTTGAATGATATTTTTAGGTAGTAGATTCCCACTTATGATTGACCCACAATAATAAGCTAACACTTGGATTAAAAACACAGAAAGAGATTAAGATAGAGAAAAATTGTAGATTATTGATCCTTAAACAGAAAACTACATAACCTTGTTGGAGAGAGCTATTTCATGGGGTCAAGTAGTTATTCTTTAAAACCTTGATGAAGAAATAGATCCTGCTCTTGAACCCATCTTGAATAAATCTTTGAAGAAAGTTACTGGTGGTATTTTACTTTGTATAGGTGCAGATAAGGAAATTAAGTATAATCCAGACTTCAGATTCTATATGACAACTAAATTGGCTAATCCTAAATACAAAGCTGAAGTAAGTACAAGAGTTACTTTAGTCAACTTTGCTGTCAAAGAAGAAGGTCTCCAAGATCAATTAATTTCAGTTGTTATCTAAAAAATGGAAGCAAACCTTGAAAAGTAAAAGAATGACCTAGTTCGTAAGAAAGCAGACAATGAATCAAAGCTAAAGGATCTTGATGATAAGATTCTTCGTATGCTCTAAGAAACTAAAGGTTAACTTATTGATGATTTAGATCTTATCAAGGCACTCTAAGTCGCCAAAGAAACAGAAGAAGGTAAATATTACTTAAAAGTGGTTTCTTTTTTTGTATAAGAAATTTTTTTTTTCTGCTTGAAATTAAAAAATAATTAATAAAAAACTCTTGTGTTTTAATAAATTTTATATTTTAATTAATATATCATTTGATTTTTTAAAAATTAGATGTTAGACATTAAATTGAAACTGGTGCTGCTTAAATGACTAAGACCATGAATTTAAGAAAGAACTACGTAAGTTTGGCAACAACAGCATCAAAGCTCTTCTTCGTTATAAATGAGTTTGGTCTTATTAATAATATGTATTAGTTCTCTCTTGAGTCATACATTCAATTGTTCTAGAGAACTATTGATAATTACATTAACAAAGGTGCAGCTGTTAACGATTCCTTAAATGATAAACTTAACAGTATATCAGAAAAGCACAAAGAAGAAATTTATAAATATGCTTGCAGAGGTTTGTTTGAAAGTGACAAGCTTCTTCTTTCAATCTAAATGGCTGTAAGATTATCAACTGATGTTAATCTTGAAGAATTCAATTTCTTCTTGAGAGGTAGTGACACAGGATAAGATAGAAAGACTCAACCTCCTAATCCCAATCCAGACTGGATTACTCAATAATCTTGGGATACCATTTGCGATCTCGATAAGATGGCTAACTTTACAGGTAGATAGAAAATATTTTTGATTTAATTTAATAAATTTCCTCTTTTAATAAAGGTATTATTGGTGCTTTCACTCATAACTCTAAGGAATGGAAACGTTGGTACATGTCATCCACTCCTGAAAGTGATGCCTTACCTGGTGAATGGGACACCAAGTGTGATCACTTGCGTAAGCTAATTATTGTAAAGACTATTCGTCCTGATAGAGTTATTTTCAGTGCTTCTCAATTTGTTGAAAATAAAATTGGTCCCTAATATATCACTGCTCCCTCTTTCACATTTGAAACTGTTTATGCTGATTCAACTAAGACCTCACCTGTTATCTTCATTCTTTCTCCTGGTGTTGATCCTTATAACTAATTGTAACAATTCGCTGATCAAAAGAACATTTAGCTTGTTCCTGTATCTCTCGGTTAAGGTCAAGCTCGTAAAGCTCGTGAAAAAGTTGCTGAAGGTTGCAAGAATGGTTACTGGCTCTATCTTGCTAACTGTCACTTATCACTTAGTTTCCTTAAAGATCTTGAAAAGATTATTGAAAATCTTGAATAGAATAGAAGCGATATTCATGATAATTTCAGACTTTGGTTATCATCTTCTCCTCATCCTAAGTTCCCTATTTCCATTCTTCAAAAATGTGTAAAAGTAACTACTGAGCCATCTAAAGGTGTTAAATCTAACATGCTTCGTCTTTTTAATAACATGCCCTCTGACAAATATTAAGCTGTTAGACTTAACAATAAATCATACTACAAAAAATTAGTCTTCTCTCTCTGCTGGTTCCACAGTGTAATTATTAATATTTCATTTTTTTTTTTTTTTTCATAAAAACAAAACTCTACAATATTAATTATTGTTTTAGGAAACAATTTTATCATCTATAAAATAACCTTTATTGAAAATTACATTTAAAATATTAAATAGATTATTGTTGAGAGAAAACGTTTCAAATAACTTGGTTGGAATGTTATTTATGACTTTAATGACTCAGATTGGGAAACATCTGATAATATTTTGTAGATGTACATTGATTAGTAAGTTCACACTGATAAGTCTGCTCAATAACAAAGCACTTAACCTGGCTCTGGTGAACAGTAAGTTTAGAACAAATCTCCTCCTTGGGATGCCATTAAGTAAATAACAAATTTTTAATTTAATTCATAAATTTGAAAAATTGTATTCTTAATCAAATAGATTCTTAATTTCTGATGTAACCTATGGTGGTAGAGTTACCGATGATTGGGATAGAAGACTGTTGAACGTCTACGCTAATCAATTCTTTAATGATAAAGTTATTTTCGATGAAAAATATAAACTCGGTGACCCTTCTTAACAATTCTATTTTGTCCCTGAAGAATTAAACATTAAGGACTTAAAGAACTTAGAAAAGACTGGCTCAGAACTTACTTATTATCGTGGTAAGATTGATGAATTCCCACCAATTGAGCGTCCAGAAACTTTCGGTTAGCATATTAATGCAGAAATTTCTTCATAAATTATATAATCTAATTCTTTGATTGAATCTATTATCTCACTCTCACCACAAATAGCTTCTTCTGCTGGTGTTTCTAAAGAAAGCAAAGTTGCTAATATTATCAAAGAACTCATGGAAAAATTACCTGAACTTATAGATGTTGATGAAGTTAAAAGACAAACTAGTGCATATGATGAAGGAAATCCTTTGAGAGTTGTCCTAAATCAAGAAATAGATCGTTACAATAAATTGCTAGTTTTCGTCAAACAGTCTCTTATCAATTTGGATAAAGGTATTCAAGGTATTTAACTCATTTCAGAAGATCTTGAAATCGTTCTTGATAGTCTATTTGATGGCAGAGTTCCATCCAGCTGGAAATACTGCTATTATTCTCTCAAACCTCTTCAGTCATGGATTGAAGATCTTATCAAACGTATTGACCAACTAAGAGTTTGGGGAGAAAAGAATTAACAACCAAATGTATTTTGGATTTCTGGTTTATCATTCCCTACAGGTTTCACTACAGCTCTTCTCTAACAATCAGCAAGAAAGTTAAGAGTTCCTATTGATCAATTTGGCTGGGACTTTAGGTAAAATTAAAAATAATTTATTAATTCATTTAAAAATTGCTTAAAATTAACTGATTTTTTAATAAAATATAGTTTCCTTCCTTATGATACTCATGTTAGCACTCCTGCTAAAGAAGGTGCATATATTTCTGGTTTATACCTTGAAGGTGCCAAATGGGATGGAGACAAAAATTACATTGTTGATGCAGAACCTATGAAACTTCACTATTAAATGCCTGTAATTCTCTTTAAGCCAGTCTACTTTGAAGGAAAGTAAAAGCAAAAGAAGGGTGAATCTAAATATGCATGCCCTACTTATATTTATCCTAACAGAACAGGTGTCAGAGAAAAACCTTCTTATATGTTTACTGTTATGCTTCCAATTAAACCTAACCCATCTGCTCAAGGTAGCTCAGATTAAGATTTCTGGGTTAAGAGAGGTACAGCTCTTCTTATGTCCTTAGCAGACTGATTTTACTTAAATAAATACCAAAAATCAATAAATAAAAATAAATATTTTTGCAAATTCACAATACATATTTTATTTTGGAATTAATTCCATAAGATTACTTTTATTAGATATATTTAGAGTTTTTATGAAAACCTTTATAATTAATAAAATTATTTATTTTTATGAGGAATTACTTTGATTTATTTTTAATTTAAGAACATCCAAATTTTGAAAAAAATATTCTAATATTATGCAAAACCTTTTTCTAAATGTTTTTTCATTTCTTATAAATTTTATTTTACTAAAAAATATTTTATTAATATTACTAATCATATATTTACTACTCACAAAATAATATTTTGAGAATAGCAATACTACTTGTATATGTGTTTTGTAAAAATTTTTATAAAAACTAGAGTTTGAAATTTACAACCTATAAATTATAAAATAAAATTAAAAGAATTTGATTTTTGAGATAATTTTAAAATATTCATTCCTTTTCTATTTTTCTCTAAATTTATTTTATTTGAATACTTTACTGATTCGATAGCATGTTGAAGATAATTTTTTAAATTAATATATTAAACAAAGTTAGGAATTTAAGAATAATATTACAAATTTTTAGTTAAGATATTGAATAATTTAAAAATACATTTAAAGAAGATTTAATAAAAAAAATAAAATGATATCTAAAGCTATAACATTTAAACAATTATAAGAAGTATGTAAATTTTTATATATAATATAAAATATTTTTATTTTTAAATAAAAGTTTGTAGACTCAAACGATTAAATTGATACCTAGCTAGAACTAAAATTAGAGTAATTACTATTTCAAAAAATACTTTAGATTAAAAAAAAAATATAGCAAATTTTAGCTGACTTATAAGATTTTAAAAAAGAAATTAGAAACTAGATGATGCATGTATATAAACGCTATGTAATAAATTGTATTACCTTACAAATTTAACTAGATTAAGTCTAAATTTAAGGTATAGTTATTATTTTAATAGATTTTTTTAATTAAATTTATACAATCAATTAATAAAATCAAAATTTGATAGTCAATACAAAACAAATTATAAAAATATTCCTTCTATAAATTTCATTTATTTACTTTCTATTTAAATAATTGTTAACCTTAATAATTTTAATTACAAAAGAATGCAATAAATTTCTTGTTTATTTTATTTATAATAAATATTTAAATATTCATTAAATTAAAAAGGGATAATAAGATTGGTAAAAAAGGATCATCTGTTTTGGGTGTAACATTAAAAAATTTGAAAAATCTTGAATTTCTTTCTCTAATACTCTAGTAAATAAAATAAAATTCAATTTTAATTATAAATATAAATTTTTTAATATAAGATAAAATGAAATAAATGATTAAGGAATATCAGATATAGCTACTGGAATAAAAAACTGCAAAAAACTTTCAGTTTTAGACTTAGATCTAAAGTATTTAATAAATTTAAATTATTTGGAAAAAATAATATGTGAGTATTAAAATTGAAATTAAAATTTGCTATAAAAATTAAAAAATATATCTTTTTTTCACAATTTTAATAAATGCTGAGCATAAAATCTATTAGCAGTTATTAGAGCTTTATTTTTTAATATTTTTTGATAAATAATTAGAGCAAACTATGTAAATCAAAAAGGCGCTACTGCTTTAGGTACTAAAATAGGTAGTTGCCCAAATCTCTAGAGTTTGAAATTAAATCTTTCGTACTTCTTTTAATTATTCTATTCTATTTTTAGACTATTAATATTGATCACCTTATTTTTTAATTAATTTTTTATTTAAAACAGATGGAATAATATCTCACTTAAAGGCGGAAAGGATTTGCTAGCTGGGCTTGGAAAAAATGCTTCACTTAAAAAGTTAATATTTGATTATTCTTAAAAGTAATATGTTTTTTAATATAAAAAATTTAATAAATGAATTTTTAGCAAGTTTTTATTAATATTTATTTTTTAAATATTAATTACAATAAAAATTAAAAAATAGATCATTAAAATGTTGATCTTATTAAAATTGATTATTTATTTATTTTTGTTTGTTTAAAAATTTTATTTTCTATTTCTTTAAAAAAAATAATCCTTTTATTAATTACAAAGTAAAATACAATATATATATAAATATATTTTATTTTATTAACTTATTTAGATTGAATTAATTTGAAGATTAAAATTATGTCATAAAATAATTATTTATATTTTCTTTTATTTAAAAGGGGAATTTAATAATATGGTTCTGATGTAACTGGAATAGGTTAAGGATTAAGTTCATGTATTAATCTTATAACCTTCTAACTTAATCTTCCGTAAAATTATATAGATCAATTATATGATTTTATCTTTTTTAAAAACACCTTTCAACAGTTAAAAAAATTTTAAATAACAGACTTAATAACATTTCTGATTATCATGCAATAAACTTAGGTCTAGGATTGAGTTAATGTATAAATTTAGAAAAATTGATCATTAAATTATAGTAATTAATATAAAAAATTATTGATATTAATCAGATATTTTTGTTTAGTTTAGAAATCTTTTAAAGATTTTTTTACTACAATTTAATTAAAATATTTTTTAATTTTAAAGCTAAAATCAAATAAAGGGGTAAGGAATGAATGATCTAGTTAAAGGAATAGCAAAGTGTACATAACTCAAAGATCTTTAACTATATATGAGGTATTAAAGTTGTTTTTTAATTCAACCTAGAACTTTAGTTTTAATTAAAATTTTTTTTTTCTTATTTTTAATAGTAAAATATTTTATTAATAGTTTTAATAGTATTGGTGAATTAGGAGTAGATGGTTTAGTTAATGAATTGAGTGCTTTTAAATTTTTATTAAATTTGAAGCTTGATTTTATGTAAAAAAATAAAATTTTATTTCATTTAGATTTTCAAATTAAACTATTTTCTACATCAAATAAAAAAAATAAGTTACTTTTAAAACTTCAATAACAAAATAAATCCAAAAGTGAAAAAATTTAAAAAAATTAATTATCTTCAACTAATAAAGTAATATTAATTAAATCTTTAAGAATTAATTAACTTTCAACTTTTATGGATTCTGTTAATTTTTATTAATCATATAAACAGTATATTTTTTTTAAATAAAAGAATGAATGGCATTAATCATGTAAGTAAAGCTAAATTAAAAAGTAAAATCTATAAAATGTAAAGATTGGTCTCATCATAGATATGTTGTTGATTCATCTATTATTGAGTATATACCTGAATATAAAAAATTTAAATAATCTAAATAATTTAATAATGTTATTTACATTTAGTTTTATTCTTTTACAAATGAAACAACATAATTAAACAATCTGTTGTTACATCTATATTATTTATTTTGATCAATCCTTTTGAATAAATACAAAACATGCTTACAATTAAAATAATTTATATACTTGAAAGAACATCATTATTTTCTTAATAATTAGAAAAGATATATTCAAAATCATTTAATAATTAAAATTAAAATTTTGAAATATCATTTATAAATATAACCAAATTAATGTATTATTAAATTCCATTATTTATAATAAGTCTATATATAAATTATTTAAATTCTTTTATTAGTTAAAAAGAGTTTATTTTAAATTTAATTTACTATTTTACTAATCAAGCAAGATGGTAAAACCATCAATTTTTATTTCTTTTTAAAAATTCTTAAAAATTAAAAAAAAAATCTATTTCTAAAGAATACACTAATATATACTAAATTATTTAATGATTTAAATAATAGTAGTATACTATCAATTATAGCCTTAATGTTAATTTAATGGGAAAGTCAAAAAAAATAGTAAAATTAAATATTTTTCTGAAAGAATATTAACAAGTATGTATTAACATAAATTATATGAACTATATTATTTATCTATTTATTATTATAAAATATTATTTATTACTTACAATTAATTCAATTTATTGATTTTTCGTTAATCATATTAACGATTCCTGAAAAAAGGGAATGCTTGTCTTAAAGTAGAATTTAAGGGTTGTTAAATTCTTGCACTTTTCCGTGATCTAGTACTAAGATTTTATCGCAATCCATAATAGTTTTTATTTTATGAGCAATTGTAATCATCATGCATTCTTTGAAATATTCATTTAAAATTTTGGTTATATGATCTTCCATATGCAAATCTATATGACTAGTAGGCTCATCTACAATGATAATTTTCGATTTTTTGAGGATAATTCTTCCAATGCTGATTAATTGTTTTTCTCCTTCAGATAGATTATCACCAAGTAAAGTTATCTAAATTAATTAAAAAATTTGATAAAAATATATATAATTTTATATTTATACCTATGTGTCTAGTCCTTTTTAAAAAGAATAGCAATTAGAAAAACCACAGCTTTCATATACCCTATTTATTTCTTCTATAGAGTATGTTCCATAAGGATCAAGATTCTGTTTAAGACTTCCTTCAAAAATATAAGGTTCTTAGCTAACAACACTTATAGTATCCCTAAGTTCTTTTAGTGAGTAATTCTAAATAGGTTTTCCATTTATTAAAAGATTTCCTTAAACTAAGTCTATAATTTTTGTTAGAGCAAGAGTTATTGATGTTTTTCCTGCACCAGTTCTTCCAACAACTCCTATTTTTTAACTACCTTAAAAAGTAAGATCAATATTGACTAAACAGTTTGGAAGATTTTCTCTATATTAAAATGATGCATTTTCAAAAACAATTGATTGTTAATAATTCAGCTACTACCTAGAAGCATAGCTTGCTTATTCAATATCATCATTTAATTGATAAATACTTGAATTGTTTAATTAAATATTTTTTTTATCATGATTTTCTTCTTCAGTCTCATAGTTTTCCAAAAGAACATTCCTATGAAATATAATCAATAATTTACTAAAAATTAAAAGAAAATATAAATTTACTATTTTAGTCTAAAGCATCTTTCAAAGTTTACTAAATGGGTTTCGTAAGAAATGTAGAAATTGGAAAATTAAATAAAAGTACTGCATAACGTTGATATTTATGATACAACTATAAAGCAAGAGTTGGCATCCATGTTCATGTCAAAATACTGTATTTACAAATATGATAATTATATTAAAATCAGAAAATTATAATTTATTTATTACAACTAAAAATGAGGCAGATAACAAAGGTATGACACACAGTACTGCAGTAATTTACTCATACCAGTTTTAAATACCATTTAAAGCCACTTGATTTCTTAAATCAACATCAACATAATCTTTATAATTATCTTTTATATTAGCATACTTCACACAATTACGTAGATAGAAAATACCTCTAATTATTTCAGAAAAGTACTATAAAATTGGACTTTTTGATGTGGCCTCTATTTTTAAAATTTATTTTTAAGAAATTTGATTTTGGTATTGGTAAAATCTATTCAAAAATTTGTTTCTTAAATCAATTTATTTTTAGTTATCAATATTTGAAATCCATAAATACAATTTTATTGAAATAAAACTAAAAGTTAAAATTTACCTATTCTAGTGACTTATCTTTTAGCTGTTACAAAGTAGTAAGTAAGGAGAGCAGAAATAAAAAGATATACTATACAAATCGAAATGGTTTTTATATTGCACAAGGTCATTGTGGTTATTGTACAAACAACAATTGTTCCAACTAAGCTAATAAATGTTTAAATATCTTTAGAAATCAGCATGTCTATTTCATAAATATCTTTAGAAAGTCTATTCATTAGACGTCCAGTTGTGATTAAGTTATAAAATTTAGTGAATGAAGCTCTAAGGAGTGAAAAAACTATTGAGTTGTGCAAGTATCTAGAAAGAGAAACCATCCTAAAAACTATGAATATTTCGTAAATAAAGATAGAAGTAATTTTGACTGCATTATAAAGACAATAGAGCATCATAATTTTAAATTGTTATTCCTATGTAGAATCACTTTTAACTTCTTGCACAATAATTTAAGAATAATAGCTAATTAATATATAACCGGCTATCACTATAATTAATAAAAAACATATTTATTTTATAATTTAATTAATTTATTTTACATATTAAAATTCCAAAAATAAAAAAGAATCCTCCAAGATTTTTAATAAATTCAACAAAAACTTCTAATTTAAAATAGCCTTAAGAAATATCCTCAGTTTAAATAAGTTTTTTTGTGTGATTTTAGCTTTATATTTAGAAATTTTTTAGCTTTTTGGAACTTTGTAGAATATTGACTGACTACCTCCTTTCTTACTCAATCTCTTTTTTTTCTTCTTCCCCATCATAAATTTTATTTTATTCTTAAGCAATAATTTTCCTTATTTGATTATACGTTCCTTCTTGAGTGATCTCTCCCTCTTTAACTAAAAAAATTCTATCTGCTTATTCCATTCCAACCAAATTATTTGTAAAGACTAGTCTTGTTTTATCTTTTAGTATTCCTCTTATGCATTCTTTTGAAATAAAACTTGCCACTCCAATATCAAGAGCACACAGAGGGTCATCCAAAATATAAATATCAGCTTCTCTATAAATTGATCTGGCTAAATTTACCCTTTTCCTTTGACCACCAGATAAAGTTTCTCTTTAAAATCATATAAACATTTTTTAATTTTATTCTTATAATTTTAAGTAAATAAAAAAGGAAAAATGAAATTAAAAAAAGAAAAATGAAATTGAAAAAGGAAAAATTCAGTAAGTATTACCCCTTTTCTCCAATATTTGTTGAATCTCCATCGACAAAGTAAGAAATATCTTCATCTAGACAGCTGACTTTTAGAACTTATTCATATCTACTTTAATCGTATTGTTATCCAAATAAAATGTTTTCTTTAACAGTGTCTTAAATTACCCAGGGTTCTTATGTGCAGAGACTGATAGAGCCATTTATTTTTACCATTTTCTAAAATGATTCTTATCCTCCATAAACTTCCATCTCTCCAAGCATTGCTTACAAAACAGAGCTCTTACCACTGCCCAAGCTAAAAAATTAATAATACAATAAATTTAATTTACATAAAGTTTAGAATAAATTACTCTCCATAAAATACAAAAAACACTCCTTTCTTAATTTTCAAATTTAAATTTCTAATTTAAAAGGTATTTTCTTCAACAGATGATAAAGATAATCTCTCTCTTTTAGAAAGCTTTACAGAACTTTAAATTTTGTCAACATCAATTTAATTTTTCCAAGTAAACTATCCATTATTTATTTCTATAGAGAAATCATCGCTTGAGATATTCTCATTATTATCAGAGTCTGAAATTTAATACTAATACACAAAAGATTCACTCAAATAATTATCAACTCTCTTCATGGAGTTGAAACCAACTACAATACCTTGTATCTAAGAAGGAACAAACACTAAATATGCCAAGAGAATCTAGTAAGTATTATTAATCATAATTAGTTACCCAAGAGAGTTTATACCAAATAAAAATGTGATGAGCAAAATTGTTATGACAGAGGATATGTTTGAAGTAAAAGAATTTATGCTTACAAGAAAATTTTAAATTCTGATTTGTTTTAATTCTTTTTCTCTTTTTTATTGAATCTTAAAAATTATTAAAATAATAAATAACTTTTTTTTAACAAAAAAAATAAAATAATTTTAAATAATTACTCTCTAATCAAAAAAGGTTTCTAAGCTATTGTATTTGATAGTTTTTATTCCCCTCATCATCTCTTCAAGAGATCTCATTCTAAGATCTTTTAAGTGCATGAATTTCTTTTGAACGGAACCATAAAACTTGCCTAATATCAGACACAACACAAATGTTACAAAACAACAAAGAGACATCACTAAAACTACAATAAACTCTTTTATTTAATCATAGCACAAATAGATTGAAAATCCAATAAAAGGAAAGACTAGTGCAAATTAAAATAAACTCTGAATGTATTACACAATCTATAATTAAAAAAAACTAAGTTTTAAAGTAAAAAATATATTTATTACCTGCAATATATCAACTTGGACCATATTCAATATATCTCCTATCTTATAAAATTAATTTCTTTGCATAGGAAAGCAATATGTTTTTTAGAATATCTTCATGCTTATTGCCCCAGTGATTCTGACAGAAAGTAAACTCTAAGATTAAAAATAGTAATTAATACAATATAACTAAGTTTAAAATGTACATAGTAAAAGTTAAAGTTTGATTTAGAGATAGATTAGAGAACACTAACTCCAATAAAGTACAAAACAGGATATAATATTAAAAGGAAAGACTCTCCACGTTATGGACTGATAAAACTTTCAAGTAATTTTTAAAAAACTAGATTTAAAAGTATATAACTTGACTAGTTGATGAAGTAAAGGATAATACAAATAGCAATTTCCTCTTTTTTATTTAAAAAAATGATTATTTTTACTTTGAATTTTAATAAAATTAATTTTTACTTTTATAAATTCTGAAAAAAGTAGCTCTCATTTTATTTTTAATTTTTTCATCTTTCAAAATATCTTCATAAGCCTTGTCAAATTTTTCAAAGTTATACTGGCTTTTATCTTTTGTTTATAATTAGTAGATATCATCTTGATTTAATGCTTTTTTATGCGATTTCTTTTGAGATAAAAAGTTTATTTAATCCAGCTTTAAAAAAATATATTTTACAATTAGCAGTCGATTAACCCATAGGAAAAACACTCTTGAAAATATATTTATATTTTCTAGAGGGCTATTCAGCATTTCCTTAGGATTTTCATCTTTTTAGCTGATAAGTTTCTCATTTATTTCTTTAAATTGATTTTCGATGTCGTTTATTCTATTACTCATAAAGTAATTGTTTTTTTTATTTTTATTGATATAATTAATTTTTATTACAAAATTAATCATATCTACTTATATTCAGGATAATTATTTATTTTTCTGATATTTGCATTATATAATTAGATTATCAAGCATCAAAAAAAATTTGTTTTATTGATCAGGTATATATTGTTTTCTGACTAATTTCAAACACTTTTGAATGGAGATCTCCTTTTGTTATTTTTTGTAAATATTAATAATTCTGATAAATTCTTAATTAAAGTGATACTTTTGTATATTAAAGATAAAGATAATGCAAAATAGATTAATTGCTGAATTTATTTTTTCCCATAAAGTTTCTAAATAATTATTAATCGATCTTTATTTCAAACTATTATCATAAATAGGGTTAAGAATTTTATTAAATGTGATATGAGTAATCCCTAATTTAATTTTTAAATATTTTTAGCATATAACCCAAAAAAAATAGTTTATTATTGCCCTCTACAATTAAAAAGTAGTAAAATTTGAGATTTTAAAATTTAAAAACAATAAAATAATTAATTTAATAAGTTTAGTAAAATAATTTACAATATTGTTATGCAAATAAAATAAATAAATAAAAATAAAACTATAAAATGAAATTAAAAAAATTAAGAGAAGATGAAATTTAATAAAAGTGATTTTACGAATATGAAATTTCAATAATATAGAAATATAATAAAAATAAAGAGATATGATTATTTAACTCCTTTTTTTAATAAATAAATCAATTAATTGTATTATTCTTTATCATATTTAATATTCCAGAAAAATGTGAATTTTTATTTTATAAAAGAGTGTTTGGGTTATCAAATTCCTGTACTTCACCATGATCTAACACAAGTATCTTGTCACTGCCCATTATAGTTTTTATTTTGTGTGCAATAGTGATCATCAAACAATTTTTGAAGTTCTCATTCAAAATTCTTGTTACATGTTCTTCCATTTATACATCTATATGGCTAGTTGGTTCATCAACTATAATTATTTCTGACTTTTTGAGTATAATTCTACCTATGCTGATTAATTATTTCTCACCTTCTGATAAATTATCACCTAACTAACTTATCTTTATTTTTAAAATTATAATTTAGAAACATTCTTTTAAAAATAATTTACTTCTGTATCTAATCCTTTTTGAAAAGAATAGCAGTTACTGAATCCACACTAGTTGTATGTTTAAAGAATTTCATTGTCTGAGTACTGCCTATATGGATCTAAATTTAGCTTGAGACTACCTTCAAAAATATATGGCTCTTAGCTAACAACACTAATAGTTTCTCTGAGTTGTTTAAGACTATAAGTCTAAATGCTCTTTCCATTAATTAAAACATCGCCTTAAACTAAGTCTATTATTTTTGTTAAAGCTAAAGTAATAGATGTTTTTCCTGCTCCTGTTCTTCCAACAATCCCTATTTTCTCATTTCTCATAAACTTAATATTAATGTTTTTCAAGCATGCAGGAATATCTTTTCTATATTAGAATGAGGCATTCTTAAAAATAATAGATTGTCGATAATCTACATTTGCACTTTGAGGTTTACAATCAGATATCGAATCAAAGTTTTGGTCAAGGAGAGGTGGAGCTTCTTCTTCTACTTCAAAAATAATTTAAGAAGAAGATTTTATTTATTAATTTGTATCTAGAGCAGCTTAGTCTTCATAGTTTTCAGAAATGATATTCCTTTTATTTAATTAAATTTTAAAACTTATATCAAATCAAAAAATGTTACTATTTTAATTTTAGACACCTCTCAAAGTTAACAAAATGAGTCTCAAATGAAATCCATCCTTAAGAGAAGATAATAAATCCAACTGACAAGTTAGTAACTTAAACTGCAATCATGATAGCTGTATTTGGAGAAACATCAGTTTCATAGTACTTTTGTTTGAATAAAAATTTTTAAGCTGATGAATAACTTTTAAAAAAGAATTGATTACAACAATTATTAAAGTTACTAGAATTGGAAACATAAATAAAAAGTTAGAAATGCATTCAAACCAATACTAAACACCATTAAGAGCAATTTGGTTCCTTAAATCAATATCAACATATTCCTAAAATTTGTTTTTTATATTTTGGTATTCAACACAGTTACGGACATACTATAACCCCCTTATTATTTCTGAAAAGTATTGCAGAATTGGACTTTTAGATGTAGCCTCTTTTAATTAAAGGTAAAATATTTTTTAATGATTAAGAAGTAGGTGACATTTTCAAATATATAGCAATATGCTAAAGAAAAATTTAGTGGTTTAAATTACACTAAAAGCTTAATTGGTATATTTTAAATAATAATTTAGGAATTATAAAAAAAAAATATTTATTGATTTAAAATTAATAATATTATTAATTTTAATTTGAAATTGAAAATAATTTACCTAATAATATGTAAATTTATTTAGCTTTTTTTTATTAATTTTTGAAGTGAAAATTTCAAAATTGGGGGCTAAATTATTTATTTATAATTAATTTATTATATTTTCTCATGAATTTGAAAAATTATTTAATAAATAATTTAAAAAATAACTTTTTAAATCAATCCTGGTAATTATCCTTAAATAATTTGAGATATTTTTAATATCAATTTAAAATAAAAAAAAATAAATTACCTATTCTAACTATCTATCTTTTGGCTGTTATAAAATAATATGCTATAAAAATGGCTAAAAATATATAAAATATTGCAATAGCCATGGTTTTTATATTACATAACATTATAACAGTTACTCCAGAAACAATTATAGTAGCAAAATTATTTAATACAGTAGCAAAATCTTTAGGGATTTACATATCGATTTCATATATATCTTTTGAAAGACGATTTATAAGACGGCCAGTTGTAATTAAATTATAAAATTTAGTAAAAGAGGCTCTTAGTAACTTATACACAATAGATTTATGTAAGAGTCTTGAAAGAGATACCATTCGAAAAATAATAAATTATTCATAGAATAGTATTGAAACTAATCTAAGAGAGTCATATAAGCAATACAACATCATTATGTTATATTAAGTGTTTGAGTCTTCATCGTTTTTAACATCTAATATGACTAGTCTAGAATACATATTACTTAATATGAAACCTGCTAAAACTTTATAAATAAATATTAATTAATAACTATCTAACTAGCATAGAAACATAAAATTAAAAAAATGAATTTACGTATTAATAAAGTAGATATAAAGAAGAATCCTCCAAGATCTTGAACAAATTCTTTAAATACTTCAAATTTGATGTATCCTTACTAAATATCTTCAATTTAAATAAGCTATTTAGTATAATTGTTATTAAATATTTCTTAGTTAAGCTTTTTATGGTTTTAAAGAATAGCGTTTGACTACTCTCTTTCTTTTTCTTCCTCAATTTTATCTTACTCTTCATTGAAATCCTTATTCAAATTAGATTGTATTATTCTTTTGACATAGGCGTAATTTCCCTCATCAACTATCTCTCCATTTTTTACAACAAAAATTCTATCTGAATTGCTCATTCCAACTAGATTGTTTGTAAAAATAACTCTTGTTTTATTTTTAAGCATTCCTTCAAAGCATTCTTTAGATATCTAAGAAGCAACACCTATATCTAGGGCTGCTAAAGGATCATCCATCACGTAGATATCAGCTTATTTGTAAATAGATCTTGCTAAATTCACTCTTTTTCTCTAACCACCAGATAAAGTATCCCTTTTTAAAATGAATAATTTATAAATATTAGTAAAAAAATCGAGATCATAAATGGTAATAAATATCATAAATTATTTTAACTATTTCAATTAAAAAAAAAATCATGAAACTATAAAAAAAAATAGATATGGTATTTAACAATATTTTAAAATTAAATAATTTTATTTAATTTATTTAAGATAGTTAATTGAATTAAATTAAAAAAAATAATATACCCTTTCTCTCCTATATTAGTTTGATCTCCATCTACAAAGTAAGCAATATCTTCTTCTAAGCAGCAAACTTTTAATACTGTTTTGTATCTTAGTTGATCCTTTGATTATCCAAATAAAATATTTTCTTAGACAGTGTCTTATATTATCCAAGGTTCTTGAGTGCATAAGCTGATACTTCCATTAACTTTAACTTTGTTTTAAAAAGCTTTCTCACCTCCTTGTACTTCCATCTCACCTAAAATAGCTTATAGAATTGAACTTTTACCACTACCTAAGCTATATTTAAAAAAAATTTTTAATTTTTTATAATAATATAAATAAACTTTTTACTCTCCATAGAATACTACATATTCTCCTTTCTTAATCTTCAAGTTTAAGTTTTTAATCTTAAATGCATTTATTTGATTGTTTTAAGAGAAAGATAGTCTTTCTCTTTTATTGAGTTTCACTGAGCTTTAGATATTAGAAATGTCAATTTAGTTTTCCCAAGAAAAGTTACCATCTTTGATTTCAATAACTAATTCAGATTATTCTATATCTTCTTTTTAATAATCTATACTTTGCTGATAAATAAAAGACTCAGTAAGATAATTGTCTATTCTTTTCATAGAATTTGAACCTACCACAATACCTTGTATGGCATTAGGAATAACAGATAAATATCCCAAAACACTTCCATATGTACTATTTATCGTTAGAAACTCATTTAAAGAGGTAATTCCAAATATAATAGTTATCAAAAGAACATTCACATCAGTTGATATGTTTGATATAAAATTAGTAAAACTAACGAGTAAATTTTATAGTCTCAATTATTTGATTTCTTTTTCTCTTTTCTATTTAATCTAATTAATAAAAGAATAATTAATTATAAAGCTGAATTTTAATAAGTAAATTATTTACTCTATTATCAAAAAAGTCTTCAAGATTGTTGTATTTGATTGTTTTTATTCCTCTCATCATTTCTTCAAGAGATCTCATACGCAAATCCTTCTCATGCATAAATTTTTTTTAGATAGATCCATACCATCTACCAAAAACTAAATTAATAATAAAAGTTACAATACAAACAGCAATCATGATCAAAAGTATTAGAAAGTTCTATATCTAATCATAGCAGAGATAAAATTAGAAGATAACAAAAGGAAATACAAAAAGGAAAGTAAAGAGGTTCTATATGTAAGTTACAATCTATTAAATTTAAATTTATTATAATAAATAATATTAATAAATTTTGAAACAAGCAAGCAAAAAAATTAAATATTACTTATAAGATATCTACTTAGACCATATTTAGAATATCTCCAATCTTATAAAATTGATTTCTTTACATAGGAAATTAATAAGTTTTTTGAAATATCTTTAGACTTAGAGCTCCTGTCATTCTAACTGTAAGTTAGCTCTAATACAATATAAAATTAAATTAAAATAAAAATTTTTCATATAATTAGTTAATTTACATAGTAGAAGTTATAGTTAGATTTTATGATCGATTAAAAGATGTATACACCAGACTATAAAAAAATGCCTGGCAATAAGGGAGCAAGTGAACTTCCACGGTCTGGACTAGCGTAACTAAGAAGAATCATCTTAACAGATAAAGTGTTCAAAATCTAGCTCATTAAACTAAAAAAGTATAGTATTACTACTATAAATATTTCCTCTTTATTTTAAAAATATAAATTGTAATTTCAGGCATTAAATTAGAGGATATTAATTACTCTTAAAAATTCGGAAGAAAATTGTCTTGATTTTATTCTTCACTTTAGGATCATTCTTTACTTCTTCATAAACATGTTCAAATTTTTCAAAATTATATTGACTTTGGTCTTTTTTATACAATTAGAAGATGTCTTCCTGCGATAAAGATTATTTGTGCGATTTCTATTTTAAAATTTTTTTTAATTTAGCAATAAGCCTAATAATATTTAATATTTTACTTTAAGAAGTGGGTTTATCCAAAAGAATAATAATCTTGAGAAGATATTTATTTTTTTGAAAGGATTATTAGTATCTTCTAAATCTGTTTTCTTTTATTTTTAAATGAAAGACTGATTTAAGTTGTTTTCTTCGTCTTTAGATTTTTGATTTTGATGTGACATTTAAAACAAATTTATTTATTATTGGTTTTTTTGTTTTATATTTTGTTTTAAATTCTTATTTTTTTGTAAATTTATATTTATTATAATTATTATATTTTAAACAACCAATTTTCCTGTAATTTCAAAGCAAATAATTATTCGTTGGATATTCTTTTTTATTATTGAAAAAAAACAACCATCGCTTTTTAATTATTAACTCAAGTATGTAATCAATTTAATATAAAATATAATTTTAATTTTAAAATAATCTAAAAGTTAAAAGTCTTATTCTTATCACATATATACCATCTTTATAATTTAGTTTCTAAATTCTTTCTTTGTCCTGAATTTGAGATTATCGCCCTTCTTGACATCTTTCTTGATTTTTTTCTGATCAAAATTAATTTTGATTTAGATATTAATTAATTCTGACTAGATAGCTCATTTTTGGTTATGTTTTAAAGATATGTTTAGTAAAAATCATTCTAAAGCCTGATAAATTCTTAATTAAAATTGAAATCTTTTAATTAAAATAAATGATATCTATATAAATTACAAATAATATCTCAACTTACCTTACGTTTCCACTTTAATAAAAGATTATTATTTTTTTTTTGTGTTTTCAGCTTTTAATTATTGCTTCAAAAAAAATCATACAATAAGTAAAGAGTTTTATTGATTAGATTTGAATTTTACAATTTTCCAGAAATTTAAACTATTCAAAAATAACTGAATTACAGTTTTTAAAAATGTTGGATTTTAAACTAAAATAATGTTAAACGTCTTTTAAAATTAAGTAAATTTTAAACTTAATAAATTTAATAATAATTATTGATTCTATAATAACAAATTCTTAATTTTAATAGATATGACAATAAAGTTTATTGGTTATTTTTATTTATTATTTTAATGGAAATATCAAAACAATAGTAATTAAAATATTCAACTGCTATCATAAATATAATGTGAAGAAACTTCCAAATTATTAATCTATGTTTTTGTTATGTTTAACATTTTTTACAATCAACAATCTAATTTTTTATTACTTAAACATTTTAAATTAATTAAGTTATTGAGTCTAAATTTCTTCTATTATTTAATTCCTAATTCTGTTTATTATAATTTTATTTCAGAGTCAAATGGTTGAATTTTTTTTATCAAGAACCTTATTGTTATTTTAAAACTAAAACTTTTCATTCAATTATCAATTTAATCTTTAAATTTACCTTCTATTAAAGTATTATTTATTTCAAAATAAATAATTAATTTGAAAAATTTAATCCATTTTAATTTTTATAAATAATTCAATTTTTCATGAATTATGAACAGACTAATAAGGTAAAGTTATTAAATTTTAAAAAAGTGATTTTATTTGATGATTTTTTTAGTTTAAAAATTCTGAAAATTAAATCAAATTATGAAAATATGGTGCAATTTTTTATTATTTTAATCAAAATTTGTAAATATTTTGATGGCTCGCTATTTTTTATTTAATGTCAGAAAATGAATTATTATTTTATTCATATCTTTTATTTAATTATGTTCAGTTCTTAGTATTATTTAAATAATCGCTAATAAATTAGTGGTGATTATTTTTTGCAGAATGCTAAAGTAGTTTTATCTAGAATATAAATCAAAGCAATTTTTTTATAATATTAATTGAAAATCTATTGAAAAAACATTCATTTAATAGTTTAGTATTTAAATTATTAAAGAATGACTTTAAGATCTAAATAATATTTAGCTAAAATTAATTTTGCATAAATAAATTTATTTTTATAGTTAAACATAATTAAAATAGAATTACTTATAGAAAGAAATATGAAATAACAATTCAATTAATTTTGTGCTTTGTGATAATTTTGATTATTTCTGAAAACTAAGAGTTTTTATTTTTTAATAAATTTTAAGGAGAATCATATTCTTATATTTTTCCATGATTTAATACCAAAATTTTATCACTGCTCATAATAGTTTTAATTTTATGAGCAATAGTAATCACCAAGCAGTTTGTGAAATTTTCATAAAGAATATTAGTAATAAACTCTTCCATATTAGCATCAATATGACTAGTAGGCTCATCAACAATTAAGATTTTAGATTTTTTTAAAATGACACGAGCTATACTGATAAGCTATTTTTCACCTTCGGAAAGGTTATCACCTAATTAGCTTATCTAAAATTAAAAAGAATAAATTAAATATTCTAAACTATTAATAAATGGAAAAACAAACTGACAAATAAAAAATAAATTTACTTCAGTATTAAGACCTTTTTAAAATGAACTAAAGCTATTAAATCTACATTATTAGAAGACATTATTGATTTATTTATCTGTGTACTGATTGTAAGGATCTAAATTGAGCTTTAAAGTTCCTTCATAAATATAAGGTTCTTAGCTAACAACACTGATTATATTTCTTAATTCTTATAGTGAATAATCTTTAATAGACTTTCCATTTATTATTACATCTCCAGAAATCAAATCAATTACTTTTGTTAGAGCTAAAGTTACAGATGTTTTTCCTGCTCCAGTTCTACCAACTACGCCAATCTTTTAATTTCCTGTGAAACTTAAGTTCAAATTAGATAAACAATTTGGTAGATCTGCTCTATATTAAAAAGAAGCATTCTAAAAAATAATTGATTGCTCTTAGTTAAAGCTATGAGATAATTAAGAATTCTAATTTCCAACTTAAGAAATTTTATTTTCATTTTCTGAATTATCATTATTTTAAATAGAAATTTAGAGAGAATTTTCAATATTTCCGTTCTCATTTGAGTAATCTTCTAAGACAATGTTTCTGTTAATATTTTTATGTCATTTTTAAATAAAATAAGCAAAATCTTAATTCAATTTACTATTTCAATTTGAGGCATCTTTCATAATTAACAAGACGCGTTTCACACTCAAGCCATGTCTAAGATAATTTAATCATACTGATAGATAAATTTGATACTTATAGTGCCATTAACATAGCAGTTTAGGATGAAATTGAATTATCAAAATACTATTTTTAATTAAAAAATAAATTTAATTTATTTTAAATTAATTAATCTTACTCCTAATGCTGATGAAATTAATATAGGAAACATACTCAAAAAAGAAGCTATTGATTCAAACCAGTATTAAATTCCATTCAGAGCTATTTAATTTCTTAAGTCTACATTAACATATTATTAGAATGTATCTCTGATCAATTCTTCTTTTACACAACTACGTAAGTATGTAAGACCTCTAAGAATTTCTGAGAAATATTACAGGATAGGACTTTTTGAAGTAGCCTCTATTATGATAAATTTATTTTAATTATCTTATTGGTAAAATAATGAATTAATTAATTAATTACCTATTCTGACTATTTATCTTTTAGCAGTAAGAAAGAAGTAAGAAATTAATAGAGCAATAAAGAAATAGACAATAGCAATTGAAGCTATTTTGAATTAACATATTATAATAGTAGAAGCTCCTGAAACGACAACCATCCCAACTTAATTTATAAGTTAGTTAAAATCATAAGGTATAATTGTGTCTACTTCATAAATATCTTTAGAAAGACGATTCATTAAGCGTCCAGTTGTGATCAAATTATAAAATTTTGTAAAAGAAGCTCTCAATAAGTTAAAAACTATAGACTTATGTAAAAATCTAGATAGTGAAAGCATTCTTAAGACTACAAAAGTTTCATATATGAAGATAGATATTACTCTCAAAGTGTCAAAAAGACAATAAAGCATCATAACTTTAAATTATTTATCCTTAGGAGCATCATCATCTACATCTTGCATAATCAATTTAGTTAGTAAAAAAAAAGTTACGAGTCCTATAAACACTTTTGTAATAAAAATATCAAAATATTATTAATTATAATCTTTATAAAATCTATTATTACTTAAGAATAAAACCAAACTAAATAATAATCCTCCTAAATCTTTAGCAAATTGTTTAAAGACAAGCAATTTTATGTACCCGTGCTAGATATCTTCTGTTTGAATCATCTTTTTAGTATAGTTTTACTCTTCAAATTTTGGTTTTTAGTTGCTTTTTAAAAGAACTTTGGATTAACTTCTCTCTAACTCTTCCAGATCTTCATCATTTTCAGCTTCCTTGTTTCCCTCTTTAGCGATTATTTTTTTAATTTAGTTATAATTTCCTTCACTAACAATTTCACCATTTTTAATAAGAATAATCTTATCAGCTTTATTCATACCGACTAGATTACTAGTAAAAATAACCCTTGTTTTCCCTTTAAGCATTCCCAAAAAGCATTCTTAAGCAATAGAAGTTGCGACTCCAACATCAAGCGCACTTAAAGGGTCATCCAAAAGATAAATATCTGAATCTTTATAAATTGATCTTGCCAGATTAACCCTCTTTCTTTAACCACCTGATAGTGTATCTCTAAAAAATTATTCAAAATTAAAATACAAAATCTTGTTAAATGTAAATTAATTTAAATTTTTTACCCTTTTTCTCCAATGTTAGTTTGGTCTCCATCAACGAAGTAGGCAATGTCTTCTTCTAAGCTGCAAACTTAAAGAACTTATTTGTATCTAATAGAGTCATAGGATTATCCAAAGATTATGTTTTCTTTTACAGTGTCTTAAAGTATCCATGGATCTTGTGTGCATAAACTTATACTCCCATTTATTTAGACCATTTTTTAAAAAGAGTTTTCACCTCCCTATACTTCCATTTCTCCTAAGAGAGCCTAAAGGATAGAGCTTTTACCACTTCCCAATCTAATGATTGATTAAACAAATAAATTTAATTTAATTGTAAAAATAAATTTTACTCTCCATAGATAACTACAAATTCTCCCTACTTTACATTAAGATTTAAATTTTTTAATTAAAATACACTGCTCGATTATTTTTAAGATATAGACTCTCTTTCTCTTTTTGTTAGTTTTACAGAATTCTATATTTAGTTGATATTCAGTTAATTATTCCATGAAAAATTACCATTTTAAATAAAAATAGAGGAACCACTCTATTTAACCTAATTATTTTCCTCTGTAGTGTCAGAATTTAATTTATAGATGAAGGATTCAGTTAAATAATTATCTAATCTTTTCATAGAATTAGATCCGATGACTATTCCTTAAACTGACAAAGGAACATTTTAGACAAACTATTAGATAAGCTAAAACGAAGAAAAAATAGCTAAGAATTCACTAAATGAACTTATGCCAAAAGCAAAGGTTATTGTAAAAATTGTAAAAGTGCATGAAAAATTCTATAAAAATTCATTGCAGTTGGCTAAAATCCTTTATTTCTTTAACTGTTTTAACTCTTTTTCTCTAAGCTTTTTAATCTTTAATTTAAAATTAAAATTAAATTAATTTAATTTTGAAGAATAAATTTACTCTTTCATCAAAAAATGTTTCAAGACCATTATATTTTATAGTCTTAATACCCCTGATCATTTCTTCTAAAGATCTCATACGAAGATCCTTCTCATGCATAAATTTCTTTTGCATAGAGCCATACCATTTACCAAAGATTAATGAAAAACTAAAAGAAACCAAAACACAAGCAAAAAGTGTTAATGCAATACCAAAGTCATTTAAGGTAGCATAGCATAAGTAAAATGATAAGATAAGAAATATAAAAGAAAATATTAGTGTGAAGAGACTCTATATGTAAGAAACTATCTATAAAAGTAATTAAAAAAAAAAAAATTTTGATATTTAGTTGCTTAAAATTTGATTATTTTTTAATGCATTTTTAAATTTCTAATTGAGATGTTAATTTTACTTGAAGAATATCAACTTAGATCATGTTCAATATATCTCCAATTTTGTAGAATTAATTTCTTTGCATAGGAAATAATAATGTTTTTTAGAATATTTTCATGCTCAAAGCTCCAGTCATTCTTACTGTAAGAACGCTCTTTTCAATAAATTTTATTAATTTATGATTTATTTTTATAAAAAAGTTTATTTACATAATAAAAATTATAGTTTGACTGAATAATAGACTATGTAAAATAAACTAAAGCCATAACTGATAATCCAATAGCGAGAGGCCCAACTTTTCCTCTATCATCTGATTTAAATGCTTATAGCAATATTTAAATTGCTAGCATATTAACAACACTAGAGAGTAAATACAAAAAGTAAAGTCCTACAGAGATGAAGATCTCCTCTTTTAAGAAAGTATAATTTATAATAGTTTTATAATATAATATTTAAATTACTTTTATAAGTTCTAAAAAAAGCAGTTCTTAGCTTATTAACAACTTTTGGATCAACTTTAACATTTTCATAAATAGTGTTGAATTTATTAAAGTTAAACTCACTAGTATCTTTATCTTTTAATTTGAAGACATCTTCTTATTGTAAACTTCTTTTTTATGATATCTTTTTTGAAATATGATAAAAAATTAATTGTAATCTAATACTAAAGATATGTTTACCTTAAGCAAAGGATAAACCCAGAAAAAGAATGCTCTTGAAAATATATTCGCTTTTTCAAATGGATTTTCAGGTATGTTCACTTTCACATTATTTAAAAGCTACTATGTGAATTATTTTTCAATATCATTTTATTATTAATTATTTTTCATATCAATCGGATATCTTTTTAAGTCTGTCTTTTATTTTTTAAGTTAGAACTTTATTTTTAATTAATTATATTTATTTCTTCAATAGAAATTTCATTTTTATATGAAGCAACTAATTTAATAATTTATCATATTTGAACAGAAGTTAAAAAGATGCTTTCTGTATATTCATGTAAAATTTAAATTATTTATTTTTTAATTATCTAAAGTCTATTGTATTTGTTAATCTGAGAAATTAAGTCTTATTTTAAAATAAATTTTAAATAATAATATTCAATTTAAAACAATTTTATGAAAACTTAAATTACTTAGCATCTTATTTTATTGTGAAAATAACAAAGAAAATTCAAGTTACATTCGTATATTTAAACGAATAATAATTTAAATATAATTTTTTGGTCAGGTTTTATCAATTGCTGATCTTTAATTTTTAATTGGATATTGATTTATAAGTAAAAAAAGATATATTTTCTGATCATTTCTTAATTAAATTTAATTTCTTTATTAACAATATAAATATTCTTATATATAAATAAATATATTAACATATTCACAGAATATATCGCAGATAGCATTATCATTACAGCAATTTAAAATTGAAAATTAAATACTCATTACTCTGAATTTTTTGTAAGCAGAGAAATAAATATCGATATTTGGTACTTGTCTTCATATTTTTTGTTGATATTAATGAGAACTTTCTCTAAATTTTAGTGAGTATCTTTTGCTTTTAGAATATGTTTGACTCTTAGTCATGTTAATAATAATACTAAAAGGATAAAACTACATTAAGTAAATTTAATTAAAAAAGTAGTTGAGTAATTAAATTTTATAAAATTACTGATCAGGTGCTTTTAAAAAAATTTAAGCTTTTATATAAAATATGTATTTAAAGTTGTATTTTATAGTGGGTTGTCTTAATCTAAATTATTTTTTAAGTGCTAATTTTTAGAATATAATCTAAAAATTTTAGTTATTATATTGATCTTTGGTTATTAAATTAAGATAAAAAAAATATTTTATTAGTTTAATATAAGCTATTTATAGCATAAATTTCATGTTATATGAAAGAAAAAAGTATTGTCTAACCTAAATAAAAACTTTAGTTTGAACTTATCATATAATTTTTTACAATCAAATTTAGTAAGGAAGGATTAATGAATTAAATATAAGATAATTTATTACAAATATAAAAAAAATATTTTTAAACAAATGAAATTAATATATACTTTAGATTCTCAAAAATTAGCACCTTTATATATTAACAACCATTTTTTGAAAATATTTAGTTGAACAGCTATATTTTAAAGTAAAAGAATTTGTTTAAAAAAGAAGGAAGATTAGATAAAATACAATGTACAAAAATTATATTATAAATAAATTTTATTATTTTAGAGTGTACTCAATATGTATTTATTTACTTTATATTAAATACAAAAAATAAAATATTATGTTAGACAGATTGATTTCTACTTTTCTCCTAAATTTTTAAAAATTAAGTTCCAAAATATCAATCAATTGATTCCATTTTAATTAATCTTATTCAGTATTCCAGAAAATAAAGATTATTTATTTTAAAGCAGAGTTTAAGGACTATCAAATTCTTTTACTTAACCATGGTCTAAAACAAGTATTTTGTCGCTATTCATAATGGTTTTTATTTTGTGGGCTATCGTAATCATTAAGCAATCTTAAAAACAGTCATTTAGAACTTTTGTGACATGATCTTCCATAGATGCGTCGATATGACTAGTTGGTTCGTCGACAATTATTATCTTAGATTTTTTCAAGATTATGCGGCATATGCTGATTAACTGCTTTTCACCTTCTGATAAGTTATCACCCAGTTAACTAATCTGTTTTTGAAAAAGTTATACTAAATAATAAATATGATAAATATTTACTTAGGTTTTAAGTCCATCTTTAAAAGAACGAAAAGTACTAAATCCACATTTCTTAAATGCATCTATAATCTAGTTTTCTGTGTATTAATTATACGGATCAAGGTTTTATTTAAGACTTCCTTCATAAATATAAGGTTCTTAACTTACAACACTTATTATACTTTTTCTTAGATTTTTTAGAGGATACTCAGAAATGCTTTTTCCATTAATTAGTACATCTCCTTCAACAAGATCTAGTACTTTAGTTAGAGCTAGAGTTATTGATGTTTTTCCTGCTCCTGTTCTTCCTACTACACCAATTTTTTCATTACCCGAAAATTTTATACTGAGATTCTATAAACAATTAGGGAGGTCTTCCCTATATTAAAAAGAAGCATTTTTGAAAACTATTTATTGCTAATAAAAGCAGTCATATTCAGATTCAAACTAGCTATTGTAACTTCTTTAGTTTGATTCTATATCAGGTTGTTTATAGTTAGAATTATTAGATTAATTATTTTATTAAATTTAAGAATTTATTGTTTAAATTTATAACTCGTAATCTTCAGGAATAATACTCCTTTTTAAATACCAAAAATAAATATTTTTTATATAATTCAACATTTTTAAAAATATTTACTCTTTTAATTTAAGGCATCTTTCATAATTTACTAAATGAGTTTCATAAGATATCCATGATTTAGTAAAATAAACTAAGCTGATAGCTATTCCTGATACTTACACAGCCATTAACACAGCGTTATTTGCTGAAACAGACATGTCATAATACTAATAAAATAATACTTTAAAAATGAAATTGACAAAAATTAATTTCTTACCACAATTGCTACACTTATTAAAACTGGGAACATGTTTAAAAAATTTGAAATACATTCAAACCAAAATTCAACTCCATTAAGAGCTATTTGATTTCTCAAATCTATATCAACATATTCTTGGAAAGTATTTTTCATTTTTTAGTAGCAAACGCAATAGCGAACATAAAATATACCTCTTATTATTTCTGAAAAGTATTGCAAAATTGGACTTTTAGAAGTAGCCTCTGAATAAATAAATAAATAAATTTTAGTTATGAATTTCTGAATGTAAAATGAACATTACCTATTCTAGCTAACTATCTTTTTGCTTTTAAGAATATAAATGCAATAAAAACAGCTAGGAAGATGTAGCAAATACCAATGGGAATGGTAGATATATTACAAATGATAAATGTTGTAATTATAGAAAAAAATAAACCTCCAATATTGTAATAATTACTAGACATATCCTAAGTAACCTACATATCTACTTGATAAATATCCTTAGAAAGGCGATTCATAATTCTTCCTGATGTAATCAAGTTATAAAATTTTGTAAAGGAAGCTCTGAGCAATTCAAAAACGATGGATTTATGTAATTACTTTGAGAGATTTGCCATTTTAATTACAATATAAAGCTCAAAAGCCATTACCAATAAAAGGCATAAAGCGTTCAAAGCACAGTACCCCATCATGACTTTAAATTATTAATCTTTAGGAGCATCTTTAGACACATCTAATTATATTAATTTAGAAAACACACCTGCAACTGTGTAAGCAGCTATTACTGATAAAATTATTGAAAGTAAGTAAAAATATTATTTCTGAAAAATTATACATATGATGCTAATTATTATAAATGGAGTTCCTCCAACACTTTTAAAAAACTCTTTAAGGATTTCTAATTTAAAATTTCCCTGTTATATATCTTCTGATTAAATTAATTTTTTTGTGTAATTATTCTCATTATTTTATTCTTTTCTTTGGCTTTTAAGAATTTTTATAGATTATGCTCTCTCCTTTTCCTCATCATGCATGTCTTACTCAAGATCATACTAACTATTATTATTTGCTTAGGCAATTATTTTTTTAATTTAATTGTAATTTCCTTCGTTCACAATCTAGCCATTTTTTACTACAAATATCCTATCTGCTTTATTCATTCCAGTTAAGCTGTTTGTAAAAATTACTCTTGTCTTATCTTTTAACATTCCCTCAAAGCACTCTTTAGCTATCTAAGTAGATACTCCAATATCAAGAGCACTAAGAGGATCATCTAAAAAGTAAATATCTGCTTCCTTATAGATTGATCTTGCTAAATTTACTCTTTTCCTTTATCCTCCAGAAAGTGTATCTCTAAAAAATAAATAAATAAATAAATAAATAAAATAAAAACAAAATTTCACTTCAATTTTAATATTTTTTTTTATTTTGTATTTGAGTAGTAGATTTTTAAAAATTGTATCCTCAAAACATATGATATAAAAAATTTATAAAATATACAAAAAGCTATTACCCTTTTTCTCCTATGTTTGTTTGATCTCCATCAATAAAATAAGAAATATCTTCCTCTAAACTGCATACTTTTAAAACTTGTTTATATCTGTCTTTGTCAAAAATTTAACCAAAGACAATGTTTTCTTTTACAGTATCTTAAATTATCCAAGGTTCTTATGAACAGATACTGATTTATCCATTAATTTAAACCATTTATTCATACATAATTTATCCTCCATTTACTTCCATTTCTCCTAATATGCCTTGAAGGATAGAAGTCTTTCCACTTCCTAAACTAAAGTAAAAAAAATTAGTTTAAAAGATAAAATAAAAAAATAAATAGATTACTCCCCATAAAAAACAACATATTCTCCTTTCTTTATGGTTAAACTTAAATTTTTTATTTCAAATAAATTAGATTAGGATTACTAACTAAATGATTATCTTTCTCTTTTGGATAATTAAACAGACTCTTCAATTTAATTGATATCAAGAGAGTTCTTCCAAGAAAAATTTGAATTAATTAAAGAAATTGCATTTTGTTAATCATTGCTATTTATACATTATTAATAAACAAAACTCTCTGTTAAGAAAATATCAATTCTCTTCATAGAATTAGAGCCTACAACAATACCCTGTATAGAACTAGGAACAGAGATAAGAAAATTTAATATGATGTTATATGAGCTATTGATCATTAAAAATTATGACAAAGAACTTATACCAAATATAAGTGTAACAATAAATATTGCAACTGTACATGAAAAATTAGAGATAAATTCATTTAAACTACTTAGAACATTTTACAGCTTTAGTTCTTTGATTTCTTTTTCTCTTTTATGCATGATCTAAAAAAGATTTAGTTAAACTATTAAATCTAATTTGAAAATAATTTACTCTTTCATCAAAAAAGGATTCTAGACAGTTATACTTAATGGTTTTAATTCCTCTCATCATTTCTTCAAGAGATCTCATACGAAGATCTTTTTAGTGCATGAATTTTTTTTAGATATTTCCATACCATTTACCGAAAACTAAAGAAATAGTAGAGGCAATTAAAACACATACAGCCATCACAAGTATGATTTTAACATTATTTAATTATTTATAGCATAAATAGAAAGACACTAATATGAGCAAAAAAGAGAAGGCTAAAGTAAAAACGCTTTAAACATAAGAAACTATCTTTAAAAAAAATATATAAATTTTATATTTTTGAAAATAATATTTTATTTTAAATATTTAAAATTACTTGTAAAATATCAACTTAAATCATATTTAAGATATCTCCAACTTTATACAATTAGTTTCTTTACATAGCAAAACAAAAAGTTTTTTTAAAGATCTTTATACTAAGAGCACCTGTCATTCTTACAGTCAACTAACTCTTTGTTGAATATTGAATAAAATTTAAATATTATTGAAAGAATTAAATATTTTATGTTACATAATAGAATTTATAGTTAGAATAAATTATAGATTATAAAATAAATGAACTAGCAAGCAAGACCATTCCAAAAATCATTGGAGAAAAACTTTTACCACGTAAAGGATCATCAAATGCATCTAAGATCAATTAAAAGGACATCATTTTAAACACATTACTCATCAGATACAAGAAATACAAGATAGCTGAAATAATAATTTCCTCTTTTTAATTCAATATAAATATTTTAAATTTTACTTTGCTTGATTTAATAAAAGTAGAAGTATTTAATAATAATAAAAATTACTTTTATAAATTCGGTAAAAAGTAGTCTTTATTTTGTTTTTAACTTTAGGATTGTTAATAAGCTCTTCATAAATTTTATCAAATTTCTCAAAATTATATTAGCTTTAATCTTTTTTATTCAGCTAGAATATATCTTCTTGTTCTAAGCTCCTTTTTTGAGCATTCTTTTTGAATAAATATAATTAAATATCCTATTAATAAATTATACAATTTACTTTTATCAATGAAAACACCCAAAAGAACAATATTCTTGAAAAGAAATTTATTTTTGAGAAAGGGTCTTTTGGATTTTACTTAGCTTCCTTGCTCTCTAAAAGCGTCTTTGAAGACAAATTTTGAGATTAATCCATTTTATAGGTCAATTCTTTATTTAAGATAATTTGCTAGCTTTCTATTTTTTTTTAAGTGTTTTTTATTTATTAAAACTTAATCAATATTATTAGCAGGCAATATATTTAACATATATAAATCAAAATATTTCAGCAAGCTTCTTCTAATTATTTTAACACTCTTCAATATTTTTGTATTTCTTCTCAAATTTTGCATACATTTAAATGTAAGTTATCTTTATTGGTAGTCTTAGAACATTTGTATTACATTGAATAAGTTAATAAATATATATGAAAATACAAAATATTATTTAATTATTCCTCAAATTAATGAATTTAGCTAGAAAATTAAGGTATTTTAATTTCAATAGTATACGATGATAAATAAAATATTTAAATTTTAAAATGTAAAATTTGTATTTGTTTAAAAAAGTAAATAAAAGAAATATTGTTAAATTTTTATTTTTCTTCCTTTTCATTTTTCATTAAACTATGATGAATTCTGAAAATCAAAGAAAAGATAGATCAAAATCACTTTGCAGATACAAAGAAAATACTAAAACCTGCTTTAAATTCTGTTCATTTCTTAATTAAACTCTTAAATAATAAGCACTAATGCTTTTCAGGCGATTTTTAAATTTTATAATTTATTATTACTTAAATTTTGACTATATAAAAATTAATTAGTACTAAAAATATATCTCTTTTATTTACTCCATATAAAATTATTTAATTTTTGCTTTTAAATTATTTTCAAAATAATCATTGTTCTATTTAATAAATAAATTTAATATTGTGTAATAAATAATATATAATTCAAATATTTTTTATCATTACCTTTCTAGTAGAAAAAATTCATTCTATTTTTAGACTAAAATATAGCGAACATCAATTAAAAAATTTGAGGATATAAAAATGATGTAAATTTGAAAATATAATTTTTATTTTAATAGTTTTTTTTTTTGTAAATAAAAATATTTTTTAAATAAATCAAAATAAGTAGTTACTTGTAATTTAAAAAAAATAAAACAACTATTAATTGAGGGTAAAAAATTGAAATCTATTGATAGTAAATGTTATTTTCACTTTTTTTAAAAAAATTTTCATGAAAAAATGAATGAATTTTTACTACGAAACACACCCAGCTCATCCCTCTTTTTGATTACACTGTTTATTTATATTTATTTAAAACCTTTTTTATTAAACATACAATTAATTTACAAGTAAACCTAAACAAATATGCTTTATTAATTTTCGATTTATCAATTAAATTATTATACTCTTGATTAATCAATACTAAAATAAAAAAATATTTGGTTTATAGACTATTTCTTCATTTTTAAAACAATTAATTGATTATTTTTTAATAATAATGAGAATATCTAACTAAAATCCAAATTAAAACACATTTTTGTCATTTATTATAAATAAAACTTTAAAAAATCAATTTTTTTGAGGTTGTTCACATTTATCCGCATTTGTTAAAATGAATTTTTTATTTCGCCCAAAAATTTTGTTCGCATACCTAATGTGCTCAATTCCTGCTTTTGGCCTATTCAAATATATCGTTATTAGAGGTGTTATTAATTCTTTTAGTATTTATTAAAATCGTTTAAATAAATTATTTAATTTTTAAGAGCTCTTTGAATTTTATACTATACGATAAGGATTACTATTTTTTCTTCTTGAGTGATTATATCCTTTCTTTTAATATAATCAGTTTTTTTAATCAAAGTTTTATTGTTATCAGCTTATATATTTTAAAATAAATTTATTGATTTGCAGTAATGATTTTGGTGAACTTATAAATTAGATTTAAGTTATTTAAATACAAAATTATTAATATAAATATTATTCTTTAAAATAGCTATTACTTTTTAAAAATGAAACCTTTTATCTTATTTTACCTTGATATCTATTTTATAAATTTATGAAAGATCTGACTCAATTATACTTCTAATATGAAGAATATTTTTTTTAAATGATATATGCACTTATTAATAGTTTTTATTATTTTCTTGCCACTTAGTTTTATTATTTAATGAATTCATATTAATGTTTAAATAACAAATTATAAATTATAAATAATTATAATTTAAAAAAAACCATTTTTAAACAAATTTATATTAGTAATTATTGGTATTATTCAAATAAAATAAAGTGATAAAGCATTTCATAATATTGATTTTTAAAACAATTAATTACCAACTTCGTAAGGTCTAAGTATAACTAGATACTTTAAATATTTAAATCATGAATATTGCATTCAACAAGTCTACCTTTTGTTTTAATTTCAACATATGAAAAGCACGAATAATTCGAATCTTTTAACAGAACAAAAAATTACTTTTAAAATTTAATTATCTTTCAGCAGCATAGAAATAGCAATTAATGTAGATTTATCAAAAAATTATCCTAATTCACAAAAACAAAACTTATTTTTATAATAAAATAAAAAATTACTTATTTAAGTAACTATTGATCATAACTTTTACTTTCCCTTTTTTATTTATTACTATTTATTGTTCATAAAGTTGGTAAAGATAGGTTATAAAAAAGTATGTAAATTTTATGGTAAATAGGATTATAATATTTTATTTTGAAATATAATTCTAGCTATTTCTGATATATAATTTAAAGAACGATTTAAGAGAGTGATACATATTGGTAAAAGGTAGAAATAAATGAAAATTCATATTGATTAAATTAATTTAATTCATAAAAATAATAATTTCTTTTAGAATCTTCAAACAAAATTAAATAACTAAAAAAAATAATACAAAATATATATGGCGAGATAATGAAATTAAAAAACCTAAAAAGGTAAAATATTTGATTATAAAGAAAAGGGTTGATGGGGGGGGGGGGAGAGATTACTATACGGGATTTGATAATAAATAAAAGAAATGTTTTATTTTAGTCATATTAATTAAATTGTATTAAAAATAAAAATATTTTGATACTCCCTTTATAATCTTATTCTTTTTACTCAGTATTATTTAAATAATTAGTTATCAAATTGACTAATATTTAAAAATTACCTTTTCTTAATTTTTGATTGTTTCAATTAAACAAAAATTTATTTTTGATTAGTTTCATTTAAAAAATAATGAAAACTTTTTAAATAATTATTAACCTGAATTTTTTTCTATTTATTTTTTCAATATAAATTATATTTATCAATGATCAATGCGTTTTTACTTTAAATTTATTTGATAAAACTGAAAATAGTCAAATAAATATGATAATAAAATTTTTAAAAATATTTTCTAGTTTTACACAACTGTATATAATTTGTTAAGCTTATATGTTAAAATTGCATAATATACAACTAAACTCAAAATATTAATACTCATTTATATTCATTCGGATTTCATTGAAATCTAGTATCATAAAAAAATTTTTAAAGTTTGTTTTAAAAAAACATATTTTCTTAACTGATTTTGCTTTCATATATTTTTATTTAATTAATATTTACCTTTTTCAATTTACGAAGAACCTTTGAAGTTAGTAAATATTAATTTATTTAATCCTTTTTCTATAATTAAGAGATAAATATAAATTAGATGTCTAACATATAAATACATTTTAAACTAAATATTTAGTCTGTAATATGCGTTAATTAGGGTATTAGATTTTGATATGATAAACAACATTCAATTGAAGACTAAGAAAAAAAGTGATCTAATTAAATTTTGTAAATCTGATAAATTATATTAATTAAAAGCAAATTTAAAATTTATGATAATTCAAGCTTAAAATGTAAAATAACTGAAATTAAATACTCTTTTGATAAATAACTCATTTTATTTGATTTCTATCAATTTACTTTATTTAAAATTATAAATCTAAAAAATGCAATATTTATTCCTTTTGACAAACAAAACCCATTTATTTTTAGTTAATTATATTACAAACATATGAAGTTTTATATATCAAAACTATACTTCATCCTCTATTCATAACATGTTATTTCTCAAAATATTAAATTCAGGTAATTTTTTAATTAGTTTATATGAAAGATAAAAATAATAGTTTTTAATTTTTTTTCTTGTTTCATAATACTTTAAAGTTAAAAAATAATTTTTAGAGTATTTTAGTAATTTCTATTTATTCTAAATTTTTAATTTACATTTTTAGATAATATTTTAAAGATCTTAAATTTATTTAATACTCAATAAACTTACTCATTACCTTTTTATGGATTATACAATTATTGATTAAGCTAGTAATAAATATTCGTTTTTTTATCAATATTGATTTTTATTTGATTTCTTTACTTTCAAAAGTTTTATTCTAAACAAACGATAATTCAAATAAAAGAAAGTTCCTCAGTTTTAAATAAATTTCAAATATATTTATTCCAACTTTAATCAATAACTTTAATAATTAAATAATCAGTAAAAAATTACTAATACTTCAAAAAATGAATTATAAAATAGCCACATTAATCTTTATTTTGCTATAATTAGCTTTTACATAGTAATGTCGTAACAGCTGTGCAACTTGTAATGGAAATGTTTGCCTCTCTTGCAGCGCCTAAAATTCTTAAGTTGATCCTAATCAAAGAACATGCGTTTGTTAAGATGGATATTATGCTTCTTCTTTGAACCCATTAACTTGTAATAAATTAATCTCAGGTAGTTCAGAAAGTTAGTGCAATATTGATCTAGCTTTAAATATGGCTAATTTTATTGTTAACACAGATTGTTATTACTACACTGAAAATGCTGGCTAAAACGGTTAAGAAGCAAATTATGTAAGATCTGATGTTACAATTGATACAATTCATTCATAATTCAGTAATGCAAGTTGCAGAGGCAGTCTTGTTACTCATATATAGTATTAACCTTCAACAAACAATTTCCCTAAAGAAGATTAAAATTACATTGACTTACCAACTCCATCTTCAGGAGGTTCATATGTAAATAACTTACCTGGTGGAGATGTTGGAGACTAAAGAATCTAAATTCCTCTTATTGATGTTTATAATTTAGCTCATAGTTCAAATGTAAGCTAAGATGGTAGCCAAATTGTGTAGATTTTGAATTTTAGAATTTTACTTGGTTTCTCTGGAACTTGGCTTAGATCACATAGATGGTAATCAACTGTTTTTACAAATAGAAACTAAGTTTAAATCTTTACTGTTAATGTGGATATTTAAAGAACTTAGGGTTGTTAATCAGGTTAGGAATGTATTATTATTGCTGATTTAGATATAACTGGTGGATAATATAAATCAGATTGGAAAACTCTATATACCTCTTCTAGTTCTAATAAAAATTCTGTATCTAAAGACTCCCTTAATACAGGTGCTCCTCCATCATACACTGTTGGTGATACTATGTATTTGAGAGTTTGGTTTTAGGATCCTACTTATACCTAAACACTTTCATTAACAAATGTTCAATATATGACCGGAAGTGGACAAGTTTATGATTAAACTAATCTTATAGCTCCTTCTGCTACAGGATGGAGTTCAACAGATAATTCTTTACATGTTTAATTACCTTTGGTTTTACCCTCCTAAAGCGCAACAGTTTAATTAACTATGTAAATTTAACTACCTCCTTCAAAAAGAAATTTGTAAGGCTTATCATCACCTACAAAAAAGGTCTCTTAGTAATTTACTTTTACAGTTGCCAGTGCTTCATCGACTAATTAAGGAAACAGTACAACATATTCACTTACATTATTACTTGGAGTTATTAATTTATTGAGTATTTTTATATTAATATGAATAATAAAATTTATATAAGTATTAAAGCATTTATAAAAGCAAATAGTTTTCATTTAAAATTTAGATATTAATATACTTTTACATTTTAAATTAATTTTTTTCAGAGTTGAGATAAATTGTAATCTGTTTAAAAAATATTATTAAATACTATTCAAAACAAATAATTCTTTAAATAACTGAATTTTTTTTTAATTTAAAAAGAAAAAGCTACCAATCATTAACTTCATTTTTTATTTTTATCTTCAAAAAATAAATAAATTTATTTTTTTTTTAATTTTGAAAACTAATTAAATTCTAAATGAAAAATAATTTTAAAAGTGTAATATATGAAACATAACACGAAAATAAAATATAAATTATCATCATATTAACTTAGGCGATAAAAGTAAATTAAAATTTTCAATTTATCTGCTTGAAGTCATAATCCTCTCATTATCTACACTCGAATCCTTAGTAAGCTATGGAGCTAATTAGAATTTATCAATATGTGCATAATTTTTAGAACCTTTTTTATTAAAAATTAATTAATTAAATATTATATTTTATTAAGAATTATGATACTGAGTTCATTTTGTTTAGATTTTCTTGTGTAGTAATTCCATTTATCTTTGAGATTTGATAAATACTTTATACTTTTTGCTTTTTTCTTAAAAAGCCTACTTTAATTTGAATCAATACCTTAAAATTTGTTAAGTTAAGTTAGAGGAGAACCTTAAGAGATAATTTGAGATTTTTATAAATAAAAGACAGATTAGAATGATTCTTATTAGTAAAATTAATTATTCTTTAAATAAATAGCAAGCTTTTAAATTTTGTTTCTTACTTTTTTCAACTTAATTATAGACTATAACCTTTATTTTCTTACAATTTGTATATTTTCAAACATTTCTGGGTATTTTTATTTAAAATAATAGAGACATTTTTAGATGATATTTCTTTTTTCTTCTTCACTAGATATTTTTACTTAAACTATGTTTAAAAAAAGTTGTATGATAAACAAGAGATTTGGTAATATAAGTATTAAAGCTATGAGACTGTTTAGTTGATTTAATTATATTGAAGATACATTTAAAGACAAAGCACTTAAAAATACTGATTTCTATTAGTAGTAATTAAAATTTGTTCTCGTAAATGGTTAGAACTTTAAAAGCAAGTAGTATTTTACTAAAATCGTAATATTTATTAGACTAAGCTAATATTTAAAAAAAATTATAAAATAAATTAGTTAGGTGTTATATTAATAATTAAATAAATATACCTTTAATATCAAATCTTGCTAAAATACTATTGAAGTTAAAATAAATATTGTTTTATAAATAAGTTTTCCAAACTCCCAGTAGAAGAAACCTTACTTATAACCGGCAAAAATAAATGAATATTTAATTTCTAAAAATATAGACCACTTTCTCTTTTTACCATTTTTTATTTTTAAAAATAAAAGTAGAGGAATAAATAGTGCCCACAAAATTAATAATGGTAAGCTAAAATAGAAGATATACGGCTTATGCTTAGTTGAATCATAGCAATCAATAGAAACATCAATGTCTAAGTAATTTTTGTTTCCAATCTTTAAGCAATTTATTGATCTGATTAAGGTTGTTATCACCATAGGGAAAAAATAAAAATACATAAAGATAGTAGCTGTATTTAAATATTTTAGAGCAGATTTATTTTTTTTAAATACTTACATTAAAACTCCAAATATTAAGTAAGTTATGAATAAAGTAGCTGGTAAAGAAAAAGACCATATTGTTTGATAAAACCATAAGGGCTGTAAATTTGGAAACTATGAAAATATGCAATCAAAAGATTTACTTGTAACTCTAAGAGGGTTTCCAGATAATCCAATAGATGCTTTAAAAAATGAAGGGATACTAATTTAAATGGTATTAAGTAAAGATAACATTTAGAGATGATCTGTTAGAATCTTAGAAACTATTTATGATTTATCTTTATCAGTTACTTTTTAAATTTATTAAATTATTAAAAAGTTAAATATTTAAAAGTACTTACATGTCGTGCCCAAGTAAATTATATCTGCTTTATTGATAAAATATCCTGCAAGTTTTGCTTATAATGAAGAGATAATTTTTTTTAAAATTCCAAATATGTAGCAAGAGGCAAATAAAAATATGGCAAGATTTTAAAGTACTATATATAAAACATTTTAACTGCATCTGTAGCAATTTCCTTCATCAAATAATTAAGAATATCTATATTCCCAAACATCTCCATAAATGTCACAAGATTTGCAAATAGGACCTTTATAACCTTAAATGCAGTTCATCTTTTTTTTAATTTTTTATCAAATAAATTATGAAATTGTAGTATAAATTTTAAAAGATAATAAATATAACATAAGATATTTAAGAGTTTGAAAAAGATTTATATAGATTTTATGATTTGTGATTCAAGGGGGGGGTATTTTATCAATTTATGATAAATTATTATTAAAATTTTTAATTTCAAATAAAAATATTTATTTTAATTTTTCATTATGTTTTTAAAAAATAATAACCTGTACATTTACTACTGATTATTAAATTAAATATCATATAAGATTAATTATTTACTTTTGATAGATTTGATTCAGCTTAACATGAATTTGGATTAAAATCACAATAAACAATATTGTCTGTGTATTCATTTTCTCTCCAATACCCATTTCTTAAGTAAATATTAGAACCAATACATTTAACAGCCGAATCTGGGCATTGTTGGCAAGTTGTATCATTAAGATTTAATGAATATTTACCGTCAGGGCATTATTCACAGATAAGTGACTTCTCTTAATGTGTTAATATATCTCCAACAGAACATCCTAAAAATTATATTTTGATTTCTAATTCAAGTTTTCCTTATTTAAAATAAACCTACTACTTAGAATCTTAAAGCTCTGAAATTGTATTAGAAACTAGTTTTAAAACTGTACTACCTAATGGTTTATACATTACTTAAAAACTCAATTAGAAATGATCATTTATAAATTAATTTGTTTAAAGCTGACCGATACATTAAATTTAATCATTACTTTAATCCCATTCAACTGAAATACCAACTTCTTAAATTAATGCTTAAACGCTGCTACAATATTTAGTTAAATATGGCTCATTTGAATTTGGAATAATAACAGGGTTATTTTCTTCATCAAGGATTTAAATTCTTTAAAATGATATTTAATTACCACTTTTCAATTATATTACTTCTTCTAAGCTATTATTTTTTATAATTAAGCTTTGATTGTTTACTTTTATGTCATCTAAACTTATCTTTATTTTTCTTAATGCCGATCCAAAATTTTTTCCAAAAATGGTAGCTTTATTATTTATAATTTTATTATTATAAACTATTCCTTTTTAGAAGTCTAAAATAAAATCTGGAATAATCTATTAATAAAAAACTCCTCCTCCAATAGCAGCTTCATTAGAAAAAATAGAAGTATTATACATTTTCAAATTTGAGTTTTCCAAATGAATAGCTCCACCAGTTGAATAAATGGCCGTATTAAAGTTAAATAAACTATTTTTTATAATAACTTATGCTTAAAACACACTATTACTAATAAACAATGCTCCTCCATTTAAAGACAAGCATTTATTTTAACTAAATTGAGAATTTTCTATTTCAATAAACTAATTATCTATAGCTTGGATTGAACCTCCTTTTCCTTTTTAATTACTATTACTAATAAATGAGCTCTTAGAAATATTTATTTAATTGCAAGAATCTATTACTAAGATAGAGGAATATGTGTTTTATTGTATTGTAATATTTCTAAAAGTAAGTTAATTTAATTAAACTGCTAAAATTTTTTCTAGACTTATGAATGGAATGTCATTTTATATGTTGATATCCATAAATATAGAAGAATCTAAAAGAACCTATCCTGCAGAAACTTATTAACTCATATAAAGTAAGGGAATCTGATTATTAATACAATTAGCATTTTTAATTATAGAATTTTAAAAATTCACTATCTCTATCAATTTAGGAATATTTTAAGATGTCCCTACTCTAGATTTAGTTATAAAAATTGTATCTATGGTAGATTGTGTTGAAAAAATAGTCATAAAGCTTTAAGATAAAGTAAGCTAATTAATTTTCATATTAAATATTGTTGTATTGTTTGCTTATAAATAGATTTGTACATCTATTGAATCTTAAATGTTAATATATTTAGCATCATATTAATTGCATAAAAGCTGTAAATTATTCTTTAATAATGGTTAGACTTTCGCAAAATAAATAGTTTAACTTTGACTAATGTTAAATTTTTCAATACTAGAGATGAAAGTCCCCTATATATTAAGTATAATTGAAGATTAAATATTGTTAATGTAAAAATTTGTAGCATTCAAAACATTAGATATCTAAATTTCAAAAAGTGATACATTATTTGATTATTAAAAGAATATGTCTGATATCAATACTTCATTATTATTAACAAGTGAGAATAAGTTTGTTTAAGTTATATTTATTATTTAAATTTATTTAATGAAAACTCTTGTATTATTAGATATATTAAACATAACATTTTGAAAATTAAAATTGCTTATAAAAATATTTTCTATCACAACTAGTTTACAGTTTGAGATAACTATCTAGTTTTATTATTCACTTAATATTGTATTATTAATTGTTATGTTTTGGATTAAAACCTATTCAAAATTAGACAAAATCAAAGAATTATTTAAATACAAATTTATGTTTACCATTTAAAAGTTATCCATAGAACTATTTTTATTCAAGCTAATTTAATTAAAAATAGATAAGTTCATTTGTTTTAATTAAACATTTTGTATGTAATTCTAAAAATCATTAACCTAATTCCAGAAAATACTATTTTATTCAGAGTCTGATTAAATTATTAAAGTATTTGTATAATTTGAATCATTTTTCAAAGTTTATAATAAGCTTAAATCAATATCTTAAATGTATTATTAATTTTAGTACTAAATACTTATGACAGATGGTATGTAATTAGTATATTAATTTGAGTTAAAAGCTTAATTTAATGCTAATTTTGTATTAATGTTTTCTTAGGTTCTATTTTATTATTGAATCATAATGCTACAAATTTTAGTTTGTGATAAAGGAATAATTGAATGATAAATATTTTAATAGGAAGATAATATCAACTCAAGATAGATAAGCCCATTTAAATCTTATTGAATTTACATATTTTATAACTTTTAATACTACTAATTTATTTCTTGAATCAATTCATAATTTGAATTGTAATTCATTTTTATGATGGAAACTTTACTTTTTTGTAACACTAAAAAATAATTATTATAATTTAATTTTACGAAATTAGTGACTTCAGAAAGTCCTGAATTTATTGTTGGAAACTAAGGTTAAAAGCTTAGAGCATTATAAATTATTACATCATTTGGGCAAATAGAATAAATAAAATCCGTATCATAGGAAATTATTGCTTATTTTAAGCAAGCATTTTAAATAGTAGACAACATTTTTAAAGAGTAGCTAAATATTTGCGTGGTTCCAATATTATTAATGACATATATTAACTATCTAAAGGGATCATTAACAACATTAGTAATTTTTATAAATTCTAGTTTAATTGAGTAATCTACTTACAAGGATTCAAGATTAAAAAGTTGTATTTCAAAATAATTTTCTTAAAATACTATTAGACAAAGTTGTTTAGATTCATTCGTGATAGGATCGTTACTATTGTATTTTTCTTCATACTCAAAAGGTATGTCCCAAAAATTATTTTATTCTTCTTAAAACTTTTTTTTCTAAAGCTTTAATGCAAATTTAATAGTTGAATTTTTAGAATAAGTCAATTAGTAATTAGATTACTTAATAAAATTAAAAATTTAAATCATATCAGGTTAAATTAAAATAATGAAATCACTAAAAATAAGTGTCTAAATTATATTATCTATAGTAAAGTTAGTTTGATAGACTTCAGTCAGAATATTTTTAGTTAAATCTATTTTGTATAAAGAAGAGATTCTTTCATAAAAGAGAAATATTTGATTTTACTGATTATCGTAAAAGTAGTGGTCAGTAAAATCTTATAATGTTATGTTTTAAATTAAATTTAATTATTCTTTCAATAAATCAGGTTAAATAATACTCAGCTTGTTATATGTTATGTAAATGAATTGATTTTTTTAAATTTATATGAGCTATGTAAAATATGGATATATATTAAATGGTACTGGATCAAATAATAAAGTATCCATTAACTAAGAGTTTTTAAATAGATTCAAAGAGAGATTAACAGTACTGTAATATACGATATATTTTTCTCCATAAATTATTGTTTGAATATTCTGATATTGAAAGAGGTTTGTTTCACTAGCATAAAGAATTTCATTTAAATCAAAAGAAACTATTGAATCTTAAGTTTATGCTATGAGTATTGATTGCTTAAAATTTAGAAATAATGAATTTATTGGATTTATACTGAAATCTTTTACAGAAATGGTTTCCATAAATTGCATACTTGGAAACTAAAAGGCTGAGATAAAATAATCTTAATATATAAATAAAACACTTTTAAACTCATCCATGATTATTCCTTGAATGTTAATTATATTTATTTTAAAAGTTGTAATACTTTTAGTCAAGTAATTTAAAAGGTATATTATAGGAGAGTTATCAATTATTATTAAGCTGTTTTAATTTTTATAATAGTAAGAAGCACCTTTATTAAATTGGCTAGAAGTTTCGTATGTAAAACGTTGTAAAGTACCAGTAGCATTAACAATATTTATTTGATTTATTTCACCAACAAGTCCAATTAATATATTATTATCTAAGTCATAATAAATATTAGTGGAATTTTACTTATATTCAAAAATATACTCTTATGTAAAATAGTTTTTATGGAAAAAATAAAAGTAATCTGGACTATAAAAATATACCACCAAATAACCATCTATATCAACTATAGGTATGTTATATAAGATGTTTTCTAACTAAAATAACTAATCCTATTTTATAATATTTTTAATTAATATATTATTACTTCTTTCATTCTCTTAATAAGAGGTTAATAAATAAATTTTATAAGCTAAAAAAATAAAGACCCTATATTTTTTTTATTCAACAATTCACAGTATTTTAAAAATCTTTTAGGGTAATTATATTTATCAATTTTTAAGTAGATAGTTCTTAATATGGGGATGTATGTATAAGCAACTGGAAAAATTAAGAAAAATTATTACTATATTTCAAATATAAAATTGATAGAATTTAAACAAAAATAATTATTATTTTACATTAAGAAACTCTGCAATAGGCTAGCCTGTTCTCAAATCAAAAACTTAAAGCATAGGATAGTAAACGACAATTAAGTTTTAATCACACTTTAAATAAAATTAGTCTTAAACGTTTTATTAATCATAAGTTGATACTTGAATAATGTCAGAAATTGTTCCATCATTCATCTACAAATAATTAAAAAAAAATAAACTTTAAATCAATTAAATTTTTTAATTACATTTATGATTTAAAAATTAGAATTTTATGTCAAATATACAATTCTGTTTTGCAATTAGCAATATTAATATTGCTATATAGTCTATTAGGCTTAATAGATTAATGACATTTATGTTTTATTTCTAGAGTCATATAAATAAAATGCGTTATTTATTACACAAATAAAGCTAACTAATTCCCAATCTATGATTTTAATCTAAAGATTAACTTGGAAATCAATATCTATCACTTAAACTTACTAACTTCCTTTGAGAAAGTTATAAATGTATAACTATCTTGTGATTTAGTCGTAAATAGCTATCTAGCTATTTTCAATTTGTTAATCTTATATCGTTTAGTATTATGTTATATTTAAAACATCAAATGGTTAATTAAGCAAATTAAAATACCAATAAGCACCTTGTTTGGATTAAAAGCAATGGATTGAAGTTTTATCATCAAATAAAATTTTTCCAAGATAATAATCTTATTCATATGATGCTTTGACTACAATCATATTTTTTGTATCTATTATGTCTTAAGATTTTTTAATGTATTGAGTATTTTCTATATAATAAAAGCTAAATTGGGATTTAAAATATAAGCTGAGACTTGTTTTCGATGAAATTGATTCGAATTATCTTAATTCCATATCAAACTTATGAAAACTATTTTATTCATAGAAATAAACATACTTATCATCATACACTAAATCCTAAGATGTGATTAACAAATATTTTTTAGGATATTAAATACCTAAATTTAGAGTCGATAAGCTTTAAAGATCAGGTGAATAAATATATATTTTAGATTACTAAAAAATGAATATTTCGTTTGTTTTTTTACAGACTAGAGAAGGAAGATAAATAGGATTTATCTAAATAATTACTTAGTTGTATAGTTTCAATTAACTTAATGAAAAAATGTAGCAATTATTGTTATTATCTATCAAATATATTAAATCATTTTCAGATATTAAAGGATAAATTACATTATTTATCTTCCAAAATTCTAAGTAACTTTAACCAAAATTATAAATCTATATTATTTAGTGTGTCTGTAAATCAATTAAGTAAAGAAGTAATTAATGTTATTCATCATAAGTTAAATACGCTATTTAAATATCATTTATTATAATAAAATTACTCAGAGAAAAATAATTTTCAGAAGGATTGTCAACAATATTTTGTTATGTTTTTAAATTATAAATTTAAGGAACATCGATTATTATTAAAATTTCAAGCTTTGAAATATAAAAATATTTACTCAATAATTCATCATAACCTCTTTGATACTTATAAGATAATATCTACTTCTACTCATTTAAATTATATATGTATTCATATACAACGGTGTCAATAACTTAGCTTACTAGAAAATATTTTTCATTAATATTTGCTACTCTATCAAATTAGGTAATATTATCCAACAGATAAAAATAAATAAATTATGTGTTTATTCCTGGATTCTTTTACAAATTAGTGAGAGGATATTATATTTTTATATTACCAATTAATTGATTTAAGTAAATCTAATTTCCGTCATATAAATTAAAAGAATTTGAAGTTAAATTACTGATAATGATCATTTAATTTTAATCCAGCTAATCTTTTTTATCATAATAAAGTTTTACTTATAATAGCGGATTTATAAATTAAATTTTATATTAAAAAGTAATAGTGGAATATTATATTCTTATTTATTAGTAAAATGAATCTGCTATATTTGAAATCTAAGTTAAAAATATACTTATATTCAGTGTTGGAACGAAGGCTAAAAAATTTGACTTCGCGAAGAAAAAAAAATCTTGCCTCTAAAAAAGCTTCGCCCCTTCGCGAATTTTCTTCGCCTTGCCAAACTTCGTTCCAACACTGCTTATATTATTATTTTCCTCAAAAATAATATTTGATATGGTTGTTTAATTATTTATTTGTGATGATTTTATTTACTTCAGTAAATTTTCAGTTAAAATAAATTAATCTGTTTATCTATATTTTTCTAAATATTGCGTTATATTGAGAAAGTATAATGAATCATTGATAAAGAAAATGAAGGAGGAATTAGAAAAAGTAGTTTCCTAAAAGCTAAATTAGTCATTTATTTATAAGTTTATTGGAATTATTTCTGTGATTTAATCAGATGAATCATTTAGGATAGCTATTTCTAAATTTTAATTATCATGATTATATTATAATATGCAATTTAATTATTTGCTATAATATACACTTCTAGAATATGAATTGTTTAGGAGTTCAACAGATTAAATTTGAAGATTAAAATCATTATCAAATTAAATCTTTTATACTTGCGCAATACCATAAATTTAACTAATTTAGATTAAAAAATCATTTTTTTATTATACTTAAAGTGAGGATGCAGATGAGTAATTTAGTGTTTTATTTAAAATGGCTAATGACCTGTCTTCTTATAACTCCATTATCTTTAATTAAACAAAAATATAAATTATGTTATTTAAAATTAAAAAAGCATAATTAATACCATAGAATTTACAAAATCTATTTATACTAAATAGTTTGTCTTTGTGATGTTTTCAAATTAAATAAAACTTATCAGAAAGTTATAGGGGAGAGTTTGTTTATTTAGTTTTTAATTTAATGAGTCATACCAAAATATGTCATAAATTTCATTGAACCCTAGAAAAACTATTTAGTTTGCTTAATCAATATATTAAACATTTTGATCGTAAGCTAAGTTAGTTTGATTGAACACAACATTCATAGTCTCAAAATCAAATACTACTAAACTGTTATTAGCTGAACATCCCCCAAAAGAGCCAACTATGAAGCTTTTTTACAGAATTTCATCACCAAAAAACATATACTTTGAATAAAAATTTGGCATATTTTATAAGACTTAGACTGAAATTATATTTAAATTACTATCCATTAATAAGAATGTGCAATGAGTTGCTCTAACTAAATATTGATTCTTGTTTATTTATTCTATCTATTTTATCCTTTTATCAAAATATGACATGGTATAATCATCTACTTAAATGCATTATATAATCTTTTCACAAATTTTAGTTGTTTCATTTTAATAATAAGAAGAAGGACAACTCATAACGCACTCGTCTAAGTTATATGGGGCTAAAATATATGACATTTTATTTTAGCAAGTGTCTTATTTAAGCTAGCACTGATTTTAAGCTTAATTAAGAGTCAAATTCACATCACATTCAAGGCATATTTAATGTATATTACATTTTACACACCCAGGTACTTTACATTTAACACATTGTTAGTTTTCATCATTTATTTCGCCTTTTTAGCAGCTTTATTAGCAAGTAGAACTATTTTATGAACTCATAAAAAAGTTTTCATTGCAAGTAACACAAGAATCCTAATAGATATTGTAACAGCTTAAACATTTACTTGAACATTCAACACACTGCTATGCTATGACATCATATATTTAATTACCTTTGCATTTTTATGCAATTACTATTAAATTTAAATTTAAAAGAAGAAAATAAGCAATTCTCTACATCTATCTAAGAGTTTTCAATTAAAGTTTCTATTTTATTAGATTAAGAATTTAGTTTTCTTATTTTTTAAAGCAACTTTTGATAGTTTTCTTTTTATAACAATTTTTTAATGCTGACGTGATCTTTTTATAAAGACTTATTTCTTCTTATGCAGTAGGTTAATTTAAAAACTAAAAATAGAATTAAAAATACATATTTTTTTTAAATTATAAATAAAATTGAATATAATTTTTTTTTAATTAGATTGTTAAAAGTAAATATTTTCATTAACTTTTAATTAGATTTTATTTTTAAAATATTTAATATCAGAAATTCAAAATTATCTTTGGACTTTGAAGTTTCCTAATAGAATTTGTAACAACTAAAACATCTGCTTGAAGATTATAGTGACTATTAAGAAATAACATAATAAGTTTAATTTCAATTACATTTTAACAATCACTACATTTAAAATCAAAGCAATAAACAATTTTTATTATCTAATGGATAATAATTTTTTTCTTTTTTAATTTGATTATGAAATTAGCTTACTAATTTTTTAAAGGAATTTTAATACATTTTTTGAAAATAATAATAAATTTCTAATACTCATTTAACTTCTTTTGCAGTTAATTAAAAAACTAAAAATAGACTTAATGAATCAACTTTTGAAAAATTTAAGTAAAATAAAAATAAAATAATAATATATCTCACTAAACTGAAATATAAAATTATTTTTACAATATTTAACATAATTCCTCAAAGTGCAGCTCAGTTCTTAGACTTAAGGCAAATAATATAGGATGAAAAATAATTTAAAAGTAAAATATTTAAAATCAAATTAAATAAAATTTATCATAAATTTTATTAAGGTAAATAATATAATATAACATAAATTTTTCATATTATTTAGTTGAATTCATAGTCCTTTCTTTTTTCTACAGCTGACTCCTTAGTAAGTTATGGAGTTAATCAGAATTTATCAATAAAACTATCATTTTTAAAACCTTTTTATTAAAAAATAAGATAAATATTTTATTTATTTAAATCTATGGTACTGGGTTCATTTAATTTAGATATTCTTGGGAAGTACTTCTATTTCTTACTGATATTAGAGTTAATATTTTATTGTTTTTTCTTAAAAAAGCTACTTTCATTTGAATCAAAACTTTTAAATTTGCTAAATTAAAATAATGGAGAACCTTAAGAAGTAATTTGAGATTTTTACTTATTTATTACAGTTTAGAATGATTGTTATTAATAAAATTAATTATTCTTTAAATAAATAGCAAGCTTTTAAATTTTTATTCTTACTTTTTTCAACTTTATTATAGATTAAAACCTTTGTTCTCTTACAATTTGTATATTTTCAAATATTTCTGGGTATTTTTATTTTAAATAAAACAAACAATTTTGGAAGATATTTCTATTTTATTTTTCACTAGGTATATTAACTTATATCATGTTAAATAATAATTGGATGATAAACATGATATTAGGTAATATTAAAATAAAAATTATGAGGTTATTTAATTCATCTAATTAAATCGATGATATATTTAAAGAAAAAGCACTTAAAAATACAGATTTCTATTAGTAATAATTAAATCTCATTCTTACAAATGGTTAAAACTTTAAAAGCAAGTAGTATTTTAGTAAAATCGTAAGATTTATGAGACAAAGCTATAATATTTAAAAAAAATTATTTTATTATTATATAAATAAATAAATAATATACCTTTAACATCATATTTTGCTAAAATAATATTGAAAATAAAATTAATAATGATTTGTAAATCAATTTTCCAAACTCCCAGTAGAAGAAACCTTACTTATAACCAGCAAATATAAATGAATATTTAATTTCTAAGAATATAGACCACTTTCTTTTTTTACCATTTTTTATTTTTAAAAATAAAAGTAAAGGAATAAATATTGTCCAAAAAACTAATAATGGCAAGCTAAAATAGAAAATGTAGGGCTTATGCTTAGTTGAATCATAACAATCAATAGAAAAATCAATGTCTAAGTATTTTTTATTTCCAATCTTTAAGCAATTTATGGATCTGATTAAGTTTGTTATCACCATAGGGAAAAAATAAAAATACATAAAGATAGCAGCTGTATTTAAATATTTTAGAGCAGAATTGTTTTTTTTTTATAAATTTAGATAAATACTAATCATTAAGTAAGTTAAGAATAAAGTAACCGGTAAGGAAAAAGACCATATTGTTTGATAAAACCATAAGGGTTATAAATTTGGAAATTATGAAAATATGCAATCAATAGATTTACTTGTAACACTAAGAGGGTTTCCAGATAATCCAATAGTTATTTTAAAAATTGAAGGGAAACTCATTTAAAATATATTAAGTAAAGATAACAATTAGAGATGATCTGTTAAAATCTTGGAAACTATTTATGATTTGTCTTAATGAATTACTTTTTAAATTTAGTAAATTATTAAAAATTTTAATATTTGAAAAATTTATTACATGTTGTGCCTAAGAAAATTAAATCTGCCTTATTAATAAAATATCCTGCAAGTTTTGCTTATAATTATGAGATAATTCTTTTTAAAATTGCAAATATATAGCAAGAAACAAAGAAAAGTATGGTGAGATTTTATAATACTATATTTGAAATCTATTAGCTACACCTATAGCAATTTCCTCCATCAAATAGGTAAAAATACCTATATTCCCAAACATCACCATAAGTGTCACAAGACTTGCAAATAGGACCTTTGTAACCTTAAATGCAATTCTACTTTTTATTTAAATATAGATTGAATAAATATTGAAATTATAGTATGCATTTTAAAAGATAAAATAATACAACATTTAAGATTTTGAAAAATATTAATCTTGATTTATGTTAGGGATTAAATGGAGGTTTCTTTGTTAATTTATGATAAATTATTGCTAAAATTAAACTTTTTAAAGTAAATAATTTCTCATAATTTTTAAAAAAATGATATCTGATACCCTGTATATTTACCACTTTATAATTAAATTAAAGATTTAAAAAATTATTTACTTTTGATAGATTTAATTCAGATTAACATAAATTTGGATTAAAATCACAGTAAACAATATAATCTGTGTTTTAATTTTCTCTCCAATACCCATTTCTTAAGTATATATTAGAACCAATACATTTAATAGCCGAATCTGGGCATTATCGGCAAGCTGTATCATTAAGGTTTAATGAATATTTGCCATCAGGACATTATTCACATATAAGTGATTTCTCTTAATTTGTTAAAATTTCTCCTACTGAGCATTCTAAAAATTATACTTTGATTTCTAGTTGAAGCTTTCCTTATTTAAAATAAACCTATTACTTAGAATCTTAAAGTTCTGAAATTGTATTTGAAACTAGTTTTAAAACTGCGCTGCCTAACGGTTTGTTCATTACTTAAAAACTCAATTAAAAATAACCATTTATAAATTAATTTGTTTAAAGTTGACCAATACATTTAATTTAATCATTACTTTAATCCCATTCAACTGAAATATCTATTTATTCAATTATTGCTTAAACACTACTACAATATTTATTTAAATTAGAGTCTTTTGAATTTGGGATATAGACTGGGTTATTTTCTTCATCAAGGATTTAAATTCTCTCAAATGATATTTAATTACCACTTTTCAATTATATTACTTCTTCTAAGCTATTATTTTTTATACTTAAGCTTTAATTGTTTACTTTTATGTCCTCTTACTTTACCTTTATAGTTCTTAATATTGATCCAAAATTCTTGCCAAAAATTTTAGCATTATTATTTACAATTTTATTATTTTAAATTATTCCTTTTTAGAACTCCAACACAATATCTGGAATAATCTATTAATAAAAAATTCCTCCTCCAATAGCAGCTTCATTAGAAAAAATAGAAGTATTAAACATTTTTAAATTTGAGTTTTCCAAATGAATAGCTCCACCAGTTGAATATATGGCAGTATTTTTGTGAAATATACTATTTTTTATCATAATTTCTGCTTGAAACATGCTATTACTAATGAATAAAGCTCCTCCATTTAATGAAAAACATTCATTTTAAATAAATTGAGAATTTTCAATTTCAACAAACTAATTATCTATAGCTTGGATTGAACCTCCTTTCCCGTTTTAATTACTATTCCTAATAAATAAACTCTCAGAAATGTTAACTTAATTACAAGAATTTATTAATAAGATAGATGAATAAATATTTTCTTGTATTGTAACATTTCTAAAAGTTAGTTAATTTAATTAAACTGTTGAAATTTTTTCTAGATTTATTAATGGGATATCATTTTGTATTTTTATATCTATAAATTTACAAGAAGTTATAAGAACATTTCCTGTAGAAACCAGTTAACTCATAAATAGTATGGGAATTTAATTATTACTACAATTAATATTTTAAAAAATAGAATTTTAAAACTATACTACTTCAATTAATTTAGGAATATTTTAAGAAGTCCCTAAATTAGATTTAGTTATAAAAATTGTATCTATAGTTAAATATGTTGAATAAATAGTCATAAAACTTTAAGAAATAGTAAGCTAATTAATTATCATATTAAATATAGTTATCGTGTTTGCTTATAAATAGATTTGCACATCTATTGAATCTTAAATGTTAATATATTTTGCATCATAATAATTGCATAAAAGTTGCAAATTATTCTATAATAATGGCTAGACTTTAGCAAAAAAAATAGAATGACTTTGACTAACATTAAATTATTCCATTCTTGTTAAGAAAGTCCCATAAATATCAAGTATAATCAAAGATTAAACATTTTTAATGAAAAAATTTGTAGCATTCAAAACATTTGATGTCTGAATTTCAAATAGTAATACATTATTAGATTATTATAAGAATATGTCTGATATCAATACTTCATTATTATTAACAAGTGAGAATAAGTTTGTTTAAATTATATTTATTATTTAAATTTATTTAATGGTTACTCTTGTATTATTAGATATTTCAAACATAACATTTTGAAAATTAAAATTGCTTATAAAAATATTTTCTATCACAACAAGTTTAGAGTTTGTGATAACTATCTAGTTTTATTATTCACTTAATATTGTATTATTAATTGTTATGTTTTGGATTAAAACCTATTCAAAATTAGATAAAATCAAAGAATTATTTAAATTCAAATTTATATTCACCATTTAAAAGTTATCCATACTACTATTTTTATTCAAGTTAATCTAATTAAAAACAGATAAGTTCATTTGTTTTAATTAAACATTTTGTATGTAATTCTAAAAATCATTAATCTAATTCCAGAAAATGCTATTTTATTCAGAGTCTGATTAAATTATTAAAGTATTTGTATAATTTGAATCGTTTTTCAAAGTTTATAATAAGCTTAAATCAATATCTTAAATGTATTATTAATTTTAGTATTGAATGTTTATGACGGATGGTATGTATTTACTATTTTACATTTAATTAAAAACTTAATCTAGTGCTATTTTTGTATAGACATTTTCTTAGGTTCTATTTTATTATTGAATCATAATGTTACAAGTTTTAATCTATGATAAAGGAATAATTGAATGATAAATATTTTAATAAGAAGATAATGTCAACTCAAGATAAATGAGCCCATTTTAATCTTACTAAATTAACATATTTTATAACTTTTAATCCTACTAATTTATTTCTTGAATCAATTCATAACTTGAATTGTAATTCATTTTTATGATGGAAACTTTACTTTTTTGTAGCACTAAAAAATAATTATTATAATTTAATTTTACGAAATTAGTGATTTCAGAAAGTCCTGAATTTATTGTTGGAAACTAAGGTTAAAAGCTTAGAGCATTATAAATGATAATATCATTTGGGCAAATAGAATAAATAAAATCCATATCATAGGAAATTATTGCTTATTTTAAGCAAGCATTTTAAATAGTAGATAACAATTTTAAAGAATAGCTAAATATTTGGGTGGTTCCAATATTATTAATGACATATATTAACTATCTAAAGGGATCATTAACAACATTAGTAATTTTGATAAACTTTAGTTTTGTTGAATAATCTACTTATTTAGATTCAAGATTAAGAATTTATATTTCAAAATAATTTTCTTAATTTAGTATTATACAAAGTAGTTTAGATTCGTTTATGCTAGGATCGTTATTATTGTATTTTTCTTCATACTCAAAAGGTGTATTCCACAAATAATTTTCTTAATCTTAAAATTTTTTTTTCTAAAGCTTTAATGCAAATTTAATAGTTGAATTGTTAGAATAAGTTAATTAGGAATTAGATAACTTAATAAAATTAAAAATTTAAATCCCATCAGGTGAAATTAAAATAATGTAATCGCTAAATATAAGTGTTTAAACTATATTATTTATAGTAAAGTTAGTTTGATAGATTTCAGTCAGAAGATTTTTAGTTAGATCTATTTTATATAAAGAAGATATTCTTTCATAAAATAGAAATATTTGATTTTACTGATTATCATAAAAGTAGTGGTCAGTAAAATCTTATAATGTTATGTTTTAAATTAAATTTAATTATTCTTTATATAAATCAGGTTAAATAATACTCAGCTTGTTATATGTTATGTAAATGAATTGATTTTTTTAAATTTATATGAGCTATGTAAAATATGGATATATATTAAATGGCACTGGATCAACTAATAAAGTATCCATTAACTAAGAGTTTTTAAATAGATTCAAAGAAAGATTAACACTACTATAGAATACCATATATTTTTCTGCATAAATTATTGTTTGAATATTCTGATACTGAAAGAGATTTGTTTCACTAGCATAAAGAATTTCAGTTAAATCAAAAGAAACTATTGAATCTTGAGTTTATGCTATGAGTATTGATTGCTTAAAATTTAGAAATAATGAATTTATTGGGTTTATACTATAATCTTTTACAGAAATCGTTTCCATAAATTGCATACTTGGAAATTAAAAGGCAGAGATAAAATAGTCTTAGTAGATAAATATAACATTTTTATATTCATCCATGATTATTCCTTAAATATTAATTATATTTATTTTAAAAGTTGCAATACTTTTACTCAAATAATTTAAAAGATAAATTATAGGTGAGTTATCAATTATAATTAAGTTGTTTTAATTTTTATAATAGTAGGAAGCACCTTTATTAAATTGGCTAGAAGTTTCGTATGTAAAAAGTTGTAAAGTTCCAGTAACATTAACAATATTTATTTGATTAATTTCACCAACAAGTCCAATTAAAATGTTATTATCTAAATCATAATAAATATTAGTGGAATTTTACTTATATTCAAAAATATATTCAAATATAAAATAATTTTTGTGCTAAAAATAAAATTAATTTGGATTGTAAAAATATATCACCAAATAACCTTCTATATCAATTATAGGAATGTTATATAACATATTCTCTAGCACAATTAAATTATCCTATTTTAGCATTTTTTAAATTTACAAATTAATATATATTTTTATTTCTCTTAAAAATTAGATTATATAAAAAAGTTTATAAACTAAATAATAATAAATATTTAATGAATTTATAATGTGCCATACTTCGATTATAAATTTTATTCTCAAAGAATGTAAAAAATTTTTTTATTAAGATTTAGAAAAAAAAATTCATAATCAAAATAATAATTATTTGAAATGCTGAAAAAGCTATATAAAATTGATAGAATAAAAAGAAAAATAATTATTATTTTTACATTTTGAAACCCTGCAATAGGTTTGCCTGTTGTCAAATCAAAAATTTAAAGCACAGGATAGTAAACGACAATTAAGCTTTAATCACACTTTAAATAAAATTAGTCTTAAATGTTTTAATAACCATCAGCTGATCTTTGAAAAATGTCAGAAATGGTTCCATCATTCATCTACATAATATTAAAAAAAAATAAACTTTAAATAATTAAAATTTTTATTACATTTATAATTTAAAAATTAGAATTTGATGTCAAAAATACAATTCTGTTTTGTAATTAGCAATATTAATATTGTTATATAGTCTATTAGGCTTAATAGATTAATGAAATTTATGTTTTGTTTTGAGAGTCATATAAATAAAATGTGTTATTTATTACATAAATAAATCTAACTAAATCCCAATCTAAGATTTTAATCTAAAGATTAGCTTACAAATCAATATCTATCACTTTAATTTACTAAATTCCTTTGAGAAAGTCATAAATATATAGCTATTTTTTGGTTTAGTCATAAATAGCTATCTAGCTATTTTGAATTTGTTCATCTTATATTGTTTAGTATTATGTTATATTTAAAACATCAAATGGTTAGTTAAGCAAATTATAATACCAATAAGCACCTTGTTTGGATTAAAAGCAGTGGATTAAAGTTTTATCATCAAATACAATTTTTCCAAGATAATTATCTTATTCATATGATGTTTTCACTACAATCATATTTTTTGTATCTATTATGTTTTAAGATTTTTTAATGTATTGAGTGCTTTCTATTTCATAAAAACTAAATTGGGATCCTAGGTATAAGTCGAGACTTGTTTTTGATGATATTGATTCGAATTATCTTAACTCCATATCAAACTTATGAAAGCTATTTTATTCATAGAAATAAACATACTTATCATCATACACTAAATCCTAATAAATGTTAGATAAATATTTCTAAGGATATTAAATACCTAAATTTAGAATCTATATGCTTTAAAAATCAGGTGAATAAATATATATTTTAGATTAGTAAAAAATGAATATTTCGTTTGTTATTTTACAGACCAGAGAAGGAAGATAAATTGGATATATCTAAAGAATTACTTAATTGTATAGTTTCAATTAACTTAATGAAAAAATGTAGCAATTATTGTCTGAATGATCTACTAGATATATTAAATTATTTTAAGATATTAAAGGATAAATTCCATTATTTATCGTCCAAAATGATAAATAGCTATAACCAAAATTATAAATCTATATTATTTAGTGTGTCTGTAAATCAATTAAGTAAAGAAGTAATTAGTATTATTCATCGTAAGTTAAATACGCAATTTAAATATCATTTATTATTATAAAATTACTCAGAGAAAAATAATTTTCAGAAGAATCGTCAACAATACTTTGTTAAGTTTTTAAATTATAAATTTAAGGAATTTTAGTTATTATTAAAGTTTCAAGTCTTTGAATGTAATAATACTAACTCAAGAAATCACCATAAATACCACTTTGATACTTATAAGATAATATCTACTTCTATTCATTTAAATCGACTATGTATTCATAAACCATAGTGTCAATTATTTTGCTTACTAAAAAATATTTGTCATTAATATTTGCTACCCTGTCAAACTAGGTAATATTGTCCAACAGATAAAAATAAATAAATTATGTATTTATACCAGGATTTTTTTACAAATTAGTGAGAGGATATTATATTTTTATATCACCAATTTATTAATTTAAGTAAATCTAATTTCCATCATACAATTTAAAAGAATTTGAAGTTTAATTATTGATAATGATCATTTGATTTTAGTTCAGTTAATCTTTGTTATCATAATAAAGTTTTACTTATTATATCGGATTTATAAATTAAATTTTAAATTAAAAAGTAATAGGGGAATATTATACTCTTATTTATTACTAAAATGAATCTGCTATATTTAAAATCTAAGTTAAATATATATTAATATTATTATTTTCCTCAAAAATAATATTTGATATGATTGTTTAATTATTTATATGTGATGATTTTATTTATTTCAGTAAATTTTCAGTTAAAATTAATTAATATCTTTATCTATATTTTTCTAAATATTGTGTGATATTAAGAAAGTATAACGAATCGTTGATAAAGAAAATGAAGGAGGAATTTGAAAAATTATTTTCATAAAAGCTAAATTAGTCTTTTATTTATAAGTTTATTGGAATTGTTTCTATGATTTAATCAGATGAATCATTTAGAGTAGCTATTTCTAAATTTTAATTATCATTATTATATTTTAATATGCAATTTAATTATTTGCTATAATATATAGTTCCAAAATACGAGTTATTTAGATGTTCAACAGATTTAATTTGAAGATTAAAATCATTATCAAATTAAATCTTTTATACTTGCATAGCATTATAACTTTAATCAATTTAGATTAAAAAATCATATTTTTAATAAAATTTTAGTTACTATTTAGATGAATAATTTACTGTTTTATTTAAAATGATTAATGACCTGTCTTCTTATAACTCCATTATCTTTGATTAGATAAAAATATAAATTATGTTATTAATAATCTAAAAAAGCATAATTAGTTAATTTACCATAGAAGAAGAAAAAAGGTCTATTTATATAATATAGTTTGTCTTTGTGGTGTTTTACCATTAAATAAAATTTATCAAAAAGTTATAAGGTAGAGTTTATTTATTTAAATTATAATTGAGTGCATCATACCAAAATATGTCATAAATTTAATTTACCCCTAGAAAAACTATTTAGTTTGCTTAATCTATATATAAAACATTTTGATCGTAAGCTAAATTAGTTTAATTAAATACAACATTCATAGTCTCAAAATCAAACACAACTAAACTATTATCAGCTGTACAACCTCCAAAAGAGCCAACTATGAAACTTTTTTAGGGCATTTCATTGCCAAAAAACATATACTCTGAATAAAAAGTTGGCATATTTTGTAAGATTTAGACTGAAATTATATTTAAATTATTATCCATTAATAAGAATGTGCAATGAGTTGCTCTAACCAAATATTGATCCTTGTTTATTTATTCTATCTATTTTATCCTTTTGTCAAAATAGGGCATCGAATATTCATCTACTTAAATGCATTATATAGACTTTTCACAAATTTTAGTTGTTTCATTCTAATAATAAAATGAAGGACAACTCATAACACATTCTTCTAAACTATATGGGGCTAAAATATATGACATGTTATTTTAGCAAGTGTCTTATTTAAGCTAGCATTTATTTTAAGCTTAATTAAGAGTCAAATTCACATCACACTCAAGGCATATTTAATGTATATTACATTTTGCACACCCATGTACTTAACATTTAACACATTATTAATTTTCATCATTTATTTCGCCTTTTTAGCAGCTTTATTAGCAAGTAGAACTATTTTATGAACTCATGAAGAAATTTTTATTGCAAGTAACACAAGAATCCTAATAGATATTGTAACAGCTTAAACATTTACTTGAACATTCAACGCACTGCTATGCTATGACATCATATATTTAATTAGCTTTGCATTTTTATGCAATTACTACTAAATTTAAATTTAAAAGAAGTAAATAAGCAATTCTCTACATCTAAGGGTTTTCAATTAAAGTTTCTATCTTATTTGATTAAGAATTTTGATTTCTAATTTTTTAAATGAACTCTTGATTAATTTCTTAAAAAAAAAACAATTTTTTAATAATGTATTGATCATTTAAAAAGGTTTTATTTTTTATGCAATTCAATTACTGAATTTTATTCTAAAATTTTTTCACTTAACTAAGGTATTTGATAAATATTAAGATATTAAACCATAGAAGCATTATACATCCAATTAATCTCTAGGCTCTTAATTATAAACAAAATAAGTACCAAATAAGACTAATCTGTTATAACTAACAGATTAACCGCTAATGAAATAAATAGTTATAAATTTAAATCACTAAATTTGAGCATTCAATTAACTCACTAAATTAACTAAGGAATACACACTAAATTAATAATGAAAAATAACAATTACTAACTTAATAATAAACTAAATAGTAATAAAATTAATATTAATAATAATAATTAACTACACCTAATATTTGAGCTATTATTAAATAGAATAGTTCTTTTGATTAAATTAAAAAGATTAAGAATTATAGTAAGATGATATAAGAAGGACTAAATTATATTATCAACAATATCCACTACTACCCAAATAAAATATATTTTCAAGAAAAAAACTAGAATATTAATCTTAATAATAATTATTACCCTTTAACGAAAGATGGGATATTGAATTATATAAATTATATTATACCCTTTTATTACCTTTTAAAGTGTAATTTAGTGCAAAATAATGGTTCAAAATATTCAAAGGTTACTAAAAATAAATTAGAAAATTGGCCATTATGACTATATTGAAAGAATAAAAATTTATTTGTATTCAACTCTAGCTATGAAATTGTATACATATATATATATTAAATTAGTATTTTAACATCAAATAAAAAAAATTTATCAAATGGAATTGGATAAGAAACTCCTTTAAATAACATCAACTTTTAAGTATATTTAATTGTTAATTAATTAATAATTTCAAATAAAAATAATAATATTTATTTGTTTTTCCAAAAACAATCTATTTATTTTTTTATTAAATTTATTATTTCAATTATATTCAATATTTTAATTGATATTTTCATTAGTTGCGTTTATTGAACAAATCTCATCTTCTTAGGTATATTTTAATTTTGCTGAAGTTAGTTCCATTCCCTAATTAGACTCATTTTAAATTTTGCCTATATTTTTTTAGAAATTAATAAAACTTTTAAGAATATAAAAATAATAAATACATAAAGGGCTTTATCTAGTTTTTCTACTGTAGTAAGACCACTTATTTCTCATCTTATTTAATGAGTTAATCTTTAAAAAAAATGGATTTTTGGTGTTATCTTATGAATTAGTTTGCTAATCTAATTATAATTTTGTGTTTTGTATAATTTGAGAAGTTTATTATTATGGTGAGCATCTTTGTAAATTAAAATGAGATTGTAAGGTTTACTAGCTATAAAAATCATAGCTTTTTAAATATTAAATAAGTTTTTATATCTTATTTTTTACTTATTTAAATTTAATTAAATATTTTATTTTTTTCTTATTTTAAATTTAAATGTTTTCAAATTAAGTTGGAAAATTACACTTTAAAGAAAATAAAATATTTTGAAATAAGTTTCTATCATTTTTATCGCTTGAGATACTAATAAAAACTATACCTAGCAATATCTAATGAATAAATAAAAGGTTTGGTATAATTAATAATCCAATCATTACTATTTGATAAATTAAATTTTCATTAATAACCTATTAATAAATAGTAGATAGATTCAAAGTATATGAGCACAGCAAAGTTGATTTCTACAGTGAATTGTTAAAGCTTTATATCTAATATGGCTTAGCTTTGAAGATTAAATAAAATTAAAAAAATATTAAACCGTTCAACAAGCATACCTTTTATAAAATAAAAGTTATTTTTAAATATTTGTTTATTATAACTTTAAAAAATTTACTTTTAGAAATGGCTTTTATTAGAGTAAGATCCCAATAAAAATTAGCAAAGATTTATAAATTAATTTACCAAACTCCCAATAATAAAACTTTTCTTTGTATCCTGCAAATATAAATGAATATTTACATACACTAAATATAGAGGACTTTTATTAATTTTTAAAATCTCTAATTTTTATCAATAAGCAAAGAGGAATTACTAATAACCAAATTGTTAACATTGGTATTGAGTAATAATATATAAACGGTTTATGCCAGTTATCATCAAAGCATTAAATATTTATATCGATATCTAAATATGCTTTATTTGCTATTTAGATGCAGTTAATAGACCTGCTTAAAAGTGTTATAACCATAGGTAAAAAGTAAAAATAAATAAAAAGAAAAGCTGTAGTTTTATACTTTAGCATAATTTTATTTTTTTTGAATAGGCTATATGATATTCCAACAGTAAAATAAGCAATTAATAAGCTAAGAGGCAAAGCAAATGACCATAAAGATTAATAAAACCACAGTGGCTGTAAGTGTTTATTCTTAGAAAAAACGCAATCAATAGATTTACTAGCATATTATAGAGAGTTTCCTAAGAATTAAACTGGCAATTAAAACGATATCGGTATATTAACTTAAAAGGATATTAATAACGATAAGATTTAAAGATGGTCTGTCATAATTTTAGATACGATTTGTGGTCTATCTAATTTACTTACTAATATGATAAAAATTAAAAAATATAAATATAAAATTTAATGTTTACATGTTGATCCTAAATAAATTATATCTAACCTCTAAATGTAATAGCCAGCTAGCTTTGATTAAAGTTTTGAAATTATATTTTTTAAAATATAGAAAATATATGTAGAAATTAGCAAAAATATTATTAAATTTTGGACAAAGATAAGTAATGCATTTTCTTCACATATATAGCATTTCCCTGGTTTAAATATTTCAGAGTATCGTTATTTCCAAACTACTCCATATATATCACAAGATTAGCAAAGAGTACCTACGTAACCTTCAATACAACCATACTTTATATTATTTATATTTTTAAAAATTAATTTGAAAAAGTAAATGAAAACGATAAAACATTTTTTAATTATATTTAAATTTAATAGTTTTCATATTTATTAATATTTTATAATTTAATTGATGAATTATTATTTTTATGTTACCTTTGAGTTTTTCGATTAAGACTAGCACGATATTGGATTATACTAGCAATAAGCTATTTGGTCTGTCATCTCACTTTCCCTCCAGTAACCATTCTTTAAATTAATCACTGAACCATAGCATGAAATTGCAACTATCGGGCATTACTAGCAATCTGTATCTGCTGTATTTAAAGAGTATTTTCCATCAGGACATTAATCACACACAATAGAATTACCTTAATCCTTTTGAATTTCTCCAGTAGAACAACTTACAAAGTCAATAGTTATATTTTGCAAAAACTATCCACCTTAAATTACAATATTTCCCTTTGGATCTTAAAGTTATTGAAATGTGTTTGAAACAATTTAGAGAACCATATTTTTTTATGGTTAATACATAATTTATGCATTCAAATTGAATCCACCATTTATAAATTCTTATGATTAAAGTTATCCTTAGAGCTATATTTAATAATTTTATTGATCCCATCTCAAAGAAATAATAATTTATTTAATTAGAGATTATATATCTTAAGTTAATTTATTGAAATCTGATTCTCCAATTTTAGGAATAAAAATAGGATTATCTTCTTCATCTAGTAATTAGATTTTATTAAATGAAATTATCTATCCACTCTTGAATAGACTTATTTTAATATTATCCATTTCTTATTCAATAGCACTTTCTTTTGGAATTTAAATACTCTTAATGTTAATACTAATTTTTCTTAAAGAAGACCCAAAATTATTACCATATATGTGAGCTTAATTATTTTATATTGTATTATTATTATTATTATTATCGTTGTTTTTTAACACCTATTTAAGGTCTAAAATAAATTATGGTATAACTTATTCATAATAAACGCCTCCACCTATAGAAGCTCTATTCTATGAAATTTCTGTATTTTTCATAATAATATTTGTATTTTAAACACTTATTGCTCCTCCAGTTGAAACAAGAGCTTAATTTTATAAAAATATTGAATCATAAATATTTAGTTAGCTCTAAAAGTTAGAACTAGAAATAAATAAAGCTCCACCTTAAAAATATAAGCACTTATTCTAAATAAAAATACTATTTTTTATAGTTATATTTACGCTTTCAAAAACATAAATTGAACCCCCAGCTCCCATCATATTAGTATTATTTTTTACTTAAAAATTAGTGAGAGTTATTGTTTAGGATTCCATTATAAGTAAAGCAGATGATCGATCAGTACTATTAAATAAATTATCTTTTATTTAAATTTAATCTAAAAATATGTTATCTAAACTTATTAAATAGATTAAATAATCATTCTATTATAGATTACAGTTAATAAATTTAGAGTTTAATATATAAGCAAATCCACCTTAATTCTAATTCATCAAATAAATAAATTGTAAATCATTACTAAAGCTGTAAATATTTTATATTTTGCAATTATTAAACATAAAAATTTATATAAAACCTGGCGAGTTTGATTAGGAATTTTTGACTGTAATATTATCCATAATTAAATCATCTGTTCTTAAAGAAATACAATAATTTAAGGTATAATTTAATTAAATAAATTAAAGATCATAAATACTAGATGCTCCACAATCAATTTATAAAAAAACATCTGTTGAATTAAATATTTTTAAATTTCTAATTTCATTTTATATTTGTAAAAATTTTTGGTTTTGTATGTAAAATGAGTTAATTTCTATTAATTTTATTAAATTGCTTTCATTTACTTGGATTTTTTATATATTTACATCAACAGTACCAAGAATTTATAATATTCTTGAATTTTAACCATTACTGATTTAAATATTATTAATATTCAAACTATTTCCTAGGATAACTTAAAATATATTAAGATAATTTGATTATTCTATGAATATGTCTTCTATTTCAACCATATAGTTGTTTTATAAATAAAATATATTATTTTAATTTGAGTTTTCAACGTAAACCTATCTTAAAATAACATGAATGTTATTATTTAAAGTAAATAACATATTTTAGCTCTGAAGATTATCTATTTACAGGTTTTCTATTACTACAAGTTAGCAATTTTCTATTATTATTGAATTATTACCTTAACTTTTGTAAAATTGTATATTTTGTAATAATACACTTTCAAAATTTGATAAATATAATTAGTTCCCAATATACAGAGTCACATTTACCATCTGAAAATGTTTAATTTCTTTATTTTAATTTAATTATATTTTATCAATAATAAATAGACTCATTTATCTAATAATTAAATTAATTATGTATTAAAATGGGTTTCCTATACTATTATACCAAAAAATATTGTTTTGTTCTTAATTTGATTATAAAATTATGTTTAAATCATGATCATAATTAAATGATGCTTTTTCTAACTAGCTAAGATATACTTCTTCGATATATTGTTAATCTTAATAGTCGATTTAAATTTAGGAGAGTATTTAATTACTATTTATAAGCACTTAATTTATTTAATTTAAAGAGATTTATGTATAAATATACTCTAGTTCTCTGTTTTTCTATTAAATGTTAATAAAGCAATATTTTTTATCATTTGAATTAGAATATAAGGGTATTGTAGAATGAATTATACCTCCATATGAGGAAAGAGTTAAATTCAAATAAACAAAATTTTAGAATTATGCTGTTTGTACTTTTGAGACAATAGAATATTTTTATTCTATTTCTTAAATTAGCTCATAATTATTCTTATAATCTACTTTTATAATAGAAACTAACTCTTTTTAAACCACTATAAAATAACTAGTATTTTAAACATTAATAAATTTTGTTATCTCTCTAAAACCTTAATTAATTGTAGGAAATTGTTGTATAAAGTTTAATCCGTTATATATAATCACATCATTAGGGCAGATAGAATAGATAAAATTAAAATCGTAAGAAATTATAGCTTATTTTAGGCATGGGTTTATTAGAGTTCCTATCTAATTCAGTGAATAATTGAATATCTAAGTAGTTCCAACATTATTAATAACATATAGCAACTGTCTAAAAGGATCATTAACAATGTTGCTTATTTTATAATATTATAAAGTTTAACTTTAAGTTACTTTAACTTATAAAACATCTATAATTTATATCAAATATTGATTTTATTCATTAGTAATAACTATGCATATCATTGGCTATTCTTATTCATAAAAATCATTTGTATTATATCTTTCTTCATATTCAAAAGGAATATTCCACCAAGAATTTTAATAATCTTCAAATTATTTTTTTAAGAGCTTGAATGTAAACTAAATTTATTAATAATTTAATAGAGTGATTTATGTATGCTATTATAAAATATAATTGTAAATTTATAATTTATTAGAAGCTGGGAGCAATATGAAATCATTACAAATTAGAGACAGTGAAATATCTCCTTATTAGAAATTAGTTTAGTAATTTTCTACTGGTGCATCAACTTTAAAATCAATTTAGTTAAGCAAATAGTTTTATTCATAAAGTAAAAATATTTAATTCCTTATATTATCATAAAAATAGTTACCAGGAACATTTATCAGAAGTATTTTAAATTTTATAATCAATTTTTAATTTTCTAAGTCAAAATATATTACATTAATACTTTTTTATTAAATGTAAATAAATTAACTCTATTTTACCAAAATAGGCTAAGTAAAATAAGGATAAATATTTTGATTTGGTGGATCTAATAACAAAGTATCTACTAATTTCGAATTTAAATAAAGATTTAAAGAATAATTTAAAATGCTAGAATAAACCTAATATTCAGGACTAAGAAAAACATATTATACATTTTGATACTAAAGTAAATTCATCTCAGTTGCATAAAGAATTTCTGTTAAATCATAGGCTATAATAAAGTCTTTCGTTAGTACGTAAAGGATAGATTATTTTTATTACAAAAATATTTTTTGAATAGAAGAACTTCCATATTATTATAAAGAAATAGTCTCTTGAAATTAAAATGATGGGAATGAATAAGTTGAAATAAAAACATCAGAGTAAATAAATATCATTTTTTTATTTTGATCAATTAACATTCCTTAAATATTGTTTATTTCTATCTTTTGAATTTAAATAGCACTAGATTAATAATTATATAAGTATAAAATAGGAGTTTAATCTACAATAATTAAACTTTTTTATTCTTAATAGTAGAATATCATTTCTTTTGCAAATTAGCTTACAGTTTCATAAGTTACTAATTAATTAATATCAGCGATATTAATAATATTTAATTATTTTATAGTTCCAGTTAATCCTATTAATATTTTTTCATCTACATCCCAAAATAATACTGTACTATTTAATCTGTAATCGAAAATAAAATTGTTACTTTATGTTTTATTAAATTAAAAATAGTTGTTATATGGTTGATAAAAATAAACTATCAATTAATTATTTTTATCTATTAATGGTATACTCTAAAGATCATTAGAAATTAATCCAAAATTGTCTTGCTTTTTTTTAATAAATAATATTTACAAAATTAAAAATAAATTACTCATTAAACTATATTATCAAATAAATTGGGACAAGTCATCTTTATTAGACACCATGTCCTTAATATTTTTATTGGACACTAGTTTTTAAAAATCTTTATTGGGCACCCAATTGTAGTTGGCTTTATTTAAAATTAAAAAAAAAATTTTTTTGGCCAAAATTTATGAAGACTTACAGTCTTATTTTTTTTAAAGTATTATTTAAACTAAAGTTTATCAATTTTTGACAAATTACTTTTATTAAAAATGGGTGTTAATATATGAGTAAACGTTTTTTATTCATTTAAACATTTTAAAATATAAATACTAATAATAATCATTAGATTTTATCAAGTAATTAATTAGAGACAAATAAAATGAAATCAATTAAATTTACATCAGTGAAGTCATTTGATAGTTTTCCTGTAAGTAAATCATATATTTACAATGAAGGAAAGTAAATTACTACTAGATTTTAATCACACATTAGATAAAAAAGAATGTCTTAATATTCTAAAGGGTAAAAATAGGAGATTTGAAATTTCTAGTTATTTTAGATCTATTTATTTTTAAAATTATGTTAATTAATTTAAAACTAAAATGAAAAATATTTACTTTTATAATGTAAATATTTAATTTTTAAGTTTTAGCAACAATTACTTACTAACTAAAGCAATATTTATAATCAATAATTTATGAATCTAATAGAGAGATCACTTTTGATGTTTAATTATTTAGTTGATCTTCTAGATATAAAGTCATATTTTTAATCCAAAAAAATGTACCTATATTCCAATCTACAATTTTTATTGATAAATTAAACTCTTGATTAAATTTTATAGATAAATTTTCTTGAGGTTGCTTTAAAATATCAAATATCATTAAATAGTTTGTGTTAAAATCATAAATAGCAATTTTATTATTTATCTCAAGAAAACTATCTTATATTACTTAATGTACAGAAATGTTATAAACGTTGAATGGCTCATTAAACAAATTTAAATGCCAATATATTCCATTTTAAGATGAAAAGCAATGAACAGATGTACCATCGCCAGCAATTGTATTTCCTAAATAATTATTAATTTCTTATTAAGTCTTAATTATTATCATATTTTCTGTGTCTATTATAACTTTTGATTATTTTATATATTTAGCGCTGTCTATAATAATGAAGCTATTTTTCAAAATACTAGTTTAATTTAAATTTATTCCAATATTTATCATATTTAATTACTTAGATTCCATATCAAATTTTATGAAATAATTGTGGTCATAGTAAAAAATATATCTTTCGTTATAAATTAAATTTAAACTTTGATCACCAAGCATAGGATATTATATTCCAAAATTAATCTGGTTTTTTTACTATAAATTAAACTAAAATATGTAGATAGTTGAGAGATAAAATAAAAAAATCTCACTTGTTTTTTGATATACCAAAGAAGGGGTTGTAATTAAAATGTTCGATAGCTTTGTTTTTTGATATAATAATTATTTATTACTCAGAGAAAATGGCTAGCAATAAATCTTTTTTGATACTAAATAAATAATATCATTTTAAACTAATAAAGGATAAATAGAATTATTAATTGTCCAAAAGCTTATAAAATTTTTTTTACCAAAATTATAGAGCTATGAAAATTCCATCGATTAAAAATCTAGTAACATTAGAATTACTTCCTTTTATATATTTTATGTTTAATAAACTAATTAATCATCATTTATTATTACAAAATTATCTAAAGAAAAATAATATTTTGAAGGATTGCTTATAATATCAGATTAACTGATTAAAGAATATATCTTAGATATATTTTAAAGGATTAGCAATTTCCTTTTCTCAATAAAGTAATATTAGCTTAAATAATAATCATAGCTATAGGTATAAAAAATAATATTTTATTAAATAGAAAGATCGATTATTTATTCTTCAACAATTTATTCTGAATTTATTTTGCTTAACAATAAGTATTAACCATTTACTAAATCTAGTCTATCGTAAGCTTAAGCATCATCTTATAATTGTAAAAAAAATAACCTTGTTAAAATTTTATGAGTATTTTATAAATTAGTTAATCTTAAATTTACCTATTAAACTCCTAAACCCTAAAAAAATTGCATTTAAAGCTAATTGTAAATATAAAATTGGCCTTATTGAGATGTAGCGTTTAAGTTAAACATCATTAATTATGGTTAAAGATCGTTATCTATATAATAAAGTTATTGATATTTGTAAGGATCTAGGTATTTTATTTAATATTCTTCACTTTAAAGATTATATCTAAGTCTTATTTGCTAATAATTTTGTTCATTATTTTATATAATTTAGCTTAAAAAAATATCAATCATTTAATTTTGCAGAAAAAGCACATTTGTTATTGTAGATTGATTTGTTATAAATGGAGAATCAATTGTTTAGATTATATTTTAAACTTGACTTCCTTAAGTAAAGTTTAGGCATTTATTTATATTCAGAATTTATAAATTATTAGCAATAAAAATAGCTATTGTTAAGTTTTATTCTTCGCTTTCATAGACTTAAAATTAAATTAATGAATTTACTGTTATATTCATACTTTAACTAACTTGATTGCTTTACCCTCCTAAAGAAAGTAATTCTATTTAATAATCTACTGAATTGTATTAGATAATTAAATTAAAAATTTTACTAAAGTATATTTCGTATTAAAACAAATCTAATTTTTCTAACTATATTATTTGAAGATCAAATTAGCTTGAAAAAACTAACTTATTTATATAATGATATTCTAAAGATTCACTATACGTTATTAAATAATCTTGAATTTAATAGGTATATTATATTAATTAAATAGGCGATAGCTATATTTTGGTATCCTATAGTCTTAAAGATCTATCATCCTCAAGAAAACCTAACTTTTTATGAAATAAAATTTTACAATTAATTTAATATTGTTGAATTTATTAGTTAGAAATATAAAAATAATTATGATCCTATTTATCCTTTAAAAATTTTAAGGGAGTAGGCAAAAAATTAAAATATTAATACAGTTTTTCAAACAACATATTTAAATCTTTTAAAAATTATTTTATTTTTATTAGCCCATTTAATTGTTGCCCCTCCCTTATATCAACTCTTTTTGTAAAAAATATGATTGAATTTTACCTAGATTTGAGCATAACTTATTTAAAAATTATAAATTATTTTTCCGTTCTATTGCATTTTGAAAATAGCTAATACACTATAATCAAACTTTATTTTTTAGAATTTTAATGTGACAACATCAAACCATTATATGTCCTTATATTAATTAGACTTCAAGAAAACTATTTGATTTTCTTAGTCAACAAATAAGATAAAATAATCTTAATCCATATCTGCCTATTAAAATAAGATTTATAAATTAGTAAAGTTCATAAGGATCAGAGTATTTCCTGCAGTACAACCTCCATATTATCTAATAATAAAGCTCTTTTGAAACTATTCTTAGCCATTTATCATATATTAACCTTTGTAATCTTACATATTTTATAAAATTTACAAATTGATTATGTTCCAATCTTGATTTACTAGAGCAAAATTGCATTAGTTAGCTCTAACTAAATATTAGTTATTGCTTATATACTCTATCTATAATACCCTATCATCAAGTGACCTCAAACTATTATCGATTTAAATGCATTAAAGCATTTTTTCACATATTTAGGTTTAGAAATTTTGGTAATAGGATGAAGGACAACTCTAGAAGCACTCATTTTTAGTGAATGGAGCTTAAATGAATTATTATTCTTTACAAATGTTATTTTTAAGAATGCATTAATTTAACGAAATGTCTAAGCTTAAGTTTGCCTCACATTTAAGACATATTTAATTTTGATCACATAATGTACAACCTTAAACATTACACTGCACGCATTATTTATTTTCTAAAAAAATTTCACCATTTTAGCAATTTTACACACAAGTAGAACTATTTAGTGAGCTTTTGAAATAGGGTTGTTAGCAATCGATGCATGAATTTTCACTCTAGTTAAAGCAACTTTAACAATAAGCTGAACATTAAAGGCACTCTTAATTAATAGTATTAAATATTTAGTTACTATTGCATTACGATAATACAGCTTTAAGTAAACTAAAAATAATTGTAATTTTAATTAAAAAGACCATTTTAAAATAAAAACAATTTGATTTTTTTGTTTATTTTTATTAAATTAAAAATAATTAACTATTTTTATAAAGAGAGAATTTAAAATAAATAAAAAAATTACTAACAAACAACTTTTATAAGTAAAGAAATAAAATTCAATTTCTCGCTCTCTTTATTTTTTTTTTCCTTTCAGAATAAGATTAATAATATCAACAAACATTTTTAAAAATTTTAGAAAAGACTTAATTTAAATTAATATATCATTCATACTTAACCTTTCTAACAAAACTAATATAAATTTAAATTATAATATAAAATTATATTTTATTATAGTTTTTATGGATTAAAAAATTTTTTTTATTTCATTCATCTAATTATCTTAATCTAATCTATATAATAATATTTTTTGGTTATAATAAAAATATTAAATTTTATAAGCTTTAATCAATAAATTTTTCTTTTTAATAATATTCTTACTTCTAGCTATATTTGTATAGAATATTCAAAATTAAAAGGCTTCATTTACAAAGAAATATAAAATTTTTATTTATAAATTCAAGTTTTAAATTTAAATTATCAGAAAATTATTTTAAAATTTAAAATTAGTAAGCCATAAATAAGAAAAAATAAAATTAAACTGTAAATAATGTTTTTAAGAGGAAATTTATCATTTACTTATTTTATTAAAAAATATTTTATGTAAAAGGATAAAGAATATTATTATTATTTACAGCTAGATGCCTTTCTAAAACCTAGTGATGAGGCATCAATATTTTTTAGCAAGTTATTTTCTAAATTTAAATTGAAAATGGAGTTCAACTGATTATTCTATACATGTTTAATTACCTTTAGTTATACACCCCCCAAGCCCAACAGTTTAATTAACTATGTAAATTTAAGCACCTCATTCAAGAAGAAATTTGTAAGGCTTAGCATCACCTACAAAAAGATATCTTAGTAATTTTCTTTTTCAGTTGCCAATGCTTCCTTGACTAATTAAGGAAACACCACCATATATTCACTTACACTATTACTTGGATTTATTAATTCATCGATTATTTTTATATTAATATGAATTATAAAATTTATATAAGTATTAAAATATTTATAAAAACAAATAGTTTTTATTTAAAATTTACAATTTAGATATCTATATATTTTTAAAATTTAAATTTATTTTTTTCACAGCGACTATAAATATTATTCTGTTTAAAATATATTTTTAAATACTTTTCAAAACAAATAACTCTTTAAATAAATGAAGTTTTATTAAATTTAAAAAGAAATACCTACTTATCATTTATTAAGCATCATTTTTAATTTTTGCCTCAAATAAAAAAATTGATTTTTTAAATTTTGAAAATTGAAAAATAATTAATTAAAAAAGTAAAATGTTAAACTTAAAAACAAAATAAAATATAAATTTTCTTCACATTCACTTAGGTGAAAAAAGTATATTTAAATTTTCATTTTATCTGCTTGAATTCATCATTCTCTCGTTATCTTTGCTTGATTCATTAGTAAGCTCTGTAGTTAATTAGAATTTACCAATATGTTCATAATTTTTAGAACCTATTTATTTTATTAAAAATTAATTAATTAAACAAATATTATATTTTATTTAGGATGTGATACTTAGTTCATTTTATTTAGATTCTCTTGTATAGTAATTCCATTTATCTTTAAGATTCAATGAATAGTTAATATTTTTTCCTTTTTTCTTAAAAAGCCTACTTTAATTTGAATCAATACCTTAAAATCTGCTAAATTAACTTAGAGGAGAACCTTAAGGAGTAATTTGAGATTTTTTCAATTAAAAGACAGATTAGAATGATTCTTATGAGTAAAGTTTATTATTCTTTAAATAAATAGCAAGCTTTTAAATTTTATTTCTTACTTTTTTCAACTTAATTATAGACTAGAACCTTTATTTTCTTACAATTTGTATATTTTCAAACCTTTATGGGTATTTTTATTTAAAATAATAAAGACATTTTTAGAAGAAGTTTCTTTTTTCTTCTTCACTAGATATATTTACTTAAACTATATTTAAAAAAAGTTGTATGATAAACAAGAGATTGGGTAATATTAGTATCAAAGCTGTTAAACCATTTAATTGATTAAATTATATTGAAGATACATTTAAAGACAAAGCGCTTAAAAATACAGACTTCTATTAGTAGTAATTAAAACTTGTTCTTGTAAATGGTTAGAACTTTAAAAGCAAGTAGTATTTTACTAAAATAGTAACATTTATTAGACTAAGCTACATTTTAAAAAATTTATAAAATAAATTAGTTAAGTGTTATATTAATAATTAAATAAATATACCTTTAATATCAAATCTTGCTAAAATACTATTGAAATTAAAATGAATAATGCTTTATAAATGAGTTTTCCAAACTCCCAGTAGAAGAAGCTTTACTTATAACCAGCAAAAATAAAAGAATACCTAATTTCTAAAAATATAGACCACTTTCTCTTTTTACCGTTTTTTATTTTTAAAAATAAAAGTAGAGGAATAAATAGTGCCCATAAAATTAATAGTGGTAAGCTAAAATAGAAGATATACGGCTTATGTTAAGTTGAATCATAGCAATCAATAGAAACATCAATGTCTAAGTACTTTTTGTTTCCAATCTATAAGCAATTTATTGATCTGATTAAGGTTGTTATCACCATAGGGAAAAAATAAAAATACATAAAGATAGTAGCTGTATTTAAATATTTTAGAGCAGATTTATTTTTTTAAAATGCATACATTAAAACTCCAATTATTAAGTAAATTATAAATAAAGTAGCTGGTAAAGAAAAAGACCATATTGTTTGATAAAACCATAAGGGTTGTAAATTTGGAAACTAAGAAAATATGCAATCAAAAGATTTACTTGTAACTCTAAGAGGGTTTCCAGATAATCCAATAGATGTACTAAAATATGAAGGGATACTAATTTAAAGAGTTTTAAGTAAAGATAACATTTAGAGATGATCTGTTAGAATCTTGGAAACTATTTATGATTTATCTTTATCAGTTACTTTTTAAATTTATTAAATTATTAAAAATTAAATATTTAAAAGTACTTACTTGTCGTACCCAAGTAAATAATATCTGCTTTATTGATAAAATACCCTGCAAGTTTTGCTTATAATGAAGAGATAATTTTTTTTAATATTCCAAATACATAGAAAGAGGCAAATAAATATATGGTCAGATTTTAAATTACTATATATAAAATGTTTTAACTACATCTGTAGCAATTTCCTTCATCAAATAATTAAGAATATCTATAATCCCATACATCACCATAAGTATCACAAGATTTGCAAATAGGACCTTTATAACCTTAAATGCAGTTCATCTTTTTTTAATTTTTTATCAAATAAATAATGAAATTGTAGTATATATTTTAAAAGATAATAAATATCACATGATATTTAGGATTTTGAAAAAGATTTATTTAGATTTTATTATTTATGATTCAAGTGGGGGGAGGGGGGTTTATTAATTTATGATAAATTATGATTAAAATTTTTAATTAAAAAAAATGTTTTTTAACAAAATCAAAATATTTTATTTTGAAAAAATAATCCCCTCTATTTATTTTATTAAATAAAGATCATATAAAATTAATTATTTACTTTTGATAGATTTGATTCAGCTTAGCATGAATTTGGATTAAAATCACAATAAACAATATTATCTGTCTATTCATTTTCTCTCCAATATCCATTTTTTAAATATATGTTAGAACCAATACATTTAATAGCCGAATCTGGACATTATTGGCAAGCTGTATCATTAAGATTTAATGAATATTTACCGTCAGGGCATTACTCACAGATAATTGACTTCTCTTAATGCATTAATACATCTCCAATAGAGCATCCTAAAAATTATACATTGATTTCTTATTCAAGTTTTCCTTATTTAATATAAACCTGCTACTTAGAATCTTAAAGCTCTGAAATTGTATTAGATACAAGTTTTAAAACTGTACTGCCTAATGGTTTGTACATTACTTAAAAATACAATTAGAAACCATTGTTTATAAATTAATTTGTTTAAAGCTGACCAATACATTAAATTTAAGTGTCATTTTAATCCCATTCAACTGAAATACTAACTTCTTAAATTAATGCTTAAACGCTGCTACAATATTTATTTAAATATGAGTCTTTTGAATTTGGAATAATGACAGGGTTATTTTCTTCATCAAGGATTTAAATTCTTTAAAATGATATTTAATTACCACTTTTCAATTATATTACTTCTAGTAAGCTATTATTTTTAGTAATTAAGCTTTGATTGTTTACTTTTATGTTATCTAAATTTACCTTTATGGTTCTTAATGTTGAACCAAAATTTTTTCCAAAAAATTTAGCTTTATTATTTATAATTTTATTACTTTAAACTATTCCTTTTTAGAAATCTAATATAAAATCCGGAATAATCTATTAATAAAAAACTCCTCCTCCAATAGCAGCTTCATTAGAAAAAATAGAAGTATTAAACATTTTCAAATTTGAGTTTTCCAAATGAATAGCTCCACCAGTTGAATATATGGCAGTATTTTAGTCAAATATACTATTTTATATCATAACTTCTGCTTGAAACACACTATTACTTATGAACAAAGCTCCTCCATTTAATGACAAACATTTATTTTAAATAAATAGAGAATTTTCAATATCTACAAACTAATTATCTATAGCTTGGATTGAACCTCCTTTTCCTTTTTAATTACTATTGCTGATAAATAAGCTCTCAGAAATTTTTACTTAATTGCAAGAATATATTACTAAAATAGAGGATTATAAGTTTTATTATATAGTAATATTTTTAAAATTAAGTTAATTTAATTAAACTATTAAAATGTTTTCTAGACTTATTAATGGAATATCATTTTGCAGGTTGATATCCATAAATTTAGAAGAATCTAAAAGAACATATCCTGCAGAAACTTATTAACTCATATATAGTAAGGGAATTTTATTAGTAGTACAACTAATATTTTTAATTATAGAATTTTAAAAATTCACTATTTCTATCAATTTAGGAGTATTTTAAGATGACTTTACACTAGATTTAGTTATAGAAATTGTATCTATAGTTGATTGTGTTGAAAAAATAGTCATAAAGCTTTAAGACAAAGTAAGCTCATTAATTTTCATATTAAATATTGTTGTATTGTTTACTTATAAATAGATTTACACATCTATGGAATCTTGAATGTTAATATATTTAGCATCATGCTAATTGCATAAAAGTTGTAAATTATTCTTTGATAACGGTTAGACTTTAACAAAATAAATAGTTTAACTTTGACTAACATTAAATTATTAAATACTAGAAAAGAAAGTCCCCTATATATTCAGTATAATTGAAGATTAAACACTGTTAATGTAAAAATTTGAAGCATTCAAAACATTAGATATCTGAATTTCAAAAAGTGATACATTATTAGACTATTATAAGAATATGTCTGATATCAATACATCATTATTATTAACAAGTGAAAATAAGTTTGTTTAAGTAATATTTATTATTTAAATTTATTTAATGATTACTTTTGTATTATTAGATATATTAAACATAACATTTTGAAAATTAAAATTGCTTATAAAAATATTTTCTATCACAACAAGTTTAGAGTTTGTGATAGCTATCTAATTTTATTATTCATTTAATATTGTATTATTAATTGTTATGTTTTGAATTACAACCTTTTCAAAATTAGATAAAATCAAAGAATTATTTAAATTTAAATTTATGTTTACCATTTAAAAGTTGTCCATAAAACTGTTTTTATTCAAGATAATTTAGTTATAAATAGATAAATTCATTTGTTTTAATTAAAGATTTTGTATATTATTCTAAAAATCATTAATCTAATTCCAGAAAATACTATTTTATTCAGAGTCTGATTAAATTATTAAAGTATTTGTATAATTTGAATCGTTTTTCAAAGTTTATAATAAGCTTAAGTCAATATCTTAAATGTATTATTAATTATAATACTGAATGCTTATGAGAGATGGTATGTATTAACTGAATTAATTTGAGTTAAAAGCTTAATTTAGTGCTATTTTTGTATAAATATTTTCTTAGATTCTATTTTATTATTGAATTATAATGCTACAAATTTTACTCTATGATAAAGGAATAATTGAATGATAAATATTTTAATAGGAAGATAATATCAACTCAAGATAAACAAGTCCATTTTAATCTTATTGAATTTACATATTTTACAATTTCTAATCATTTTAATTTATTTCTTGAATCAATTCATAACTTTTATTGTAATTCATTTTTATGATGCTAACTTTACTTTTTTGTAAGACTATAAAATAATTATTGTAATTTAATTTTACGAAATTAGTGATTTCTGAAAATCCCGAATTTATTGTTGGAAATTAGGGTTAAAAGCTTAGAGCATTATAAATGATTACATCATTTGGGCAAATAGAATAAATAAAATCCATATCATAGGAAATTATTGCTTATTTTATACAAGCATTTTAAATAGTAGACAACATTTTTAAAGAATAGTTAAATATTTGAGTGGTTCCAATATTATTAATGACATATATCAACTATCTAAAGGGATCATTAACAATATTAGTAATTTTGATAAATTCTTGTTTTATTGAGTAATCTACTTTCTAGGATTCAAGATTAAGAAGTTGTATTTCAAAATAATTTTCTTAATATAGTATTATACAAAGTTGTTTAGATTCATTTGTACTAGGATCGTTACTATTTTATTTCTCTTCATACTCAAAAGGTATGTTCCACAAATTATTTTAGTAATCTTAAAACTTCTTTTTCTAAAGTTTTAATGCAAATTTTACAGTTGAATTGTTAGAATAAGTTAATTAGTAATTAGATTACTTAATAAAATTAAAAATTTAAATCATTTTAGGTGAAATTAAAATAATGTAATCGCTAAATATAAGTGTCTAAATTATATTATTTATAGAAAAGTTAGTTTGATAGATTTCAGTCAGAAGATTTTTAGTTAGATCTATTTTATATAAAGAAGAGATTCTATCATAAAATAGAAATATTTGATTTTATTGATTATCGTAAAAGTAGTGGTCAGTAAAATCTTATAATGTTATGTTTTAAATTAAATTTAATTATTCTTTTAACAAATCAGGTTAAATAATACTCAGCTTGTTATATGTTAGATAAATGAATTGATTTTTTGGAATTTATATGAGTTATGTAAAATATGGATATATATTAGATGGTACTGGATCAAATAATAAAGTATCCATTAACTAAGAGTTTTTAAAAAGATTCAAAGAAAGATTAACAGTACTATAATATACCAAATATTTTTCTTCATAAATTATTGTTTGAATATTCTGATATTGAAAGAGGTTTATTTCACTAGCATAAATAATCTCATTTAAATCAAAAGAAATTATTGAATCTTGAGTTTCTGCTATGAGTATTGATTGCTTAAAATTTATAAATATTGAATTTATTGGATTTATACTGAAATCTTTTACAGAAATTGTTTCCATAAATTACATACTAGGAAACTAAAAGGCTGATATAAAATAATCCTAGTATATGAATATAACACTTTTAAACTCATCCATGATTATTCCTTGAATATTTCTTATATTTATTCTAAAAGTTGTAATACTTTTAGTCAAATAATTTAAAAGGTATATTATAGGAGAGTTATCAATTATAATTAAGCTGTTTTAATTTTTATAATAGTAAGAAGCACCTTTACTAAATTGGCTAGAAGTTTCGTATGTAAAACATTGTAAAGTACCAGTGGCATTAACAATATTTATTTGGTTTATTTCACCAACAAGTCCAATTAATATGTTATTATCTAAATCATAATAAATATTTGTGGAATTTTACTTAAATTCAAAAATATATTTTTATGTAAAATAGTTTTTGTGGCTAAAATAAAATGAATTTGGACTATAAAAATATACGATCAAATAACCATCTATATCAACTATAGGGATGCTCTTTAAGGCATTATTTAACGAAAGTAAGTTATCCTATTTTAAAATATTTTAAATTAATATATTTTACTTCTAACATTCTCTTAAAAATTAGGTTAATAAATAAAGTTAAGAAGCTAAATCTAAAAAAATATTATTTAATTTTCTATTATTATTTGAATTTATAAAATGCCATCCCTCGATTACACTTTATTTAATCTCTTTTTTGAGTAGATGGGTTCTTACTTAATACAGGGGGATGTATAAGTAACTGGAAAAATTAAGAAAAATTAATACTATAATTCAAATATAAAATTGATAGAATTTAAACAAAAATAATTATTATTTTACATTTAAAAAATCTGCAATAGGCTAGCCTGTTCCCAAGTCAAAAATTTAAAGCACAGGATAGTAAACGACAAATAAGCTTTAATCACAGTTTAAATAAAATTAGTCTTAAACGTTTTAATAATCAAAACTTGATACTTGAATGATGTCAGAAATTGTTCCATCATTCACCTACATAATATTAAAAAAAAAATAAACTTTAAATAAATTAAAATTTTTAATTACATTTATGATTTAAAAATTAGAATTTTATGTCAAAAATACAATTAGATTTTGTAATTAGCAATATTAATATTGCTATATATTGTATTAGGCTTAATAGATTAATGAAATTTATGTTTTGTTTTGAGAGTCATATAAATAAAATGTGTTATTTATTACATAAATAAATCTTAATAAATCCCAATCTAAGATTTTAATCTAAAGATTCACTTGCAAATCTATATCTATCACTTAAATTTACTAAATTCCTTTGAGAAAGTTATAAATATATAACTATTTTGTGCTTTAATCATAAATAGCTATATAATTATTTTCAATTTGTTAATCTTATATCGTTTAGTATTATGTTATATTTAAAACATCAAATGGTTAATTAAGCAAATTATAATACCAATAAGCACCTTATTTGGATTAAAAACAGTGGATTGAAGTATTATCATCAAATACAATTTTTCCAAGATAATTATCTTATTCATATGATGTTTTCACTACAATCATATTTTTTGTATCTATTATGTCTTAAGATTTTTTAATATATTGAGTGCTTTCTATAAAATAAAAACTAAATTGGGATTATAGGTATAAGTTGAGACTTGTTTTTGATGGTATTGATTCAAATTATCTTAATTCCATATCAAACTTATGAAAATTATTTTATTCATAGAAATAAACATACTTATCATCATACACTAAATCCTTATATGTGATTAACAAATATTAGTTAGGATATTAAATACCTAAATTTAGAATTAATAAGCTTTAAAGATCAGGTGAATAAATATATATATCAGACTACTTAAAAATGAATATTTCGTTTGTTTTTTTACAGACCAGAGAAGGAAGATTAATAGGATATATCTAAAGAATTACTTAATTGTATACTTCCAATTAACTTAATGAAAAAATATAGCAATTATTGTTATAATCTATCAAATATATTAAATTATTTTAAGATATTAAAGGATAAATTCCATTATTTATCGTCCAAAATGATAAATAGCTATAACCAAAATTATAAATCTATATTATTTAGTGTGTCTATAAATCAATTAAGTAAAGAAGTAATGAGTATTCTTCATCGTAAGTTAAATACGCAATTTAAATATCATTTATTATTATAAAATTACTCAGAGAAAAATAATTTTCAGATGGATTGTCAACAATATTTTGTTATGTTTTTAAATTATAAATTTAAGGAACATCGATTATTATTAAAATTTCAATCTTTGAAATATAAAAATATTTACTCATTAATTAACCATAACCTCTTTCATACTAATAAGATAATATCTACTTCTACTCATTTAAATTATATATGTATTCATATACAATTGTGTCAATAACTTAGCTTACTAAAAAATATTTTTCATTAATATTTACAACTCTATCAAATTAGGTAATATTGTCTGAGAGATAAAAATAAATAAATTATGTATTTATTCCTGGGTTCTTTTACAAATTAGTGAGAGGATATTATATATTTATATTACCAATTTATTAATTTAAGTAAATCTAATTTCCGTCATATAGATTAAAAGAATTTGAAGTTAAATTACTGAAAATAATCATTTAATTTTAGTTCGGTTAATCTGTTTTATCATAATAAAGTTTTACTTGTTGTAGGGGATTTATAAATTAGATTTTGTATTAAAAAGTAATAGGGGAATATTATACTCTTATTTATTAGTAAAATGAATCATCTGTATTTAAAATCTAAGTTAAAAATATACTAATATTATTATTTTCCTCAAAAATAATATTTGATATAGTTGTTTAATTATTTATTTAAGATGATTTAATTTACTTCAGTAAATTTTCAGTTAAAATTAGTTAATCTGTGTATCTATATTTTTCTAAATATTGTGTGATATTAAGAAAGTATAACGAATCATTGATAAAGAAAATGAAGGAGGAATTAGAAAAAGTATTTTCCTAAAAGCTAAATTAGTCTTTTATATATAAGTTTATTGGAATTGTTTCCGTGATTTAATCAGATTAATCATTTAGGATAGCTATTTCTAAATTTTAGTTATCATTATTATATTATAATAAGCAATTTAATTACTTACTATAATATACAATTCTAGAATATGAATTGTTTAGGAGTTCAACAGATTAAATTTGAAGATTAAAATCATTATCAAATTAAATCTTTTATACTTGCGCAAGACCATGAATTTAACCAATTTAGATTAAAAAATCTTATTTTTATTATACTTAAAGTGAGGATATAGATGAGTAATTTAGTGTTTTATTTAAAATGGCTAATGACCTGTCTTCTTATAACTCCATTATCTTTAATTAAATAAAAATATAAAATATGTTATTTAAAATTAAAAATGTATAATTAATTTACCATAGAATTTACAAAATCTATTTGTATAATATAGTTTGTCTTTGTCTTCTTTTCAATTTAAATAAATTTTATCAGAAAGTTATAGGGTAGAGTTTATTTATTTAGATTATAATTTAGTGCATCATACCAAAATATGTCATAAATTTCATTGAAACCTAGAAAAACTATTTAGTTTGCTTAATCTATATATTAAACATTTTGATCGTAAGCTAAATTAGTTTAATTGAATACAACATTCATAGTCTCAAAATCAAACACAACTAAACTGTTATCAGCTGTACAACCTCCAAAAGAGCCAACTATGAAACTTTTTTAGAGCATTTCCTCGCCAAAAAACATATACTCTGAATAAAAATTTGGCATATTTTATAAGATTTAGACTGAAATTATATTTAAATTATTATCCATTAATAAGAATGTGCAATGAGTTGCTCTAACCAAATATTGATTCTTGTTTATTTATTCTATCTATTTTATCCTTTTATCAGAATAGGGCATGAAATAATCATTTGCTTAAATGCATTAAATAGTCTTTTCACAAATTTTAGTTGTTTCATTCTAATAATAAGATGGAGGACAACTAATAACGCATTAGTCTTAACTATATGGGGCTAGAATATATGACATGTTATTCTAGCAAATGTTTTATTATAGCTAGCACTAATTTTAAGCTGAATTAAGAGTCAAATTCACATCGCACTAAAGACATATTTAATGGATATCACATTTAACGCACCCAGGTACTTAGCATTTAACGCATTGTTAGTTTTCATCATTTATTTCGCCTTTTTAGCAGCTTTATTAGCAAGTAGAACTATCTTATGAACTCATAAAAAAGTTCTCATTGCAATTAACACAAGAATCCTAATAGATATTGTAACAGCTTAAACATCTGCTTGAACATTCAACGCACTGCTATGCTATGGCATCATATATTTAATTACCTTTGCATTTTAACGCAATTACTAAATTTAAATTAAAAAGTAGTAAATAAGCAATTCTCTACATCTACCTAAGGGTTTTCAATTAAAGTTTCTATTTTATTTGATTAAGAAATTTGTTTTCTAATTTTTTAAAAGGAACTTTTGATAATTTTATTATAACAATTATTTAAATGGAAAGGTGATCTTTTTATATAGGCTAATTTCATATGAAGATAGTGTATTTAAAAACTAAAAATAGAGTTAAAGTTAAGAATAATAAAAGTTATTTTAAAATTTATAAATAAAATTGAGTTTCATATTTTTAATTAGATTTTTTTTACAGTAAATATTTTTGTTAGTTATTAATTAGATTTTATTTTTAAAATATTTAATATCAGAAATTCAAATTTAGATATGCACTTTCTAGTATCCTAATAGAATTATAACAATTATTTAAATGGAAAGGTGGTCTTTTTATATAGGCTAAATTCTTATGAAGTTAGTTAATTTAAAAACTAAAAATAGAGTTAAGTATAATAAATGTTATTTTAAAATTTATAAATAAAATTGAGTTTTATATATTTTTAATTCGATTATTTTCAGTAAATATTTTCATTAATTATTAATTAGATTTTATTCTTAAAATATTTAATATCAGAAATTAAAACTTAGTTATGTATGTTTATTTCCTATACATTAATAGTTATTACATTTAAAATCAAAGCAATAAGCAATTTTCGTTATAGAAGAATAAATAATCTTTCTCTTACTTAATTTGATTAAGAAATTTGCTTCCTATTTTTTAAAAGGAATTTTTATCAGCTTTTTTTATAATAATAATAAATTTCTAATGCTCATTTTATTTCTTTTGCAGTTAATTAAAAAACTAATAATAGACTTAATGTATCTATTTTTGGAAAATTTAAATATAATGAAAATAACTATTCATAAAATCCAAGGTTATTTATATTTTAATTGTAAAAAGGATATAGATAATATAGCTCACTAAACAGAGAAATAATAATATTAAAGTGAGGATACAGAGTAATGTAGTGTTTTATTTAAAATGGCTAATGACCTGTCTTCTTATAACTCCATTATCATTAATTAAATAAAAATATAAATTATGTTATTAAAAATTAAAAAAGAATAATTAATTTATAAATTAATTTCTAAAAATAGAGTTAAGTATAATAAACGTTATTTTAAAATTTATAAAAAAAATGAGTTTCACATATTTTTAATTCTGTTATTTACAGTAAATATTTTCATTAATTATTAATTAATTAGATTTTATTTTTAAAATATTTAATATCAGAAATTCAAACTTATATATGTGCTTTCTATTATCCTAATAAAATTTATAAGCCATTATGCAATAAGATCATATGATTAATTTCCTATACATTTTAATAGTTACTACATTTAAAATCAAAGCAATAAGCAATTTTTTTATAAAAGGATAAATAATTTTTCTCTTATTTAATTTGATTAAGAAATTTGCTTCTTATTTTTAAAAGTAACTTTGATTAGTTTTTTTTTTAAATAATAATAAATTTCTAATGCTCATTTTATTTCTTTTGCAGTTAATTAAAAAACTAAAATTGACTTAATCAATCTATTTTTGGAAAATTTAAATATAATGAAAATAACTATTCATAAAATCCAAGGTTATTTATATTTTAATTGTAAAAAGGATATAGATAATATAGCTCACTAAACAGAGAAAGTAAAATATAATATAATTAAAATGAGGATACATATGAGTAATGTAGTGTTTTATTTAAAATGGCTAATGACCTATCTTCTTATAACTCCATTATCATTAATTAAATAAAAATATAAATTATGTTATTTAAAATAAAAAAGTGTTATTAATTAATAAATTAATTTACCATAGAATATAAAAGTTATTTGTATAATATAGTTTGTCTTTGTTGTCTATTCAAATTAAATAAATTTTATCAGAAAGTTGTTGGGTAGAATTTATTTATTTAGATTTTAATTTAGTGCATCATACCACCCTTGAAAAACTATTTATTTTGCATAATCTATATATTAAACATTTTGATCGTAAGCTAAATTAGTTTGATTGAAAAAAACATTCATATTCTCAAAATCAAACACAACAAAACTTTTATTAGTCGTAAAACCTCCAAAAGAGTCAATTCTTCACCATATACTATATACATTGAATAAAAATTTGGTAAATTTTGTAAGATTTAGAATGAAATTATATTTAAATTACTGTCCATTAATAAGAATGTGCAATGAATTGCTCTAATTAAATATTGTTTCTTGTTTATTTATTCTATGTACTATATCCTTTAACCAAAATAGGAAATAGAATAATCATGTATTTAAATGCATTAAACAGTCTTTTCACAAATTCTAGTTGTTTCATTCTAATAATAAGATGAAGGACAACTAATAACGCTTTGGCCTTAATTATATGGGGCTAAAATATATGATATGTTATTCTAGCAAGTGTTTTGTTATAGCTAGCACTTATTTTAAGCTAAATTAAGAGTCAATCTCACATTGTACTAAAGACATATTTAAAAATATCACATTAAACACATATTTCTTTCACTTATTTAGCAGCTTTATTAGAAAGTAGAACTATTTTATGAACTGATAAAGTAATTTTCATTATAATTAATACAAGAATCCTAATAAATATTGTAACAGCTTAAGCATCTGCTTGAAATAAACTCTAAAACCTGAAAAAAAAATTTTTAATTAAATTAATTAAAAGAAGATCTGTTGCTGAAATAAGCTTGAGCCTCTTAGGTTGACAAGATCAGATATTTAATTAATTAAAATTAACTATAACTAAAATATGTCAAAAGACATCAGACAAAATGAATTAACTTAATAAAATTTTATATATTATTTTCAACATTTAAAAATATAAATTTATCTAATTGAATTGGACAAGAAACTCATATAAAAAACACAAATTTATTTTTACTTATATTTAATAGTTAGTTAATTAAACATAAATAATTTCTATTAAAAGTAATCTACTTATTTTTTTATTAACTTTATTATTTCAATTATATTCAATTTTTTAATGGATAATTTCATTAGTTGCGCTTACTGAACAGATCTCATCTTCTTAGGTATATTTTAATTTTTCTGAAGTTAGTTCCATTCCCTAACTAGACTCATTCTAAATTCTATCTACATATTTTAAAGATATTAGTAATATATTTTAAGAATATAAAAATAATAAATACTTAAAGGACTTAATCTAGTTTTTCTACTGTAGTAAGACCACTTATCTCTCATCTTATTTAATGAGTTAATCTTTAAAAAAAATGGATTTTTGGTGCTATCTTATGAATTAGTTTGCTTATCTAATTATAATTTTATGTTTTGTGTAGTTTATTATTAAGGTGAGTTTCTTTGTATATTAAAATGAGATTGCAAAGTTTATTAACTATAAAAATCATATCTTTTTAAATATTAAATAAGTTTTTAAATTTTTTTTTTTACTTATTTAAATTTAATTAAATATTTTATTTTTTTCTTATTTTCAATTTGAATGTTTTCAAATTGAGTTGGAAAATTACTTTTTAAAGAAAATAAAATTTTTTGAAATATATTTCTATCATCTTTATCGCTTGAGATACTAATAAAAACTATACCTAGCAATATCTAGTGAATAAATAAAAGGTTTGGTATAATTAATAAGCCAATCATTACTATTTAATAAATTAAATTTTCGTTATTAACCTATTAATAAATAGTAGATAGATTTAAAGTATATGAGCACAGCAAAGTTGATTTCTACAGTGAATTGTTAAAGCTTTATATCTAATATGGCTTAGCATTGAAGATTAAGTAAAATGAAAAAAATATTAAACCATTCAACAAGCATACCTTTGATATTTTAAAAGTTATTATAAAATATTTCTAATAATTTTTTAAATTTTACTTTTAGAAATGGCTGTTATTAGAGTATAATCCCAATAAAAATTAACAGAGATTTATAGATTAGTTTACCGAACTCCCAATAATAAAATTTTTCTTTGTATCCTGCAAATATAAATGAATATTTACATACACTAAATATAGAGGACTTTTATTAATTTTTAAAGTCTCTAATTTTTATTAATAAGTAAAGAGGAATTACTAGTAACCAAATCGTTAACATTGGTATTGAGTAATAATAGATAAAAGGTTTATGCCACTTATCATCAAAGCATTAAATATTTATATCAATATCTAAATATTCTTTATTTGCTATTTAGATGCAGTTAATAGACCTGCTTAAAAGTGTGATAACCATAGGTAAAAAGTAAAAATAAATAAATAGAAAAGCTGTAGTTCTATAGTTTAGCATAATTTTATTTTTTTTAAATATGCTATATAATATTCCAACAGTAATATAAACAATTAATAAGATAAGAGGTAAAGCAAATGACCATAAAGATTAATAAAACCACAGTGGCTGTAAGTGTTTTTTCTTAGAAAAAACGCAATTTATAGATTTACTAGCATATTATAGAGAATTTCCTAAAAACTAAACAGGTAATTAAAACGAAATAGGTATATTAACCTAAAAGGATATTAATAATGATAAGATTTAAATATGGTCTGTCATAATTTTAGATACTATTTATGGCCTATCTAATTTACTTACTAATATGATAAAAATTTAAAAAAATGTAAATATAATATTTATTATTTACATGTTGATCCTAAATAAATTATATCTAACCTCTAAATGTAATAGCCAGCTAGCTTTGATTAAAGTTTTGAAATTATATTTTTTAAAATATAGAAATTATATGTAGAAATTAGCAAAAATATTATTAAATTTTGGGCAAAGATAAGTTATGCATTTTCTTCGCATATAGAGCATTGGCCTGGTTTTAATATTTCAGAGTATCTTTATTTCCAAACTTCTCCATATATATCACAAGATTAGCAAAGAGTACCTACGTAACCTTCAACACAACCATACTTTATATTATTTATAGTTATTTAACAAGTTAACTTAATATTTAAAACTTAAACGTAAAATAATAAAAGATTTTTTAATTATTTTATAATTAAATTTTTGAATTATTATTTTTATATTACCTTTGAGTTTTTGGATTAAGACTAGCATGACATTGGATTATACTAACAATAAGCTATTTGATCTGTCATCTCGCTTTCCCTCCAGTAACCACTCTTTAACTTTATTACTGAGCCATAGCATGAAGTTGCCGCTATAGGGCATTACTAGCAATCAGTATCTGTAGTATTTAAAGAATATTTTCCATCAGGACATTAATTACACACAATAGAATGGCCTTAATCTTTTTGAATTTCTCCTATAGAACAACTTGCAAAGTCAATAGTTATATTTTGTTTTAACTATCCATCTTAAATTACAATATTTCCATATGAATCTTATAGTTGTTGAATTGAATTTGAAACAATTTAGAGAACCATACTTTTGTATGGTTAATAAACAACTTGCGCATTCAAATTAAATCCACCATTTACAAATTCTTATTATTAAAGTTATCCTTAGAGCTATATTTAATCATTTTATTGATCCCATTTCAAAGAAATAATAATTTATTTAATTTGAGATTATATATCTTAGGTTAATTTGTTGAAATCTGATTCGCCAATATTAGGAATAAACATAGGGTTATCTTCTTCATCTAGTAATTAGATTTTATTTAATAAAATTACCTATCCACTCTTGAATAGACTTATTTTAACATTATCCATTTCTTATTCAATAAAGCTTCCTTTTGGAATTTAAATGTTCTTAATGTTAATACTAATTTTTCTTAAAGTAGATCCCAAATTTTTACCATATATTAGAGCTTAATTATTCTTAATTGTATTATTATTGTTTAACCCCTATTTAAGGTCTAGAATAAAAGATGGTATCATTTGTTGATAATAAACGCCTCCACCTAGAGCAGCTCTATTCTATGAAATTGATGTATTTACCATAATAATATCTGTATTTTAAACACTAATTGCTCCTCCAGTTGAAAAAAGAGCTTAATTTTATAAAAATATTGAATCGTAAATGTTTAATAAGGTCCAATACTAAATATTTTAAATAAATAAAGCTCCACCTTAAAAATATAAGCACTTATTCTAAACAAAAATACCATTTTGTATAGTTATATTTACGCTTTCAATAACATAAATTGAACCTCCCGATCCCAGTATATTCGTATTATTTTTTACTTAAAAATTAGTGAGAGTTATTGTTTAGGATTCCATTATAAGTAAAGCAGATGATCGATCAGTACTATTAAATAAATTATCTTTTATTTAAATTTAATCTAAAAGTATGTTATCTATAGCCATTAAATAGATTAAATTATCATTCAATTATAGATTACAGTTAATAAATTTAGAGTTTAATATATAGGCTAGTCCACCCTAAAACTAACTGTTCAAAGAAATAAAATGTAAATCATTACTAAAGCAATAAATATTTTATATTTTAAAATTATTAAACTAAAATATTTAAATAAAACTATAGTAGTTTGATATGGAATTTTTGACTGTAATATCATCCATAATTACATCGTTTGCTTTTATAACAATGCAACTATGTTAAATATAATTCAATTTAAGAAATTCAAGATCGTAAATACTAGATGCCCCACTATCAATTTATAAAAAAATATCTGTTGAATTAAATATTTTTAAATTTCTTATTTCATTTTACATTTGTAAAATTTTTTGATTTTGTATTTAAGCTGAGCTAATTTTTATTAATTTTATTTAATTGCTTTCATTTACTTCTATTTTTTATATTTTTAAGTCAACAGTACCAAGAATTTATAATAGACTTGTATTTTAACCTTAATTTATTTAAATATTATTTACGTTCAAACTATTTCCTAAATTAATTTAAAACATATTTAGGTAATTTGATTGCTATATGGATATGTCTTCTATCTCAACCATCTAGTTGTTAAATAAATAAAATATATTATTTTAATTTGAGTTTTAAATGTAAATCTGTCTTAAAATAACATGACTGTTATTATTTAAAGTAAACAACATATTTTTGCTTTAAATACTATCTATTTATATATTTTCTATCACTACAAATTAGCAGTTTTCTATTATTATTGAGTTATTACCTTAACTTTGGTAAAATTGTATATTTTGTAATAATACACTTTCAAAATTTGTTAAATTTAATTAGTTTCCAACATCGAGAGTCACATTTGTCATCTGTAAATGTTTAATTTATTTATTTTAATTTAATTATATACTATCAATTATAAATAGACTCATTTATCTAATAATTAAATTAAATGTATATTAATATGAATTTCCTATATTATTATTAAACCAAAAAATATTGCTTTGTTCTTAATTTGATTATAAAACTATGTTTAAGTCATGATTATAATTAACTTATGATTTTTCTAATTAGATAAAATTTAATTCTTCTATATACTGTTAATCATAATAGTCAATTTAAATTTAGGAGAGCATTTAATTACTGTTTATAAGCTATTTAGTTATTTAATTTAAAGAGATTTCTGTATAAATATATTCTAGTTCTCTATTTTTCTATTAAATGTTAATAAAGCAATTTTATTTATTATTAGAATTAGAATATAAGGGTATTGTTGAGTGAATTATGCCCCTGTATGAGGATAGAGTTAAATTCAAATAAACAAAATTTTAGGATTATGCTGTTTGTACTTTTTAGACAATAGAATATTTTTATTCAATTTCTTGAATTAGCTCATAATTGCTTTAAATATCTACTTTTATAATAGAAACTAATTCTTTTTAAACCACTATAAAATAACTAGTATTTTTGATATTAATAAAGTTTATT